GGAGCAGCCTAGGGAACCCATTTCTCCTACAGCTGAGTTGAAAAAGAACGATCAGAAGGGTGAGGTTGAAAAACCTAGGGAACCCATTTCTCCTACCTTGGAATTTGTCAAGACTGCCAAAGTTGAGAATTCGGGAGAAGCTGAGGGGGAAATTGGAGATGAGAGATGTTCTGAATCTCCTTCTGTGAAAGTTGTGAAAAAGTCTCCTTGCAAGCAGCCTAAAGCGTCGCAAGTTGAGAAATTCATATTGTTGAGTGATGAAAGTGTTGCTGCTAATGATGGTTGTTCCAAGGCTGTGAAGGTATTTCACTTGATTAATTTTTCTAATTATTGGTTCTTATGGTGTGGTTACTAATGAACTGGTTTTGTTTTTATGTTTTTGAACATGAAAGGGGCGAAAGGGAGGTGCACTACGTAGTGTGTCTAAATTTGAAATCAACATTGTTCGACTCATTCGTCATCTTTTCATAAGCTTGTAGTTTTCACAAACAGTATATTATGTTACTTACACCATTATAATAAGTACAAGGGTTAGTTGTACAGGTGCATGTCTGTGCAGACTATTTCTGGAAATCTCACGGCCAATTCTGGAAATCCCACGGCCGTGAAAGAAGACGTGGTTTTGGATATGTAATTCTGGAAATATCACGGCCGTGAGATAGGCCGTGAGATAGGCCGTGGATGTAAAAACGCACGTCTCAGTTTCCCAGAGGGTTTCACGGGTTGCCTTCGACATTATCACGGCCGTGAGATGAGCCGTGTTTTGGATTTGAATGCTGTACTTCTCACGGCTCATCTGTTTATTCTCACGGGCGTGAGAATAAGTCGTGTGATTGTCTGGAGATTGAAAACTACTCTTTGATTGTCACGGGTCATGTCACGCCCGTGAGATGAGCCGTGTTTCCTAAAAATTGTACCTACACTTTCTAGAGTTGTACCTTTACACTAAATTTAAAGTTGTACCTACACTTTCCTAAAAATCTTCTATGGTACAATTAAAAATTGTACCTATACACTATAGTACAACTTAATGTTGTACCTACACTTTCAAACAAATCCCTCTATGGTACAACTCAAAATTGTACCTATACTAATGGTACAACTTTTAGTTGTACCTACACTTTCTCAAAATCCTTCTATGGTACAACCCAAACTTGTACCTATAACATGGTACAACTTTAAGTTGTACCTACACTTTCTAAAAATCGTTCTATGGTACAACCCAAACTTGTACCTATACCATGGTACAACTTTAAGTTGTACCTACACTTTTTCAAAATCCTTCTATGGTACAACTCAAAATTGTACCTATACTAATGGTACAACTTTAAGTTGTACCTACACTTTCTAATAAATCTCTTTATGGTACAACTCAAAATTGTACCTATACTGATGGTACAACTTTTAGTTGTACCTACACTTTTTCAAAATCCTTCTATGGTACAAACCAAACTTGTACCTATACTATGGTACAACTTTATGTTGTACATACACTTTCTAACAAATCCCTTTAAGGTACAACTAAAAATTGTACCTATACGAATGGTACAACCTTAAGTTGTACCTACACTTTCTAACAAATCCCTTTATGGTACAACTAAAAATTGTACCTATACTAATGGTACAACCTTAAGTTGTACCTACACTTTTTCAAAATCCTTCTATGGTACAACCCAAACTTGTACCTATAATATGGTACAATTTTAAGTTGTACCTACACATTCTAATAAATCCCTTTATGGTACAACTCAAAATGGTACCTATACTAATGGTACAACTTTAAGTTGTACCTACACTTTCTAATAAATCTCTTTATGGTACAACTCAAAATTGTACCTATACTAATGGTATACACTTTTTCAAAATCCTTCTATGGTACAACCCAAACTTGTACCTATACCATGGTACAACTTTAAGTTGTACCTACACTTTCTAAAAATCCTTCTATGGTACAACCCAAAATTGTACCTATACCATGGTACAAATTTAAGTTGTACCTACACTTTCTAACAAATCCCTTATGGTACAACTAAAAATTGTACCTATACTAATGGTACAACCTTAAGTTGTACCTACACTTTCTCAAAATTCTTTAATGGTACAACCCAAACTTGTACCTATAATATGGTACAATTTTGAGTTGTACCTACACTTTCTAATAAATCCCTTCATGGTACAACTCAAAATTGTACCTATACTAATGGTACAATTTTAAGTTGTACCTACACTTTGTGAAACAAATTCTTCAATGGTACAGCTGAAACTTGTACCTATACTAATGGTACAACTTTAAGTTGTACCTACACTTGTATACATTGATTCATTATTTACAAGATTGCCATTAATGATGTGGGACCAGTCATTTAGTGGGTTTACCTCCTCAACAGGTCACCTTTTTGTTTTGTTTTTTTATAGCATGGGTGCTATAGAGCACACTAGAAGGGCTCACTACGTACCGTCGTTGAACTCTTACCACAACATATATAGTAGCCTTTTCAGGTATTTGTTTTTACAAATGTGCTATATTGTAATCTATTTATTTATGAAAAAAGATAGGATGCAAAATCTACAAATTCTGTGTATTAATTATCACTTGTGTTATAAATCATACCGCTATGATGCGATCATATCATGCGTGATATGATCTTATCACGAATAGTAAGACGCGGATCCTGATTGTATATTTTGAATCCCCTGAGTTTTGTACCGTAATCCAAACCGAAGTTAAGTTTTCTAACTTCTAACGTAACTCAATTCTTTCGCTGTCTAATTAATTACGCAATGCGATACATCTGTAGTAAGTTCAAAGAACAAGAGCTGATAGATAGCATTTTATTTTCTATATTCCAAATGAAGCAATTGCAGGGTAGATAGAATAAATCAAGTGATATGTAGACAGATCGAATGCCATAATTAAATTAGTGCCTCAAGCTAGAAGCGAAGATACTCATAATATCGAATTACTTTCTGTGAAGCACATTATATTCTCGTATTCAGATCTAATAATTTCAATATAGCTCCGAGAAGGCGCAAAGCCGTCCATATTCACATCAGAAGATCAAAAGTAATGTCTATTAATCATTTCAGACAACAAATAATTTTATTAGAAAAGGTTGAATACAGCAGTTAGATTTGGTCATGAAACATATGGAGTCGGTGACCAACTAAGTATATCATTTTTTGGACAAACTATTTGTTTACTGGTGTAAAAAGTAAATGCAGTTTTTTTTAATGTAGTATCAGTTGAGGAGCGTTTTTCTTTGATTTTTTTAGTCTTCTCTTTTTGTGTCGTTCTTGGTTTGAGTTTTCGTCCCATCTTTGGGGGGTTTTTCTTAGTGTTTTTTCGTTTTTGTTTTCAGTTTTGTTTCTTTCCTTACTCCTTTCAACTGTTGGTTGAATTTTTGTCTTATTTTCTTTTTGTCCGTCTTAATAAAATTTCCTCGTATTATTTGGTATCCTAAAAATTGAATTCGTCATCCATATTTTTTAAATCTTTTTAATTGAAACCACCACCCTGCCATGAGACCTTGATATAAAGTGACGAGAGCTCGAATTATTGAGAATAATTGGTCTTTGACAGGGTACGTATCATAATTTTTTTTTTTCTTGCGATCGGGAAAGTATTATGATCGAATCATGACAACTTTCATTTGTTGAGCATGTGGTACTTGAATCTGTGCAAACTTCAAACCAATATTATTTGAGGGGACGAATTAGTAAATGAGTTAAAATTCACAATTAAACATTACCCAAAAACTTGAATTATCCAAATCAATCGATTTTAAACAATGATATGATACTAATGTTTGTTTGATAGTGTCAACAAAGCAAAGAGTCCCATATATGTACACGATGGATGCATCAACTAATTGGCGCCGGTTTTTTTTTGTCAATTAGCAACATGTCCTAGGGTGCTGGCCGGCGCTAATTGGATCCTACTGATCGATGTATTTTTAATAATTTAACGACCTTTTGCATTAGAATCAACTTTCAATAGTTTTTCCGCTAAACACTTAATTATTTTTTTTATAATTTTTTTTCAAATGATATACGACCTGGCGAAACTAGCCCATAGTGACTGAAGACTAGGGATGACAATTTCGACCTGACCCGTTTTACCCGACCTGTTTGACCTATATTGGGGCGGGTCCGGCGACCCGCCCCGTAGGCGGGGCGAGGCGGGCATGGGTAGTCTCATCGACCTGACCTGCCCTGACCCGCCCCATTCTCGACCCATTCTTGTCTAAATTACATGAAATCTTAGTCAAATTACTTTGAATTTTCCTTTTATTGCATCATATTTTAGCTATAATAAAGTTGTAAATTAGTGAAAACCTCAATTTCTCCAATAATTTAACTACAATTGTCATAATATTGTTTGTTTTCTTAGTTTTATAATAAAAATAACGAATATTTCTAATGTTTTTCATATAAATTGCATACCCATTGGGTCGACCTGTCCTGACCCGCGACCCGTGATCAATTATCCGACCTAGACCCACCCTACTACGGGGCGGGTATGGGTACCAAGAAACCCGCTCCGGACCTGCCCATTGGCATTCTTACTGAAGACTAAATTTTGTCAGTATTCACGTATCACATTTGTGTATAAATACGGTCTCACTCCAGTTCAGTTTCCATATAATAACCTTCGCCGGCCATTAAAACATACTTCTTAATTACTTCTCTCTACAGCTCCCCCGGCCGACCAGCTTCTCATCGGAAGAAAATGACAACACCACGGCAGTTGATCATCGCCGTTCTCGTCGCCCTAACCGCCTTCTGCCTGCTCTCGTGCCATCCCTGCGCCGCGCAAACAACTGCCGCCTACTATTTTCCTCCTTACACACGTAAGACCCTCTTTTGCGATCCATCTGTTTAACGAACGATTTCTATCTCGTTTTAAGCACCAAATAAACTATCCATCTATCCATCTATCTATCTATCTTCATCGTCAAAACGCAGCGTCGTGGTGTTACGGGAACGAAGATCACGGAGTGATGGTAGCGTCAGCAAACGAGGACACCCTTTGGGACGGCGGCAACGCCTGCGGGAAGAGTTACAGAGTGAAATGCTTAAGTGAAGGCGGCGGCGCTGCGGTGCAGTGCAGGGAGGGCGAGACCGTGACGGTGAAGATCGTCGACATATGCCCTTCCCGCTGCCGAAACACCATCGACTTGTCGAGGGAAGCTTTCGCCACCATCGCGGTTCTCGACGAGGGGAAAATTCTCGGCGAACAAAGAATTAGTGTCTCCCTCGAAGAGTAAGTTAACGCACGTACTACGTACGCACGTGTTCACACTTGTTAACCGCGTGTTACGTACTACTTTCGGTCGCGTAGTAGTCATAGTCACTAACTGCTCCCGATCTGTTCGTTTCCTCAGGGTCTGAAAGAACAAACGAGTACTCGTCGTTTCAATCACCTCGTTTCTCCAGAAATAAATATTCGTCCAGAGGATATCATCATCCACCAGTACTACGAACTTTATGGTCAATAATCATGCACGTGAAGAATAATCCGGGGTGCCCCGACGGCCACCATAACCGGGGTTTGGGAAGTGCATGGAAGAAGATATGATGATCTGCTTTCATTCATGTTTCTTTGCCTTTTCTATGAGTCTGCAGTTTAACTCTCATTCCTCTCATTTTGGCCTTTGTCGCCTTTTTCAATACATGTAGCGACGAACAAGACTGCTGCTTTTCACGGCTTCTTTTTTTCCAGTTATTATCGAAATAATTTAATATACGATCATATTTGAATTTTGGGATTTTTTTTCGTAAGTAAAAGAACAAATGGAATGTTACTTTTTATTTAAGGCCGAACACATTTTTGGTGACTTTGTCACGAAAGCATAAACCTTCGAAGATAGGCGCCAACTTATTGCGACGGCTTCCCCCGTTACGGATCCTTTTTAGCGACGGTTTCTTTTACTCGCTGCGATGTTGTTGTCTCCGAAAGTGGATATTAATTCAAGATTTATAAAATTCTGGGCTTTCGTTTCTCATGACTATACGTAGCAACTGCGAGTGGGAAAAGAATGACGCCGGGTGCCGAATTTCCCAAGCAACATTTTTTTTTTACGAACGTTGTATTATGTAATCCATTTATCAATTATAAGAAAGGGAGAAAACCTACATTTGCATAACCTACAAATTTTGTGCTTTAACTGCTTACCACTCCTCACATATACCACCCTGATAAATTGTATCACGTGGTGGTACGATTCATATCAAAAGTGGTAAGACGTGCTTCTTCTATGTTTTTTAATACCTGAGTCTTGTACAGTAACCAAACCGAAGTTAAATTTTCTAAATTTCTAACTCAATCCTTTCACTGATTAATTAATTAGTCAATACGATTGAGGAATTTTACAATACTTTAAAGCATTGGTACTTTAGTCTTTTTTTTTTTTACCTTTATGGTACAAATTAAAGTTGTATCTCTAACGCTATAGTACAGCTTCATGTTGTACATATATTCACACAACTTCTTTCACGCGGTGCGAACATAATTTGTGCCTTGTATGTTTGTTATGGTACAAATGGAAGTTGTATCATAAAATAAGACACCAATTCCCTTATGGTACAACTTCAAATCGTAGCTCGAAACACCATTGATTTAAAGCATAGTAGAAGCACTCATGTAAAATATATGTTTTAAGTTCAAACAACAAGAGCTGGTAGATAGTAGTGTTTTATTTTCTATATTCCAAGCGAAGCAAATACAGGGTATAGCTAGAGATCGAGCGATATGCAGTAGACAGATAGAATGCCATAATTAAATCAGTTCCATCCATCTACACCCTGAAAGCCAAGATAAATCGAGTTAGTTTTCGGGAAGCACATGATATTCTCGTATTCACATCAGAACATCAGGAAGAAAAATAATTAAGGAAAAGCAGAGTATAGCTAGGTTAGAGAGAATCTCTGCATGACATACTCTTCGAAGGCGATGTTGATGATTCCTTCGTCGGGATCGGCGATGTGGGCGAAGGCTTCTCGGGACAAGTCGATGGTGGCTTGGCAGCCGTTGGATGGACACAAGTCGATGATCTTGACGGTCACGGTCTTGCCTTTCTTGCACGGCCGTGCGACGCCTTGGTTCGTCCCGCCTACGCATCTCACCTTGTAGACTTTCCCGCAAGCGTCGCCGCGGTGCCAGAGCGCGTCCTCGTTCGCCGCCGCCGTCATCACGCCCTCGTGCTTCTCCCCGAAACATGCCGACGCTGCACACAAGTAGACAATTATTGTTTTTTTCATATTATTCGCGGAGAACGCGCGATAAAAATACCTTCTCGATCGAGTTATTGGAATGAACCGAGATTTTTAACGAAAAATAATCACTTGGCTCAATTGATCAAATCCTTCGAACGAGAGATTATGGTTTTGAATCTTTATAATTACCCACAATATAAACAATGGAATTTAGCATCACAATGAATGATATATGTTCATCAACCCATGCAAATAGAAAACCTACTGGTTTAGCAGCAGCACAAGAGATGATATGTTCAACTCGTGCAAACTGAAAAACCTACAAGCAGTCTTTCGATTGAGGAGAGATCACGTGTAAGAGATAGCATATACAAATCATTTTCCAACAACTCGCGTACTAATTAAGTGGTTTAGTCGTTAACAGGATCGGGTACGGACGTTCATAGGGAGGGGTGTAGAAGCTGGCGGTGCCGGATTTCGCGGCGGTGGGATGGGCTGAGAGTAGCAGGATGGCCGAGACGGTGAGAGCCACGAGAACGACGACCGGCGAGAGCAAGGCTGCCATTGGATTAGGGTTTGGCGGGTTAATTATATTGAACTATATATTTGGTGTTCGTGTGAGTGATTGTAGCTAGCTAGGAAGAAGACAGAGTTACTTATATAGCTAGAGGGACCGAATTGAATTCATGAATTGTGATCTAAAATTTGAAATATAGTTGTCAATGGATGACTTGGTTCAAGATTCCTTGCCGCCATTGTTGTCGTTTTCCAACCTATACATAACGTTAATGGGTTACAGAGCCAATTCGAGCCAAGCCAAATTGATTAAACGGTAAAAAGGAGCATGCTTTAGAGAATATACCGATGCTTTGGCAACACAGGTATATAACCAAATAATATTTTGGTGAAATTACTTATCGAAAAATAACTCATCCTAGTCACAAAAATTTCCCTCTATTTTTCATTTTATTATGAAGTGGATATTTAGAGATAATCATGGCTTTCATAAGAAAAAAGAAGAGAAGAAAATGTGATTTCAATAGAAATGGAGTATATACCTGGAGAATTAGTAATTCCTCTCGTCTGCTAAAACACAACCTAATTAATTATCATCTAAAGCGTAAAAAGACAACTGAGGAAAAAGATATAATTATCATTAACAAAAACAACAATTCCGAATATGCCGGAGTCGTGTTCATGTGATCGGCTAAACTCCAAACCCTGTCTTCCCTCCAATACTAAATCTCAAAAGATTTCATTTAAATCAGAAAACAACACAAAAATTAATTAAGAGAGAGACCAAATCAAGAGGTAGAAAACAAAAGAAAGAGCGTCATCTAATAATTACCAAGTGCCTATATAATATATTTATTTTTTTTATGATAAACTTGATGGAATTAGTTCCTTTTTAATTATTGAGATAGCATTTTCGGAATTGCCAGTTGCTTCAGTTGCTAGATGCGCTAATATTAGCCCTAATAGGAAACAGCTGAAACAAAAGGTTGCTAAAAGTACAAAAACAATAAATATTCATGCGAGCTTGAAGAATGAAATTTTGGGTATGGATTCATAAAATTTGCAGTCAAATTAAAATCACTAAGTTTATCCTGTTGACTTTGTCGTCATATTAAAGCGTAAAACCTTTGACCTTCAACTTGGATCCTGGCCGATACATTTTGCGATTTGCGAAGCAGTATATGCTATTTCGAATCGTTTTTTAAAACTTCACCGTATGCAAAAGTGAAATTGTTGTTGAAGTGACACGAAGTACAAACGTAATGTGAAGCTATATAGGGATCTCCTAGAGTAACTCGTGGCTTAACACGAATTACAAAGCAGTAATAACAAGTTAACAACACATATACTAACACATGTTGCCATGAACAAACCCTAAGCCGCGATATGATTGAGCAATACAATCGGTCCGACAACTGTTTATTACACGATCTTCATCAACAATTCTCCCCTTAGCTTCTCTTTTCGATTGTCGACCGATAAAACGGCATAGCTATATATCTCAAGACGATATGACCCTGCAGGACAATAAAAAATGTTAAACTACAAGCTGAAGGAATCCGAGTTCAAGTCGTACAAGGACTCTTTTGACCTGTCTTTTTTACAAGGACTACTTAACTACGTACTCACCGTTCATAGGTAATGGTAGCGAACCCAGCTTGGGGATTGGCAATCAGTCCGAACGCTTTTGCGGACAGCACAAACGTAGGGCAAGGCTTGTTATCGGCCTCCGGCGAGCAGCTGTCGGTGACGGTCACCTCGACGGGGTTGGTCGTCCGGCAGGGAGACGACTGGCCGTCCACCCCGCCGATGCAAGTAACGCTGTACTTTGCCCCGCATATGTCGCCGTTGCCGTAGAGCTTGTCGTACACTCCGGTGTACATCGTGATCGCGGGCGCTTTATCCGTGCACGATTGCTCTACACAGGCAGACAGACAGACAGACGTACGTTTATATGCAAAGGACTCGTACTAAACGAATTCTAACCGATCAGTTTGACCAACAGTTGGACCATGTCGATCCATTCGCGACAGCATAGAATTTGGGTGAAGCGCGATTTGGCCTGGAGGGTTTCGAATTGATGACTCGTTTTGAGACGATTACGATTATTCGGAGCGAGGGGAAGGTTAATTCGAATTGACTCAGTTTTAAATCGGTCATTTTTATAAAATGGAACAAATTGATCAAATTGTCTCGTTTTGCAATTGATCGATCCAAAATAAGCCCTTGGTCTTTGATCATGACTAGGGAATTTAGTGACTATCATGATCGCTACTATAAAATATGATTTTTTTGTTTTTTTGTTTTTGCAACCAATTCTCTTACTGGAAGAGCTGGTCACCTTTTGTTTTTTGGTGGCTAATCTACAGAAATCAGTACCATCTTTTCGTGACCGAAATTTTGGATTTAAGACGTCCAAAGGATTGGCCTCAAGCAATTAAGTTTTTGGTCATTGGTAGCCGAAACCCTAATTTAAAATATTGCCAAATCCATAAAACGACTCGAGTAAGGCCGGAGTTAGTGGCCATGCTGTAATGAGAAAAGATTTGTGTCGCTGAATCGTACACTTGAGAGCTGTATTCGATCGGTCGCGAATAATTTTTTTTTGTCACGAAATCCTCATAACGATTAGTTCATTATAAACGGGCAGGAAATTAGGCGTTCATAATGCGACTTACTGGAATAATGAGCATTGGTGAAACCAGCGGTCGCGAATAATATTTTTTGTCACCAAATCCTCATAATGATAAGTTCATTATAAAAGGCAGGAAATTAGGCGTTCATAATGCTGACTTACTGGAATAACGAGCATTGGTGAAACCAGCGGTGCCAGTCATGCGAAACGCCAAGCTGAGACTCGAGGAGAGCAGCAGAAGCAAGCTTAGAAGCAGGAGAGAGTTCTGGGCCGCCATTACAATCGATCGATCGACTAACTGATCAATTAGAATGAGGAATAGATTTGTGTTTTGTGGGATATTGTATGTGATAATTTCTTCTAACACATTTGCCCAACTATTTGTAGGGGGGAAGGAGTGGGATGATTAAGAAGGTTGGCTTAGTGGGATTCTGATTGTTAATTATTGTTAAAAATATTACCGTTGATTGCAAAATACAAACCCTGAGAGTTCCCTATTCCAAACGTAATCATGTTTATCCCTTAGCTAATTACGCAGCGGTGTAAAATTAGTATATTTATGGAGTAATGTATTGTCTTAAGCTACGTGCATGCATTGGAACCGACGTGGATCTTCAGCCGAATGCAAGCCTGGTAACGTATAGCGTTGTGACTTGGACAGGGGCAGTCACCGGATTTTAGTCGGCGAGTTTCCCGGTAGAATCGATAAATAGTACTGTTAATGCCCGGCATTGGTTTTAGTCGGTTGGGCTCGATTATAATAGTAACTTTTTAGTTGGTTATCGGTTTATTGTTGAACCATTTGTGTTTACGGTAAATTACGTCATCGTTTATATTAGTTGGTTAACTATAAGTTATTTTGTTGGTTAATCGGATAATCGTTATATAAGTGATTCGAGAAAGTTAGATCAAATTAATCGATCTGTAATTAACCAAAACAATCAACTTAGTTTTCCTCCTTTTTTCAATCATGCATTTTTTTAAAGATTTTTTTCCCTATGTATGTGTATACATGTTTTTTTTAATTTTTTTTTTATCATTGAATGAAAACAATTTAACGTAGATATCAATTCATAATCAACTCAACACCATTATACTGTCAAATTTGACTAAAGAAGCAAAAAAGAATAAGAGATTACCCCAACAACAATTACTCAACTCATAGACCCTCACCAAATTACATGGAAGTTTTATGTTGCTCATCATTGTATGTAGTATAAGATGCTTTGATCCGTATTAAAAATGAATGTCTCTTTGTCAACTTCATGATATAGCAAGTGCTTTTAATTTTATCATTGAAAATTTACGTGTAAAATTATATGTATTATAATATTGGATGTACGGGGCAGGAATACCCATGGGTACCCGAACCCACGGGTACAGAAATGAGTTTGAAAACCTTACCCAGCATGGATTTGGATATTTGAAAGCGAGGATGAGGATGATTTAGGCAAACTTGCCCCATTGTCATTTCTATCAAGCTAATGTGCATATGTCCCCATCTTTCTACCGTGCTTCTTCTAAAGCCATTCCTTTGAAACTATTTGAACCCAAACATTACAACTAGGGTACGCAAATGACCTTATTGGCTTTCAAACATTCTATTATTTTGTACATATGCCTCCAGCTCAATAATGCATTATTTTCGGTCGTAACTATAACAATGGCCATAATCAGGTTTGGGGACTCCCATAGCCCACCGGTAGTCAAGGGTCAACCCCTTCTCTCCATTACTTCAGCCCAAAGAGTCAAGGCCCAACCTTCTCCTCCTAACCCAATCAAGTTAGGCTTCCCCCAAACTCAGAACTCTTGCTACAGCCTATATATAGTTTCATGCCAACTCAAATGAAGTGGTTAAGTAACATGTATGGACTTCTTACAACAACTTGATTAATTGACATCAACTAGTTTATAACATTGTATCATAGCTAGTTAGTTTGTCATTGCAGGTCACATGCATGTTCAAATTCTTTAAACTCCAAATATTAATTCTTGTCTTTAAAGCACAGGTATGACAATCATACGTAAACTTCAAGCCCATGATTTGATTTTTATTTGAGAAACTTGTAAGAAAGTGGTTAAGTACCATATATGAACTTCTACCAATAGCTCGAGTCATAAAACCAGCTGGTTTATGACAAAAACTAATGCTTTCCTCACAATCAAAGTAACAAAAAAAAAAAAAAAAACGAGTCAATCTCTAACCCATCTTCTCTCTTGTTTATATCCCTCGTTCGATTCGACAAATACAGACGCAAATACCAATTTTTTTTTCTTTTCCCGCAGGTCTTGTCAGCCTTGATGACAATGGTCCGATAGAGCCGGATCAGACTTCTCAACCACAAATTTATTACTTTAATCTGATGACCCGAATGGGATCTTGATTAAAACATATGCGATGAATGCCGCATCCTTATTGCAATAAAAGTTCGTATCATCACTAAAAAAACAAACATCTCAAAATCAACAACACCACATCATTTTCATAAACAAACTTAATTAGATCATGTTTTTATTAGATCAAGGAGCAAGTCTCTTCGATATCGTCGGCCCGTAAAAGGGCACACACTAGCTATCTCGAGTCTAATAAGTCCTGCAGAGACAACAAAAAGCAATTCAGTAGGATCGCAATGTTAGTAAACGATATAATGATCCACTGATTAATGAACCTCTTCAAACAACTCGAATTATTGGGATCAACTGGTTCTTGACACGCAAAGATTGAACAATATTGATGAGCAGGAAAAAAAAATGGAGGACGTACGTACTCCTTACCTTTCGTAGGTGATCGTAGCTTCCCCTGCTTGAGGATTCGCAATCAATGCGAAAGCTTTTGCGGACAGCACAAACGTAGGGCAAGGCTTCTCATCGGATCCCGGCGAGCAGCTGTCGGTGACGGTCACCACGACGGGAGTGCTCCTTCTGCAGGGAGACGGCTGGTCGGCGGCCACCCCGCCGACGCAAGTGACGCTGTACTTCGTCCCGCATATGTCGCCGTTGCCGTAGAGCTCGTCGCTCACTCCGGTGTACATCGTGGTTGTGGGCGCTTTCTCCGTGCACGATTGTTCTACGTACACATGCATGCATGCAGCCAACGCGTTATTGAAATATGAGGTAAGAGATTTTTTTTTTTTTTTTTTTTTGCAACCAATTGTGTTACTAGGAGGAGCTGATCATCTTTTGTTTTCCTTTTTATCACTGGTAGCCAAAACCCTAATTTCCTTACCAAATCCATAAAATGAGTCTGAGTAAGGAATTAGTCACCATCGATAAAAAGAATTTGTGTCGCTAAATTAACACGCGACCAATATCCCGACTGACGGAAATGGGTTGGTCGCGAAATCCTCGTATTGACGGTAGGCTATAAGAAAATATTGCAATGGGCAGGTCGGACGGGTTTTTTTTATAAGCGCAATGAAAAATAGGGTAATTTATTCTGGAATGCGGGTCGGGACAATATCGACACATTTGTGTATGTAATTTAAAGAGAAAACATCATAAATAAGATTTTTTTTCATTAAAAAAAATCAAGAAACAAACTATAACATGATAATCATAGTTAAATTATTCGAGAAATTGTGGTTATCGCCTGGCTATAACTTTATCAAAGCTAAAATCTGAGGTAATATGAGTAAAATTCTAAACAATTTGGATAAAATTACACGTAATTCAGGTAAAAAAACTGGTCGAGAATGATGTGAGTCTGGATAGGTCTGGTCAAGGAGAACACCTATCCACCGGTCCCGTCCCACATACGTAACGAGTAAACAAGCCAAATAAACTTTGGGTAAAATGTGTCAGGTCGAAATAGGCTAACTGTTAATAGGTGTTGATATAATAATGACTTACCAGAATAACGAGCATTGGTGAAACTAGCAGTGCCGGTCTCAGACAGCGCCAAGCGGACACTTGAGGCGAGCAGCAGAAGTAAGCTTAGGAGCAAGAGAGAGTTCTGGTTTTTGGCCATGGCGATCGACCGACTGTATATATAAACAAACCGTCACCGGAAGAGGCAGCGTCGACGAAGAAAATCCGATCAGACCGTCGGGAATAGATTTGTGTTTGTGGGATATTGGATGTGATAATTACTTCAACACATTTGCCGCACTATTTGTAGGAGTGGGATGATTAAGAAGGTTGGCTTAGTGGGATTCTGATTGTTAATTAATTGTTAAAATTAATGACCGTTTGATTGGAGAATACAAACCTGGTCAGAGTTCCCTCTTCCAAACGTAATCATGTTTATCCCTTAGCTAATTACGCAGCGGTGTAGATTAGTAGATATTGGAATCGACGTGGATCTTCAGCCGAATGCAAGCCTGGTAACGTATAGCGTTATCAAAGCTGTGATTTGGACGGGGGGCAGTGATCACCGGATTTTAGTCGGCCAGTTTCTCGGTAGAATCGATGAGTTTACTGTTAATTACGCCGTTTATATTAGTCGGTTAACGGTAAGTTATTTTATTGGTTAACCGGGATAACAGTTATGCAAGTGATTCGACAAGGTTATATTACTCAACTCAAAACTCCCATAAAATACATAGTTTTATGTTGCTCATTGTTGTCGAGATATAGGGATGACAATCAAACCTATGGTCGTGGGTACCTGAGTGCCCTCGACCCAGTATTGAATGGGTGTGGGGAAAACTCGCAAAACGTTTGATAGGTATGGGGCGGTATGGTTTTAGCCTCCCCGCCCCCATACCCATACCCGTCTCAGCAAGAACATTTCTTCACCTATGAAAAATACATGGATCAAATTGTAACCTATCAATGATAGCGTGAGGGCAACATAAGAAAATAAATAGTAGAAATGCAATTGAGCGACCACCCAAATCAAAATCTAATTCATTTACCTCAACTCTCCTTTCACTCTTTCACTTTTTTTCCTCGTGTTAAGAAGATAATGTTAGTTAATTATGATTTAGTAGATGTATTAGAGTAAGAGAATAATAATTTGGATTATATTGTACTCTATCTTATGAATTAATAAATGTTTTTAGGATAAGATGCTTTGAACAGTATTAAGAATGATTGTCTGTTTGTCAACTTCATGATTATAGTAGGTGCGTTTAATGTTATAGTTGAAAATTTATGTTTATGTATTATATGTTGGATGTACGGGCCGGGCGGGTATTACCCATGGATATCCGAAACCCACGGGTACGTGGATGAGTTTGAAAAACCTTTACACCGTATGAATATGTGATGGGGATGAGTTGTGCTTAATTACGAGGAAGTGTCACACGAACGTTTTACAAAAAAACAATATAATCTGCGACACAATTGGATCGATAACCCTAATTTTTGTGTTCGATTTCTCACATAAATTTGTCCGAATTCTCCAAATCATATCAGTCTTCCTTTTGGTGATACAAGGATAGGCTACTCTTATAGAGAGAAAAAGAAGTTATATATGGAAACCAACCAACTAGCCAACCAGGTGTGTATCGATATCATCAAGAAAAGAGGAAACGAAAATATCGAAACCATCAACATCTACACCAACACATGCACGTTTCATTATCAGAAAGAAAAGATCAGCCCAAAAGAAATACAGAGTAAACTACTAATACATGTTTGTGTCGCCATGAACAACAAGATCAATCTGTGATTGAGCAAAATTACGTCCAGCAACTGTTTATTACACGAGAGAGACACAATCCACACGATCTTCAAACATTCCCTTGGCCCAAGTCTTTCGATTGTCGGCGTAAAAGGACATATATATATATATATACGATCGATTATTGGTCCCTGCAGAGAAAATGAGATTTTTGTTAGACAAATTAACACGAACCATGCACGAAGTTAAGTGCAATTAGGGCTGAAAATTAGTTTGATCCGTTCCTAATTTCTGTCTGATCCATCTCTCAAGGGTCAGTTCCGGTCATAATTTTTTTAAAATTTCATTTTGGTACTCAAATTTATTTTTTCTTGCACCTAAACTTCATTTTTTCTATAAACAGGTCCATACTTTTTGGCGGTAAAATTAATATTTTAGTACGTTTGTATTTTTTTTACCTTGCATTATAGTACCTAAACTTCTAAAACTTTATAAAAATATTTGAGCAAGAAATGGACGTACGTACAATGGCTAACACACACTTACAGTTCGTAGGAAATCTTGGCAAACCCAGCTTGAGGCCTTGCAATAAATGCAAAGGCTTCTTCGGACAGCACGAACGTCGGGCAAGGCTTCTTGTCGGCTCCCGGCGAGCAGCTGTCGGTGACGGCCACCACGACGGGCTCCGCCGTTCTGCAGGGAGACGGCTGACCGTCCACGCCGCCGACGCAGCTAACTCTGTACTTTTGCCCGCAGATGTCACCGTTTCCGTAGAGGGCCTGGTTTACTCCGGTGAACATCGTCGTTATCGGCGGTCGCCACGTGCACGCTTGTGCTAGACGCGCAGGAAAAAAATGTCGTCATTAAAAAGCATTCGTAGCAATAATGGAATTAATAGTGGTCACTACAAAATTTACTTTTTGGAACCAGTTTCACCATCTAAAATTTTCTGTGTCGCAAATGTACATACCATCTAACTTACGAAAACCCATTATTCGTGAAATCCTATGTTTGCCGATTAAGTGAACGTGTGGATTATAAAAGGTGGCATAATCATGATTTTGTTTAAGGTGGGCCAGACGTAAAAAATAATGTTCATTGTTTTTTTTATATAATACAACTTGTTTTCATTTTAAAAATTATTTTAAATGTATGTATTATCTAAACGGCCGGCAAAAGAGTGTGTCCGTAATATATCTATTGAAAATTCATTCATAGCTTGATTACTTATTTGACATTAAAGTGTGTTCTTCATGTGCTTCATCTTCATTGTGGAAATATTCTTTCAAAACTTCTATATTAATTGAGAAGACTGCTTTACCAATAGTCGAGACTCAATCAGGAGACGTTTCGGCTTATATTCCTACCAATGTAATTTCTATTACAGATGGACAAATTTTCTTATCCGCTGATCTATTCAATACTGGAATCCGGCAACATAACTAACTTTACAAGTCGATACGCTAATAAAAAAATATGAAATCAATTTATATAAGTAAAAAAAAATCATAAAACTACGTGTAATTCATTAGTACATACGGTTCTTGGTAATAATAAGAATTTTTTTGCGTTTGAATTATACTCGCAACACCCCAATACCGTTATTTTATTGTATGTCGCCACCTGTCGAAACCAAGGTGGTGCCAAGGACTCACCTTAATTAGCAAGAGGTGGATCCCCCACTAGTTATTATAAATAGCTGGTTGTTATTATTATATGTTAAAGAACGACTAACCAGAATAAGGAGAACTGGTGAAACCAGCAGTGCCGCCATAATATTATTCTGCCAAGCTGAGAGTACTTGAGGAGACCAGCAGAAGCAAGCTTAGTAGGAGGAAAAAATTCAGGCCGGCCATGGCGGTCGCCGATCGACTGATCACTAATATCAACAAGCAGGGAGCAGTGGTATGAAGAAGAAGAAAGAAAGCAGATTCGATTAGATTTGTGTTGTGGGATATGATAAATATTTGCCGGACTATTTAATTTATAGGGGAGATTCCCTGAATATTGTTAAAAAATGATCACGACCTGTAGAGTTTCTCTGCCAAACGTAATGTTTGGTCGCTAAACTAATTAAGCAACGGTGTAAACTATATCTGTGAAAGCATTATCGATCTTAAGCTACATGCATGCATTGGGAACGACGTGGATCTTCAGCCGAATGAAATCCCGTTACCAAAGCTTTGTGATTTGGGTGGAGGACGTCGATGGATTTTAGACGACTAGCTTCACGGTGGAGGAATTAGGGATAGAAAACAAAATCCGAATCTACGGGTATTCTATCCGGTTTAATCCGGTCAATGCACCTGATTGTGGGTCGGTGTTCGGGTTGAAACCCATTGCACTGTTTATCGGGTTGAATTGGGTTCGGGTTTAGGTATATTTGACTCATGGATATCCGCTCACACCCATATCCCACAACCAGTTGTCGATTAATCGTGTTGTTCGTGGATGTTTATTTATAATATTGAACAATTGTATATATGGATATTTGTGGGTTTGCTTGTATGTACTAGATTGATGTTTTTTGTGTGGATAATTTGTTGGTGTTATACTTTTATTTTAACTTGAGATTGTATTATGCATTTTTCTCTATCAGAACTCATAGATATTCACGAACCCACGAATATCCAGTTGATTAGATTGAATTTGAGGTTCCGAGACTCATTACATTTTTTCACGCTTATTTACAGATATCCTCGCAGGATTAGTTTTGGATTTGATAGAACTCGACTTAACCTGACCTGATCCATTGTCATTCCTAGGTGGAATCGAGAAAAACGCATACATTAAATGGCTAGTATAGAAACATTGGCGACGACTGATCATAAAAAAAAAAAAAAAAACATTTGCGACAACTATATGTTCGAGAAAGGAGTCCTTCAACATTGATATTACCTTAACTTTATAATAATTATTCCCTCTTTTGATTGGTCATTGTTTCTCTAAGTAGTTGGAGTTGTCTCCTAAAAAAATAATGTATTTGGAGCTAGCTAGGCCCTTTTATATTGTCCAGTTGGGTGTTTGCGGAAATGGCCATCAGATTCAGATTTATACATGTGAACGACTGACTAGTCACGTCTTTAATAGTTAAAGAAAACAAAAAGTTAATTAGCTTTTTCTCGATCACTTTTTTCCTTTTAATTTCTTAAATTGCCGAGTGAATATTTCGTGAAGACTCATCTTGATGATGATATTTAAGATATTATTGAAGTTTGCCTCTTTCTAGAGTGGAGAGAATTTTTTTTTTTTTTTGGTTATAGATAGGTCTATACTGTCATAAGTAGGTGTACAATGCAATATGCTTACAAATATGTAAAAAATAAAATAATTAAATACGGCGGTGGACAACTAATCAATCCGCCGATAAAAGAGCCTTTTTAGCCACTCAAAGGGCAGCCCTGTCAATATCCTAAGAAATGCAATAAAGGATACAAGTGGAGAGAATATTAGGTGTAAGCAAGTAATTAGGAGGTTTGTCAATATTGGTAGTGCGACAACTGCAACTGAAATACATTGAAACTAAATGACTATATCACGCGATGATACAATAATAGTATATAAGTGTTAGGGACGTTAAATCGACAATCGTTCCGACGTAGTAAAGATTGTTGTCACTGCACCTGTAGCAGGACTGAGGACTTATCGCTAATGAAATTTTGGTAGTTACACAATGTTGTCTGTCACATGAGCTGAGTGATCAATCGGAGCATGAGTTATAATCATGTTAATTAGGAGTTGATTGTATTGTTGGTTAATCAACATCCAAGATAGCTAGTTAGTCATTTATGTTGGGTGGATCTTGAGTCATCAATTCGAGTTGCTGACGGGTTGGGTTGATATCTACATTGATCACAGATGAATATACTTTGATCGAATCTCATGACTCTAAATTTAGACGATCTCGATTTAAATGAAGAACATATAACAAAAATAAAAAAGAAAGTCAGATGTAGTTTATTTGAATCATCTCAAGATTCAAGAGTGCCTCTTCTCTCGGCACCTTGTAAGTACAAGACAGCCTTTCTTTCTTTTAATGACCGTTGGCATATTTTCGTCACTAATTGTCAGTGTGTATCGAAAAGCGTCGTCAACTCTGACTCCTGCTTTGTAATCACCAAAAAGTATTTGCGACGAAAAATACAAAGCCGCGACACCATCCACATTATTATTTATTTCTCTAACTCCCTTTCTTTTTTTTTTCTTCCTTTTTTTTCCTTCTGATTGATGAGCTCTTGATGTCCGCCTGGAAAAAAAAAGGGCTTGACTCTCCGGAAAGGCATCTCAAAGGTTGATCCTGCCATAAAAAAAAAAAATACACCGATCAAGATTCTGATATCATATCAAGAACGAATTTGTCTCGAATCTCGTGATCTGAGTACACTTACAACTCATAGGAAACGCTGACGACCCCAGCAGAGAGAGCTGCAATCGATCGGAAAGTCGGCTTGGATAGCACGAAAGTAGGGCAAGGCTCCGGCTTCCTGCCCGGAGCATCAGGCTCCGGCGTACAGCTGTCGGTGACCGTCACCGTGACGGTGTTGTTGCGACGCCGGCAAGGGTTGTGCTGGCCTTTGACGGCGGCGCCGACGCAAGTGACTTTGTACTGGAGCCCGCAGGCGCTGCCGTTGCGGTAGAGCACGTCGTTTACCCCCGTGAACATTGAGCCGGCGAAATGCCGCCGGCCGAAGCAGGACGAGTCTGCCCGGCGCCACGTACGCAAACCAAATTATGGTTAATTAATATCACGAAGATAATAATAATATTAATTCATCATACCCAAGTTTAGAGCTAGTAATTAGAAGAAAAAAAAGAAGATTGTATATTTGCATAAAAGTTAATTTGTCCATTTGTGGGAGGATGGACTAATTCAAACTTAAAACTTCTATTAAGCGAGTTCAATACTCTCTAATCATGGCTAGGCTACAAGCTAATTAAACAAGACAAATTATAAAAAGCGTTACTATATATATATATATATATATATATATATATATATATATATATATATATATATATATATATATAACTACATAGTTACGTGCTTATATGATTTCACTCGGAAAAATAAGCAATATGCACTCTAAACTAAACGTAGGTTTTAACCGTCAAATTTTAAATTTTAGTGTCAGTCTAATTTGATGATATAAAGATGAACTAAGATTAGAGGTGGCAATTAGGATCAAATCCATGAATCCAATTCAATTCATCCACTAAATTATCCACTTAATCCAATCCATTTGATCCAAATTCAATTGGATTGGTGGGTTCATGGATCAATCCATGAATCCACTTAATCCATCCAAATCCATTTAAAGATGAACTAAGATTAGAGGTGGCAATTAGGATCCAAATCCATGAATCCAATTCAATCCATCCACCAAATTATCCACTTAATCCAATCCATTTGATCCAAATCCAATTGGATTGGTGGATTCATGGATCAATCCATGAATCCACTTAATCCATCCAAATCCATATAATGAGGGTACATACATAAGTAGAGGTGGCAATTAGGATCCAAATCCATGAATCCAATTCAATCCATCCACCAAATTATCCACTTAATCCAATCCATTTGATCCAAATCCAATTGGATTGGTGGATTCATGGATCAATCCATGGATCCAAATGGCAAATTATGATTTGGTACCTATATTTTTTATATTTTACATTTTGGTACCTAAAATTTATATTTTTATACGAAAAAATCATTGGAAAATTACATTTTGGTACCTAAAAATTTTCATTGTTACATTTTAGTACCTAAACTTCACAAAATTTACATTTTTGTCCAATCCATGAATCAATGCACCAATCCATTTGATCCAATCCATGAATCCGATCCAATTTACATTTTAGTACCTAGACTTAGAGGTCCAAGCCTTGGATGTCATTTGGATTCATGGATCAATCCACCAATCCATTTGATCCAATCCATGAATCCACCAATCCATTTGATCCATGGGTCCACCAATCGAATCCACGAATCCGATCCAATTGCCACCTCTAAGTCTAAGATTCATCCATGTATTATCCTTGGTCCTAAACCCAAAAATTCAATCCAACCCTAAACTGTTAAACTACAAGTAAATTAAATCATTTCTGTGCAGATATATCTATTTCCTTTTTTATCGTATTATAACTGACGAGTGACGATTGACATAAATCACACGATTAAATTTTTTTACGAGGTGGGTGCACCAAATGCGAACCCTGCTTACCGGAAATCGGAGAAGCAGTGAAGGCAGCGGTCCCTGTGCCTTTCTTCTGATCCGGAGGTGGCGGACGAGGGATAGTAGCTTGACACAAGGTTAGGGCTAAGGTGGAAGCAAAGAGCAATAATAGCGCCGGCGGTAAGATGGTCGGGAAAAAGGAGTTGTGGCCGGCCATGTCAAAGCAATGGGAAGGGGGACTAGATATAGCTAGAGAAGAGCACTTTGGCCTTTGGTGGTGTTGTATGGGAATTGGGATGATCGACGTAGGGTTATGGCCGGTGGCTATTTATATTAGAGGAGTGAGCTAGAAAATAATCGCAAGTAGTTTAACCCCATTTGCTTGAGAGTTTCTGTGACAAACGTAATGTTTATTATTACTAATTAAGCTAGCTAGCAAGAGATTTGTATTTAACCGTAATTAGGCTAGAAATGCATCGGAATCCACGACTAAGGATAATGTAAATATTGAAACGGTAAGGAGTATAGGTGTTCAGATGGAGTGGTTACCGTTAATAGGCATGGATAATTTGGTATGATCTGATTAAATTTTTTTTAGTTTGTTTGAATTAGGTTATTTGGTTTCAAACACTAATGATCACCAACATTTAGTCATGCATCTAATATATTATAGATTACATACTTAATACTTTGTATCATAAAAGAATCTGACTCTTCATAATACAAGTTCAGTTTGCACAAGAACTAAAGATATAAATACAGATTGTACTATAATATTTTCTTACAACAAGTTATAGATACAAACTGAATTTTTAAATATACCATAATATTTTTGTATACTAACATACCGATACTATAAGCATTGTAAATTCCTCGTAAATATATTCCTCGATCAAAGGCGCGAACTTACATAAAGCTCCCGCCAAATAGCAATATTTCCGCGGCTTAATATAATAACGACTAACAATATAACCCTTTCGGAGTACTTCAGCACACATCGAAAAATTCGATCCCTAAGAAGTTACATATCTTATATCATTCTATTAACGAAACCGTAGTACAACAACCAAAATATACAAAATTTTCTAACGTGTAGAATCACTCATGATTTCTGCAACATAATTACTCATCGTTGTGGCCACCTTTTTTCTTTTCTTCAACCCTGGATAGAAACGTGGTAAACTATTAGTTAGGTATAGATCCATATAGTAACACGGGGAAAGCAAGAAAAAAACAGCTAGCCTTCAAGCACTACGACGACGAGAGGTTCTTTTCCGACGAAGTCACTAATTAAGGACAGTTTTAGCGACAATCTCGTCGCTTTTGGCGACGACCTTGGTCACCAAAAACAACTGTTTTTCTTGTGTGACAAACTTGCAACTTGAAAGTAACGAAAACGACACCTGCCTGTTAGAGAGTGGTATATGATCCAGTATAACCTTCTCCCAACAACTCGAGTTATTGGGAGCAACTGATTCTTGACATGGTATCAGAGCCTAGAAGCGAAAGGTCATTCGTTCGAATCTCCACGACCTCCAATATTAACATTTGTCTTTCAAGCACATGGCATGGTGGGCCTGTGCAAACTTCAAGCCCATGGGTTGACTTTCGTTTGAGGGGGCGTGTTAGAGAGTGGTATATGATCCAGTATAACCTTCTCCCAACAACTCGAGTTATTGGGAGCAACTGGTTCTGGCACCCGGGCAGTCAAGGTTAATGGTTTCTCAGTTTCTCACCATACTAATATTTTCGCAACCATATCAAGTTCAGGTGGCAAATAGTTCATTACAAATTAATTTTTTTTAATTGCTTAATTGGGCTTTGCGTTGGTTCTGGTGTATGGTATGTTAGCGAACTAACCACTTGGTCCCAATAACTCGAGTTGTTGGGAAAGAGTTTGTTAAGTCTTTTAATCTCTTACACGCCTCCTCAAACGAAAGTCGATGCCAAATTGTGGATTTTTTACGGTTTGTACAGGTTGAACCCTTGTGCTGCCAAACCACGAGGCTTTAGTTTGCACAAGTTGGACATACCATCCTTTGTACTAAACAAATTGGCATTAAATGGGGGTCGTCATGAGGATTCGAAACCATGACCTTTCGGTTCTAGGCTCTGATACCATGTAAGCGAACTAATTATTTGGTCACAATAACTCGAATTGTTGGAAAAATATTTGTTAAGTCTTTTAATCTCTTACGTGGTAGCTTGAGGCTTTTTATAGCGGTGAACAATTGAACATCACATCAATGTTGCCAGTGATATGTCTTTGATATGGTACTGATTTATGCTTTGGGAACATGATGATGGTCAAGAGTGTGACAGTTTAGGGGTATAAAATATGGTGGGGGAGTGGTAGGGCTGAAAATTTGCCTGTCCCGTCCCTGTCCCGTCCCTTACCCTGTCTGTCCCGTCCCTAAAGGGACAGCTTGCATAATCGACCCGTCCCGTCCCTGTTCTCTTCTTGACCCTGTCTGACCCTTTAGGGTCGGGACGGGACGGGATGGGACGGGTCAGCGGGTCGACCCTCTCCGACACAAAATTAAATCAATTACGAAATTAATTTCAAAAAATATTTTTTTTACGAATTTCAGTTCAGATAATTATTTATTCATCAAATTAATTCCAAAAAATTAATTAATCACCAAAATAATTCCAAAAATTTAATTAATCACCAAAATATTAATCAATTGTCAAAATAATTCCAGAAAATTATTTATTTACCCAATTTATTCTAGAAAATCATTTATTTATCAAATTAATTCCAGAAAATTAATTAATTAATTATTTAAATAATTTATTTATGAAATTATTTCAGAAAATTAATCAATTACGAAATTAATTTCAAAAAATCATTTTATTTACGAATCTCTGTTCATAAAATTATCTATTCATCAAATTAATTCCAAAAAATTAATTAACCACCAAAATATTCCAAAAATTTAATCAATCACCAACATATTTCCAAAATATTAATCAATTGTCAAAATAATTCCAGAAAATTATTTATTTACCCAATTAATTCCAAAAAATTAATCAATTGCCAAAATAATTTCAGAAAATTATTTATTTACCAAATTATTTACCAAACTCCCATAATATATGTGCTTGATGAAAGGATGAAATGACATCAATTATTAAATAATCATCAATGACATCATTGTTCGATAATAATCAAGTACATCATACTCATGATCACACAATACATCATTGTTCGATAATAATCAAGTACATCATACTCATGATCACACAAGACATCATTGTTCGATAATAATCAAGTACACCATTCTTCAATCATCGTCAACTAAATCACTCATGATAGTACAATCATCCAAGCAAGACTCTTTCAACTCTGCAAAATTAACAACACATCAAATAAATTAATAATGATCTAAATAAAATAGTGAATGTTAAAAACAAATTACTTTTCATACCTTGTTCAAGTTCTTCGATTTCTTCAAAATTCTCTTCCATGTCGATTGGAAGAGTACTCGAGCGAAGCCAATTTTGACCACAAATTAAACTTTCAACAACCAAGGGAGTCAAAGAACTCCGAAATGCATCTAAAACGCGCCCCCCGGTACTGAAAGCAGACTCAGATGCAACTGTGGATACTGGAATCGCCAACACATCTCTAGCCATCAAGCTCAGTATTGGATACTCACTAGAATGCTTCTTCCACCATGCTAAAATGTTAAAAGTTATGTCCTCATCATCCTCAAGATTCGCCTTTAAGTACCTCTCAAGCTCCGAAAGTGTAGTTTCTCCCACCCTCTCTTCCATTCTCTTTCTCTTGAATTTTTTCTTCAAATAATCTTCCACACTTTCAGATTCATCATTCTCATTTGGTGTTGCACTCCCCACACTTCTTGATGAGCTTTCACAAGTAACCCCTCTCATTTCCGAATAGTCATTAAACATATCATCCAAAACTCCCTTCACACTCTCAAACAACTCATCTTTAGTCCAAATTCCCCCATGTTCTATCCCATAAACCTCATCAAGCGCAAAACAAACATACTCCAACTTGTACCTCGGGTCAAGAACCACAGCAATAAACAGCAAAGGGTTGATGTTATCAAAGGAGCCCCAATACTTATCATGCTTAGCTTTCATTCTTCTTGCCATGGATTTATGACTCTCAATTTTTGATGAAGTTTCCTTTGTAAGCTTACAAGCAATTCCATATATGACATGAAAGAGATCATTACTTGTGACATACAAAGAACCCGAAACTTTCATTGTAGCATCATAAAAAATCTTCAGAAAAGGAACTAGAGACTCCACGTAATGCCAATCCAACTCATTTGGTGTCCCTTTCAATTTCTCTAGCTCAACTTTATACTTATCATCTTCTTCCTCTAACCTCTCAAATGCTCTTTTAAATACCAAAGCGGACTCCAACATCAAGAAAGTGGAATTCCATCTAGTCTCCACATCTAAACACACTAGTTTCTTGGTCTCCAACTTCTCCTCATGGGCACAAGTCTTAAATCTCTGCATTCGAGAGTTTGATGACCTCACATATCTCACAGCGGACCGAATACGATGGATTGAATCATCAACATCTTTCAATCCATCTTTCACAGTCAAGCTCAATATGTGAGCACAACATCTCATGTGAAGATGTATTCCCTTCAACACACTCCCCTTCCAATTGTTAATCCTCTTCTTCAAATATGTCATGCCCACATCATTCGAACTTGCATTATCGACTGTCACGGTTAGAACCCTATCAATTCCCCAATTAAGCATGTGTTTTTCAACCGTTTTTCCAATCGTGAGACCCGTGTGATTAGGAATGGGAGAGAAGTTGATAATTCTTTTCTGCATTTTCCATTCATTATCAATGAAATGAGCAGTTAGACTCATGTAGTCCAAATGATGTCTACTTGCCCATATATCGGTTGTGAGGCAAACTCTAATCTGTGACTGCTTGAAGTAGATGGACATTTTAACTTCGATGAACAATATTTGCAAACAGCTTTTCTAGTTTCCTTATCCGACCAATTTTGTCTATTATAATGCTCCCATACAGCTGAAGTTCCGAATGTACCTTCTTCATTTTCATCAACTTCCAATGGAAGATTTCCTTGAGAAGGTGCATTGGTGGAGACCTCCATGGGATTACTGCTAGCTTCATCCATATCCTGCCATTTTAATGAATCAAATATTAATATCCTATCATTTGTTTAATTCTTGCCCTCTCCAAGACTTTGCTAGCTATTCTAAGTATAAATACAGTACAGATGCAAGCTGCTCTTTGGTCAACTTCAAAGCATAAATAGTCATTAAAATGCAACTGATCCCTCCTTTATCAACTTCAACATCAAAGCATTATTTATAAACAGAAGCCACTACTGCTCTGGCATGATGCATTATTTATAAACAGTGTCATCTCCTCTCTTTCATTTTCTGTGTTGTGTAAGTCAAGAGACAGAATTTTGCAGGCAGATCGAACAAGTACCTTTATAACTTCAGGTGATGTTGGTCCCAAAACTCGAAGCTATCTTACGAAAATAGGGAAGATGGTAGACAAGTACCCGACCAACTGAAGGGAGAAACAACTCAGTCAAGTTATCAACAAGACTTCAAAAGAGTAAATCCAGATTAATATGATAGATAGAGACCTCATCACTGACCTGTTCTATTATGGTCTTCCCAGAGTAACCTTCAATGACCAAACCTGCTGTGAGACCTATGGCTATCATCCCCCATGCTCCATTGATCGCCTCGATATCATGCCGGCTGTACCAGAATTAGACAATACCAATTTTGCTTAGAGACAATATAACAACAATTTTTGTGTTCTGGAAGTTACTACACAAAATTAGCAACCAGTTACTACACTTAATTTACATTCCAAGTATCATAGTTGAATCAGTAAAGGGTTGCCATAAAGAAAATACCCAGTGGTAAATTCATAACCAGGAAAGGTTAAAAGCAAAAAACACAGAAGAACAGGGATGATCTGAAGTATGCCACATGCCCATGAACTTGAGAGAAGAACTAGAAAGACAAGAACAGACCAGACGGACATATATAGGGAATATAATAGACTACAAATGGAGTAATAATAGTTCCATTAGATTAATTGAAAGGGAAACTCTGTGTCGACCCAAATTGCTTTCATCATCCTCTTCTTCTCACCTTACTCCCTTTCCCTCATCTCAAATCCCAAACCCTCCTTCCAAAAGTCCAAACGACAATTACTACTACAACAACAGCCAGCCATCTATCCACAGTCCACAACCCACTCAATAAGGAATCAAATTCCCCCATTGTACCTTTTCTTGGGTTTTCAAAAGGATCGGAAGAAAGTAACAACAAAATGAAAAGAAAAGAAAACACCCTAGTGGGGTTCGTTGGTCAATCAATCGAGGTTTGTAACACAGCAAAGGAGAGGAAACTTACCGCAACAATCAGTCGAGCTTTTAGGGTTAATGGATGAGAGGGATGGAGGGTTCGTGAAGGGATTCTCCAAGCCCTCGCGGCCGACGAGGAAGGCAATCGTCCTTGCGGTTGGAGAAGGAGGACTGGGCGTCGACGCCGGACGACAATCGCCGGCAGTCGCCGAGAATGAAGGGTGAAGATTGAATGGTTTTAGGTCAATGGAAATACGAAAGTAATCGAGAGGAATGGAGAGTGGAGAAGTGTTTGTTCTCTTTAGTTTTCAAATTTTTACGGGTCTAAAGTGGGGTTTCGGGTCAGATGGGCTTTTTTAGGGACAGAGTACAGTTTGACCCGACCCTTACAGGGACAAGGAGAAGACCCGTCCCAAAGTTGTCCCTCTATGCAAATAGACCCGGCCCGGCCCTTAGGGACGGGACGGGACGGGTCGGGTCTTCGGGTTTTCAGGGTCAGCATTGCACCCCTAGGGAGTGGCAAAAACCAAATTTCATATGAGTGAAGATCTCAATAGGAGAGTGAATTCAACTGAAATTGAGATGTCTTGTAAAGTTTTGTTCTATATGAAGAAGAAGAAAAAAGGTAACATTTTTATTTTGTTGTTGGTGCCGATTAAGGAATTTGAACCTATGGCCACTGAATTGAATACCAGCAAACCCGTCGGAAAAAGAATCGGAGTTTACCATGTGCAAAATTCGTCAGTCTGACTCGGTCTACAAACCAAAAGTACTCAATCGTCGGGTCGGCTGGAGACCCATAATCGATTTCCTCCCAAAGATCCACATGGATGACGACATAGAACTCGATACTTTCATGGCATAGACATCCAACAATCAAAACCATCATGTAGAACGAACAAACACCTTGTGCACCTATGGCGTCTCCACATGGCTGGTTCCAAACGCACCAAAACAGAATCCTCTCGAGTCTCCATCAACCATCAGTATCTTCTTTCAAAGATTCCTAATTCCGATTTGAGTAATGAAACTAATAATTAGCAACAACTTCCAGCTTCAGGAAAACAAGCGTCCGCGAGGCATCTTCCTTCCTTGTCCGCGAGAGCTCTGTTTTTTCAGATATGGCAATGGCATATTTCAAAATCCCAACTCTGTTTTTGCTTGTTTGCTCATTTGGGTCATCCCCAGCTGGTGGAATCAGCAACCAGACCGACGAACAAGCTCTGCTCGATTTCAAATCCAAGATTACTTCCGACCCACTTGGAATCTTCAGCTCCTGGACCAACCACAACAACTCTTCCTCTTCTTCTTCTTCACTCCATTTCTGCAAATGGGCAGGGGTCACCTGCGACAACGGCGACGAAAGAGTCACCCGGCTCGACCTCAGCGCTCATCAGCTCCAAGGCACAATTTCCCCATCCATCGCCAATCTCACTTCTCTCCGGCAACTCCTGCTCCACCACAACAGCTTCACCGGCGAAATCCCGCCCGGAATCGGCGTCCTGGCAAGCCTCCAGGTGCTCCATCTGAACACCAACTTCCTCACAGGCGAAATCCCGCGGAATGTCTCCGCCTGGTCCGACCTCATCTACCTCAACCTCGGAATCAACAAGCTGGTCGGGAAGATTCCCGACCGGCTCGATACTACGAAGCTCCGGTATCTCAACCTTGAATCGAACAATCTCACCGGCGGCATCCCGCCGTCGCTCGGCAACATTTCCTCTCTGGAAACAATCGGAATGGGTTTCAACAGCCTGGGAGGAACGATCCCCGAATCGTTCGGCCGCCTCGAGAGGCTATCTGTACTCTCAATTGGAGGCAACTCTTTGACGGGAATCTTCCCGCTTTCCATCTACAACATTTCCTCGATTGTCTATCTCTCTGTTCCCCTGAATCAGCTTCAGGGGACGCTCCCCGCTGAATTGGGGAACGTTTGGCCGAATCTCGCCGAACTCAACATCGGCCAAAATCGGTTCACAGGGGCAATCCCTGCTTCGCTGGCCAATGCTTCCAACTTGGAGAGGTTAACTATTACTGATAACGGAATCTCTGGAACTCTGCCGTCCTTTGAGAAGCTGCAAAAGCTTTGGTGGCTGAGCATTTCGTATAACTTGCTTGGAACCGGTGAAGCGGGTGATCTCGATTTCATTTCCAGTGTCAGCAATCTGTCGAGTTTACAGTTGGTTTCTCTGGGTTTCAACAATTTCGGCGGATCGCTGCCGGAATCGGTCGTTAATTTTACAGAGGTTTCGAGTCTGCGAATGAAGGGTAACAAGATAACAGGGAGAATGCCGCGAGGGATGTCGAATTTGAAGAAATTGGAATGGTTGGAGTTGAGTAACAATCAGTTTTCGGGCTCTGTTCCTGAAGAAATTGGGGAATTGGGGGGGTATTTGAAAAGATTGTATCTTCAGGGGAACAGATTCTCCGAAGGGAGAATTCCTTCTTCTTTTGGAAATTTAACTCAGCTGACGCATCTAGACATGGAGCAGAGCTCGATTCAGGGGGAAATTCCATCAAGCTTGGGGAACTGCCGGAGTTTGCTCTGGCTTAATCTCAACGGAAACAATCTCACCGGAGAAATCCCTGGAGAAATTCTGAGCATTGAATCTCTAACCATCTACTTGGGCTTGGCCGAAAACAGACTCACGGGATCTCTGCCGAGACAAGTCGGAACCTTGAAGAATCTAGGAGTACTCAACGTTTCACACAACCTGTTGTCCGGCGAAATTCCGGCGAGTCTCGGAAGCTGCGTTCTGCTGGAGGCACTTGTGTTGCAGAACAATTCTTTTCAGGGAGTTATTCCTTCGTCTTTGAGTTCGTTGAAGGGGATTCAACTCATGGATTTGGCTAACAACAATTTTACCGGAGAAATCCCGCAGTTCCTCGGGAGCTTCCGGTCACTCACAACCTTGAATTTGTCCTTCAACAGATTCCATGGCAGAGTGCCGGACGAAGGCTTGTTCAGAAACTCAACGGCGGCTTCCGTTACAGGAAACGGCGAGCTATGCGGCGGTATTTCTGAATTACATCTGCCTCCCTGCACGATAAATAAAAAAGCGAAGAGACTTTCCGTGGAAATCATCGCAGCTTCCATCTTTGTAACCCTTGCTCTGTTTTCATATGTCCTGTTTCTGCTCTGTATCAAGAGAAAGAACAGAGTGGACCCAGATGCAGAATCTTCGGCAAGTCCTTTTCCACAAGTGTCTTACCACAGCCTACGGAAGGCGACTGAAGAATTCTCTCCCCGGAATTTGGTCGGAACGGGAAGCTTCGGTTGCGTCTACAAAGGCATCGACCCGAAAGATGGGAAAATCATCGCCGTGAAAGTTCTGAACCTTCTGCACCCGGCGGCTTCCAAGAGCTTCAGAGTCGAATGCGAGGTTTTGAGAACCGTCAGACACCGCAATCTTCTCAAGCTACTAACATCATGCTCGAGCATCGACACCGAAGGGAACGAATTCAAGGCCTTGGTTTATGAATTCATGCCCAACGGGAGCTTGGACGAATGGCTGCATCATGACCAAGCATCTGAAATTGAAGCAGACTCGGACTACGCATCCCCTCCTCCGAGGAAGAAGCAATTGAATTTGATTGAGAGATTGAACGTGGCAATCGATGTGGCGAGTGCTTTGGAGTATCTTCATCATGGTCTGGATACTCCAATTGTTCATTGCGATTTGAAGCCCAACAATGTTCTTCTCAATCATGAAATGACAGGAGTGGTCGGCGATTTCGGGCTTGCTAGACTGTTCCCAGAAGCCAAAGCCATCATTAGTCGTACCATGTCTAGCAGCTTCGGAGTTAGGGGAACCATAGGCTACACAGCTCCAGGTGAGAGCCATTACTTGTTGCAGCTTTCCAACCCAACCATTACTAACATTGGTGATTAATTTGTAGGGATTCATAAATAGCATGAAAATTTTATTGTTGCTTCAATTGAATTTGCAGAATATGGGATGGGAAACGAAGTATCCACGAGCGGAGATGTGTATAGCTATGGGATGCTGTTGTTGGAGCTATTCACAAGGAGGAGACCAACGAATGAGATGTTCGAGGACGGCCTGAACCTGAATTTGCATGGTAAGGTGGATTCCTGGGAAGAAGCGAAAGAGATATTGGACGTAATTTTGGTCGATGAGATTGAAGAAACAATGATATATGCCGCCAGAAACACTATAATTCAGGAATGTGTTCTCTCAATACTTAGACTTGGGGTGGCTGCTTCGACAGAGTCACCCCAACAACGGATGAGCATCAGTGACGTTGCAGTGGAATTGCTTGGAATCAAGGAGAAACTTGTAAAAAACTGGGTTCCTGCAAGCAAGCGAAAGCAATATTGGACTACTACTTCTGTTCGAGGAGATGTAAGAAACCTCGATATATACACCAAAAACACTTCGATTCAAGATTGTGAGTCGAAAACATGAGGGTTAGGAGAGTGGAAGTTGAACGATTTTGACCATTGGTATTAGATTGGGGGCCAAAGTCTTGCCAATCGAATTGTTTATCGGCCGGAAGGAGTCACTTAATGCATAGATCTTCTCTTTTGAATCAAATTGAGCAATCATATGCTAAACCAAACCATCTTTCTTAACCCGTGGTTAACTTTCCCTGTGACCCTCCGTTAATTTTACCGTACCCAATAATACCTACACCGTAGTGGTCAATATAACAACCGTTTTGACTTTTAACTACGAAAATATTACCCACCGTATTGTTACCATGGCTAAAAGTATTAACCATGTAATGTGCCTATTAACCACCGTTGTTACCTTAATTAATCATGCATCTTCATGTAGTGGTCTCTTGCTTGCTTCATGGGGTTTTACGTTGGTGTTCATCTAGTCTACCTAATGGAAGACAGAGTGGAGAAAGAGGCCTGCGAGAAATTTTGAAGGAAGCTCGAGGCTTTTCATTGTGGGTGTTATAAACGCGCTGCTACGGATCGGGAAATCGCCGGAATCGACAAAGCAAGAATACGAAAGCGAGAATCGAAAACACGACACACGATTTACGTGGTTCACTAACACGATGTGTGTTAGCTACGTCCACGGGCGAGAGAGAGCCAGTTTCACTATATCAAGGAGATTACAGATTACAGAGGAGTATGAGAAGTATTTATAGTACTTCTCCATATGGGTCTAAACCTAATCCAATCTAGCAAAGGACCCCGATTACCAGTCGTAGCGGCTGATAGTCCGATTCAAGTCATATCAACAGTGGGGAGGTAAATGGGGAACATGAATACATGATGATGATGAGGAGGAATATTAAGACTGCCGGCCACATGTTAGTAGCTAGCTAGCCGGCCGGAGTATATTAAGACTGCCGGACTTTGGTGTAGGTAGGAGACACTTTCGAGACTGCCGGAGTTTCTTTCTCTTTGAAAAGGAAAGTGTGATGATTAAGATTTTGACAGTTCAGGATATAAAAAATGGTGGGGAGTGACAACAACCAGAAGTTTTTATGAGTGTAGAGAATCTTAACAGGAGAGTGAATTCAAATCAACAAGAGGGAATCTAAGACCGGCATTGCTCACAGTCGGCAATCACAGTGGACGGCAATCACCTGTAATACTAACATTGGCGGCAATTGCACATTTGATCTCCGTTCGCTAGTTTGCAGGATACCAGCCATTGCAGTCGACGATACTTTCAGCCAAATGCAAAGAAACAAACTCCTTCCCAAGTCTCCATCAGCTATCAGTAAAATCCGTTCAAAGATTCCCATTACGATCTGAGTTTCGAAATTAATATTAATTAGCAGCAACCTTCAGCTTCAGGATAACCCCGCGTCCGCAAAACCGTGATTGCTCTGTTTTCAGAGATGGCATATTTCAAACTCCCAACTCTGTTTTTGCTCGTGTGCTCATTTGGGTCGTCGCTAGCTGGTGGAATCAGTAACCAGACTGACGAACAAGCTCTGCTCGATTTCAAATCCAAGATTACTTCAGACCCACTTGGAATCTTAAACTCCTGGACCAACTACGCCAACTCTTCTTCTTCTCTACTCCATTTCTGCAAATGGGCAGGGGTCACCTGCGACAACAACGGCAGCGAAAGAGTCACCCGGCTCGACCTCAGCGCTCGTCTCCTCGAGGGAACAATTTCTCCATCCATCGCCAATCTCACATCTCTCCGCGAACTCCTGCTCCAAAACAACAGCTTATCGGGCGAAATCCCCGCCGGAATCGGCAGATTGGCGAGCCTCCAGAGGCTCCATCTCCACACCAATTTCCTCACCGGAGAAATACCGCGGAACACCTCCGGCTGGTCCAGCCTCATCTACCTGAGCCTCGGCAAAAACAAGCTGGTCGGAAGGATTCCCGATACGCTAGCTACCGGGAAGCTCAGGTATCTGAATCTCGAACTCAACAATCTCACCGGCGGCGTCCCGTCGTCGCTCGGGAACATTTCCTCTCTGGAAGCGATCGGAATGGGGTTCAACAACCTGGGAGGAACGATCCCCGAATCGCTCGGCCGCCTCGATAGGCTGTCCGCGCTCTCAATGGGAGGCAACTCTTTGACGGGAGCCATCCCGCTTCCCATCTACAACATTTCTTCCATCGTCTATCTCTTCTTACCGGTGAATCGGCTTCAGGGGACGCTCCCCGCCGAATTGGGCAACCTTCTTCCGAATCTCGCCGAGCTCAACATCGGCGAGAATCAGTTCACCGGGACATTCCCTGCTTCGCTGTCCAATGCTACAAACTTGGAGAGGCTTACAATCACCGCCAACCGTATCTCTGGAGCTCTGCCGTCACTGGAGAAGTTGCATAAGCTCTGGTGGCTGAGCGTTTCGACGAATTCGCTTGGAACCGGTGAATCTGTTGATCTCGAATTCCTTTCCACCGTCAGCAATCTGTCGAGTCTGCAGTTGGTTGCTCTGAATAACAACAATTTCGGGGGATCGCTGCCGCAATCAGTCGTTAATTTTACAGAGCTTTCGAGTCTGGTTGTGAATAATAACAAGATGACTGGGGAAATACCTGAAGGGATGGCGAAATTGAAGAAATTGGAATGGCTGCATTTGGGTAACAATCAGTTTACAGGTACGGTTCCAGAAGAGCTTGGGAAATTGGGGAATCTGAAGAAATTGTATCTCCACGGGAACAAATTCTCAGAGGGTAGAATTCCGTCTTCTTTTGGGAATTTAAGCAAGCTGACACATCTCGGCATGCAGCAGAGTTCGATTCAGGGGGAAATTCCATCAAGCTTGGGGAATTGCCGGAATTTGCTATCCCTGAATCTCGACAGAAACAATCTCACCGGAGAAATCCCTGGAGAAATTCTCAGCATTGAGTCTCTAACTATCTACTTGGGTTTGGCTGAAAACAGACTCACAGGATCTCTGCCGAGACAAGTCGGAACCTTGAAAAATCTGGGGATACTTAACGTTTCCCACAACTTATTATCCGGCGAAATTCCGGCGAGCCTTGGAAGCTGCAGTAGTTTGGAGGGGCTTCTGTTGCAGAACAATTCTTTTCAGGGAGTGATTCCTATGTCTCTGAATTCATTGAAGGGGATTCAAGTCTTGGACTTTGGTAACAACAATTTGACTGGAGAAATCCCGCAGTTCCTGGGGAGCTTCCAATCACTGACAAGCTTGAATCTGTCTTCCAACAGATTCCATGGCAGAGTGCCGAACGAAGGCGTGTTCAGAAATTCAACGATGGCTTTCGTTACAGGGAACCGCGGACTATGCGGTGGCATACCTGAATTCAAACTGCCTCTCTGCAACAACAATAAGAAAGCAAAGAGGCTTTCCTTGGCAATCATCGTAGCTTCCATCTTTGTTTCCCTGGCTCTGTTTTCATCTGTCCTGTTTCTGCTCTGCATCAAGAGAAAGAACAGAGTGGACCCAGATGCAGAATCTTCGGCAAGTCCTTTTCCACAAGTGTCTTACCACAGCCTGCGGAAGGCGACGGAAGAATTCTCTCCCCGGAATCTGGTCCGAACGGGAAGCTTCGGTTGCGTTTACAAAGGCATCGACCCAAAAGATGGGAAAGTTATCGCCGTGAAAGTTCTTAACCTTCTTCACCCAGCAGCTTCCAAGAGCTTCAGGGCCGAATGCGAGGTTTTGAGAACCGTCAGACACCGCAATCTCCTCAAGCTACTAACATCGTGCTCGAGCATCGACACTGAAGGGAACGAATTCAAGGCCTTGGTTTATGAATTCATGCCCAACGGGAGCCTGGAAGAATGGCTGCATCATGACCCTGCATCTCAAATCGAAGCGGACTCGGACTTTGCTTCCCCTCCGAGGAAGAAGCAGTTGAATTTGCTTGAGAGATTGAATGTGGCAATTGATGTGGCGAGCGCGTTGGAGTATCTTCATCACGGCCTAAAGACTCCAATAGTTCATTGCGATTTGAAGCCGAGCAATGTTCTTCTCAATCATGAAATGACAGGGGTTGTTGGAGATTTCGGGCTTGCCAGACTTTTCCCCGAAGCCAAAGCCATAGTTATCAGTCGCAGCCTGTCCTGCAGCTTTGGAGTCAGGGGAACCATAGGCTACACAGCTCCAGGTGAGAGCCATAACTTGTTGCACCTTTCCAACCCAACCTTTACTAACATAGGTAATTTATTTGTAGTGATTCAAAAATAACATGAATATTTTTTGTTGTTGCTTCAATTGAATTTGCAGAATATGGGACGGGAAACGAAGTATCTACGAGCGGAGATGTGTATAGCTACGGGATGTTGTTGTTGGAGTTGTTCACAGGGAGGAGACCAACGGATGAGATGTTCGAGGACGGTCTGAACCTGAACTTGCATGCTAAAGTGGATTCCTGGGAAGAAGCAAATGAGATATTGGACGTAATTTTGCTCGATGAGATTGAAGAAACAATGATATATGCCGCCAGAAACACTATAGTTCAAGAATGTGTTCTTTCAATACTTAGACTCGGAGTAGCTGCTTCGACAGAATTGCCCGAGCAGCGGATGAGCATCAGTGACATTGCACTAGAACTGCTTGGAATCAAGGGGAAACTTGTAAAAAAGTGGGTTCCTGCAAGCAAGCAAAAGACATATTGGACGTCTACTTCCGTACGAGAAGATGGAAGAAACCTCGATATATGCACCAGAAACACTTCCATTCAAGATTGTGAGGCAGAAATATGAGGGTTAGGAGAGTACTTGAACGATTTTGACCCTTAGGTAATTAGATTGGGGGACTAAAGCCTGACCAATTGAATCGTTAATCGGCCGGAAGGAGTCACTTAATGCATGGATCTTCTCTTTTAAACAAATTGAGCAATAATATGCTACATCAAATCAGACCATTTTTCGTCACCATAGCTTCAAAATTTAATGATCTTGATATAGAAGGGCTCGACGCAGCTCCTTCCAAAGAGTCGCGCGCAGAGAACGGATGAGCATCAACCGTTTTGCAGAGAAACGCAGGAGAAAACTTGTATAAGATTGGTCATGTTCCGTTTTCACAAACATACGCTTCTTGATTTTCTTGTTCGAAGCTTATAGTTTGGTCACAATAAGATATATTTTTAATGACCATTCTCGGATTTGGTCTCCAATCACAATGTACTGGTCAGCAAATGTTTTGCCAACAAGGCAAATGTGACTACTGTTGCAACCACACATAATGATCGCTATAACCTGTTGGAACCGGAACTTGACATTTGTGACCGTTTCCGCCGTGGCAAGAGACCAATTTGGTCCATAGAGTGATAGAGACTTATAGTATCGATATTAGTAACGAAATCAAGATAAAATCATATTAAACCCGTTACTAATACACGATTTTCTCAGTACGATCGGACGACAAATGTGATCCCAAATCCCTCAAGGAAATATTGACCAATCCCACGGGCATCGAGTATCACAGAACAACTTACAAGGTCAAAAACAACATATACGAAAATTCCTCACTCACTCAAAGCTCCAGCCGATAAAATAAAAATCCACGTGTCGCACCACTACTGATGAATAGCTCTCTACCCCAATCTGCACATTCAGAGTGCAGCGATAATACGTTAGTTTACCGCCAAAGTTCAAATATGATAAATTATACTCTGTAAAAAAAAAAATAGTAGTACATAATTTTGTAGGTTATTTTGTAAAACATCAGTGAAAAATTTAACAAATTCACTAGTAATTTCTTCTGCTTACCGTTTGTAAGCGATCCGAACGCGGCCGGCCTCGCGTTTGGCTATTACATCGAAAGCGTCGGCGGAAACTGTGAAAGTGTCACAGTCTCCACCGCACTGATTCGCAACCGTGACTGTCACCCGCCGCGTCCCTTTGCAAGGGTGCGGGAAAGCGTTCATCGCGCCAACACAACGAATTTCGTACACCCGTCCACAGGCTGCTCCATTAGCGAATACTTTGGTCGGAACCATAGTCGGGAATCGCCCTCCGGTCATCGTACCGTTAGGGCAGGCAGAAGCTACAAAATTTATCAAAAGGATAGAAAAAAAATAAGACACCCCGTGCATCCCGTGCCATTCGTGCCGAATTCTAGTCGAAGGGAAATGGCTTACGAGCATCGCGAGAGTCGTAAAACGCAGCCGTATCATTTCCTGTAGCTTCCGTTGGAGAAGTGAAGATCGTAGAACAGGCGAGCCAGAAGGCCAGAAGGGCCACGAAAGAGATGTTGTTGCTGAAGAGAGTAGTAGTTCCTCCCATTTCCTCCGCAAATGTGTATTTTACGTATACAGTTGTTCGTTTTAAAAGTAGATGCTTCCTGAACTGGTTTTGATTGGAGAGCTAGCAAGGGGGATGGGTTAGGGTTTTTATAAGGTAGTTGGTTAGGTTAATTCGTACCCTAATGGGAATTCTTTGGGGCGTAGTTTCCATTGGCGACGCAAGTAAGATACTCCGTTTTGGCAGAGGAAGTTGTTTTAATGGGGGAAAGTTTGTTGGCATTAAGAATGTGTCCAAGTCATGGAACCTTGTGTGCCTTTCCGGAACTGAATTCTAATTTGTCTTCATTGATTTTCTTTTTTTTTTTTGGAAAGAGTCTTCATTGATCATTGATGGTGATTATCACATGTTATGTTTGCAGGCAAGCTCGTTTATCTTTGCTGCATGGCCGAATAGCGTTTTTATATAACATAAAAGTAGAAGCTCCGATTTGGAGCTTCTGCGAAAAGTTATTTTGAAAATACAAGATTATTCTTACCTTATTTTAATTATATTTCAGAAAATATGATTTTCTTTCATATCTATCATTTTAAAAATAAATAATAAAATCATATTATTTAATATAAAGAAATCTAACTATATCCATTTTGACTATTTTTTATTGTTTAGAATTTTTATGCATATTTTATATTATAAATCATTTATGGTCATTTTACATAACATTTTATATTGAAAAACACTTCTAATAGTTTTTCAATCAAACACTCAACTGCTTTTTTTGAAATATATTTCTCCAAAACTCTAACCAGAAGCTGCTTCTGCAAAAGCTACAGCAGAGCCAAACTTGCCCTAAGTGTAGATCTTGGACACAGATGCCTCGAAGCACATAATTTCTTAGTCGAAGTCATTTCTTTCTTGTGTGGAGATTTAGATTATTCATATTACTCTACCAACGGTTCAGGAAGTTATGGCTACACATCTACTATCTGTAAGACTCCCCGTTAACATAATTCTGGAAGGAGTATTATTAGTACAAGAATTTTCATTCAATCTTTTGTCAGTAAGTAAACCGACTAAGCATACCAATTCGTGAACGACTTTTTTCAATGATATTTGTGTCATTCGGGATATGAAGAAGATGAAAGTGACTGATTCTACTGAGCTCCATCATGGTCTATACAAGATGCATAGAACACCTATCCCTAGTCCTTCTAATTATGATGGTTTTAGACATTGATTTCAATGGTATAACTTGGTTATTGCTCATGAAAACAAAATCAAATACCGTAGAATTTTGTTCTCATTTTACAGTAAACAAAATCAAATTCTCTTTTTAGAGAATTTGATAGATCTCTTTCACCCCCAACCGCCTCTAGCACATAAAACTCATCTCATCAATCATCATTCTCTTCCTCCAATTTTCTTCTCCAACGCCACCAAGCAAGCATGCTACTCTTCCATATTGTCATCCAATCCTTCCTCTGACATAATAGAGCTTGAAACCCTAATCCTAACTCAGGCACCAAGCTCCACCCACTCCTCCAATTGCAGTTCTTTCTTTGACCATTGCAGAGGAAACCGAAATCGAGGCGAAAAAGAAACGATTCTATTTGTAAGTAAAAAAGGAGCGATAACGCAGCAGAAGCTCCCAGAACAAGAGAGGTCGATGTTGCAAAAAAAAAATAGTTATTTTATAACTTTTTAAATAACCAAAATGGCGGGAAGGTAGAGGTTCGATAGTTTGGTCCGTACGAGACCACACAGGTTCAAATCAATGTTTGGATTGGACCATATCGAATCTAATATAATGCGGCATGATTCTTGATCCCGTGAATTTTATCAATACGTAAGAAGAATTTACCGTATTAACATTTGGACCGAACCAAATAGTATAGAACGAAATGATGGTCCGGTCCAAAACAAAAATAAATTGATTGACAACGTGGGTAAAATTAACCCTAATTGCTAACTAGGCATAGTTCACCTTGGACCGTAGAGTTCAATCGCCTTTGAATATAAATACGAACACAACTAAAGCGTAACCTCGGGAGAGAGGGGAAAAAAAAACCTAACTCAGATTGCGTCTACGGCGGCGATGTACCAAGAATTCCCAGAAGATCTGATCAATGACATCCTATGTAGGCTTCCGATCGGGCATTGGATTGGCCGATTCTGCTGCGTCTGCAAATCATGGCGCACCCTCTTCTCCGATCCCTCATTCTTCCAGCGAGAGAAATCCCTAGATCCTCGTCCTCAAATCTTGATCAATTCCGCCAACAACGACGACGAGAGGTCAGTTTACCGTTTGTACTCTGCCGACACACTCGAGCCCCTCCTTCCTTCCCCTGTCCAGCTACCCTTCAACGCAGAGAATCCCCTCGGAGATGATTACCGTTTCTGGGATCGGGCTATAAGAATTGCAGGATCCTGTAACGGCCTGATTTGCATATCCGACGGTGATTACGATCTGATTCTTTGGAACCCTGCCACCTCCGAGACCAAGCTTGTCCCGCCTTCCCCTCTCCGTCCCAACTGGAATCTTGGAGCTGTTGGGTTTGGTTTCGATCCCGAAACAGAGGACTACAGAGTCATTAGGCAATTTATGTACGACGATGGTTCCTGGGGATGCAGTTATTTCTCAGAGGTTTACTGTTTGAGGACTGATTCTTGGACCAAGTTAGCCGACGATGATGAGAATGGCTATTATCTGTCCACCTACGATTCCCAGATGCCACAGTGTAACAAGGGAAAGTTGCATTGGTGGAGCTGGAAGCGGAACCCAGGCGGGGAACCGTGGAGTTTAGAGTTTCAGTCATTTGCCATCAGCAGCCACGAGTTCCGAACAGTGGATTTGCGTTTGCCTTCTGAGGTCGATGATGGGTGTGGTGATCTGGAATATCTGTTGAACGAGGAGTACATGGTAGCTCTCTTTCCCCTTAGAGACGATGCGAGGAGACATGTCACCAAGTCTTGTGAGGTATGGGTGCTCTTGAAGTATTGGGTGCCGGAGTCTTGGACAAAATTGTTCGTCATTGCGAGCCCGTCGATTGAATTGGGGATTTTTACCTTCGGAATTTCGAGGAATTTGAAGTGGTTGATTTTGACGTATCATTACGACGGCTACTACGACGGGAATGAGTTCCTCATTGCCATTCGTCCGGAGACGGGAGATTTGAGAGATTTTCATGATTTCGACATTCCGACAAGGAGATTTCCGGTGACCGTAATTAATTACGTGCCCTCTCAAGTTTGTATACGTGATTGCTACGCGGTTTCGAGTTAGACTCTGGGTTGTTCGGTGGCTCACGTCCTCTGTTTTGCGATTGAATAAGAATGGCCTTGAAACACATTCTCTTCAGGGCTGTGCCATCACATATGGATTGGTATCTTTTTTTTTTCCTTCCTTCTTTCTGTACATGTTTTCTCTGTTAAGTAAGTAACCACCGTTTCCATCCAAGAGAAATAATTGAATTTGTGGATTTAGTTGACTATGCAAGTTTGTATGGGTAAAGAGATTCTCGTACAAGAGCCTCATAATGTAAGCATGAGCAAGCAAAAATATGAAGGTATAGTGAGTTTCTTAAAGGTCAATGCATCATTGAGTGGTGGCACTTCTTCCTCTGTCAACAAAGATCCATCACATTTCTCTCAAAACTTTTACCAATAAGAATATTGACAACCAAGACAAATATACTATATACATTCTTCCTAAATCCTCATATGAACTTGAGGAAGTAAGGATTTTGGACATAGGTGCCTCAGATCACATAATTTATAATCCGAATTTCTTTGTTGTGTGGAGATTCAGAGCATTTGTATTACTCTGCCTACGGGTAAGGAACTTATGGCAACACATTTAGGACCAGTAAGATTCTCGGTTGACATAATTTTGGATGGAGTATTGTTAGTTCCATAATTTGCATTATATCTCTTGCCAGTAAGTACATTGACTCAACACAACAATCTATGTACGACTTTCTTCATTGATTTTTGTCTCATTTAGGATATGACAAATATTAAAGTGACTGGTTATGCTGAGCTCTATCATGGTCTCTACAAGATGCACAGAACACCTGTTACTCGTCCTTTCAAAGTCATGACTTCTAGTACAACCACTTCATTTGATTTATGGCATTATAACTTATAAGCTAGGTCATGTTTATTATCCTGGGGTTCCATACCTAACAATTGTGATGTTTATCATTTTTCAAGATAGAAACGATTCCTTTTACTCAAAGCAAGTCTGTCACTACTCAACCTTTTTATTTAGTTCACGTAGATATATGGGGTCCCAATCCAAGTTTTTCTTATGATGTTTTTAGATATTTCGTTACCATTGCAGATTATTTTAGTGGAATGAATTGGTTATTGCTCATGAAAGAAAAATCAAACACCATAGAGTTGTTGATCAATTTTTACAATCTATGTATAACTTCGTTCTATGTGGCAATCAATGATAATGTTTGACTATTAAATTGTTGATGTGTCAATTTAAAAATATAATAAAAACTAAAATCATTTAATTTGAAATTAAGAAAGAAGTAAAATTATTTGGAAAAGACCATTTTGAAAAGTTGTTTAAGTATAATTAAACACGTCTAGCCTCCCGGCACCACATTCCACCTTAATAATAAAATTTTGAAACAAGTCCGGCCTTTAGCACCCTCTCCCACCAAACTAGGCCTCCGTCGAGAAAATCAGGTGTGATAAGATGAAGACTCACCATCCTCATCGATTTTGAACGAGAACCCCGATCTTGGAGTGTTCGTCTGTTTGAGAGGGGAGTTGCTCTGTGGTTAAGCCCCTCTGGTTTTCTTCCCCCACACTGGGAGAAAGTAGGTCTGACCAAAGGGAGGCGATTTATGATAGCAGTTCGTGGAGGATGGACCCTCTGTTGGTGGATGCAATGGACGACAAAACAGAAAGTCAATGAGAGGGTGTCCCCCAATTGAATAATTCCTATTCCAGGCACAGAGACTTCTGAAAGGCTTTGTTCCTTCTGAGCCTAAGCAGCAAGAATAAATTCATTAGCATACGTTGATTCCAAAATGCGGGAAGGAAAGGTTGGTTCGAGGACCCGTTGACTGAGGTGAGTCCTTGGCTTAGCCACATTTATACTTGGAATCCTTCAAGGAATTTGTAACCATCAACCAGCCTGATAATAAAAAATCTAGTGACCAAATGTGCAATTCATTCATAACAAAAATGAACTGATTGACAACGGGTGTAAAATTAACCCTAATTAGTCATAGTTCATCTTTCTCATGACCAGTACAAACATAGGTTATATCACGGTCAAATCATTCTACTTACAAAACCTGCACAACAGTATAAACCGGTTTGACAACATTGGGCAACTGCCGACGGGTGTAAGATTAACCCTAGGTATAGCTTCTATCCCAAACGGCATCGTACTGGAGAGTTCAATCCGTACTCTGGAGTCATGACCTCTGGCCTTTGAACATAAATACCAACTGAACTCACCGTAACCCTTGGAGAAATAAACCCAACTCAGAGTGCGTCTGCGGCGGCGATGAACCAAGAATTCCCAGAAGATCTCATCTCTGACGTCCTGTGGAGGCTTCCGATCGGCCCTTGGACTGGCCGATTCCGCTGCGTCTGCAAATCATGGTGCACTCTCTTCTCCGATCCCTCCTTCATCCTGCGAGAGAAACCCGTGGATTCTGGTCTTCAAATCTTGATCAACTCCTTCAACGACGACAAGAGGTCAGTTTACAGTTTGCACTCTGCCGACACACTCGAGCCCCTCCTTCCTTGTCCTCTCCAGCTACCCTTCAACGAAGAGAAGCCCCTCGAAGTCGTCGAAGATAATGACCGATGTTGGATTCCCCGGTTTATAACAATTGCAGGTTCCTGTAACGGCATGATTTGCATAGCTGACGGTGATTACGATCTGATTCTTTGGAATCCGGCCACCTCCGAGACCAAGCTTGTGCCGCCTTCCCCTTTCCGTCCCAACTGGTTTCTTCATACGGTTGGGTTTGGTTTCGATCCAGAAACAGAGGACTACAAAATCATTAGGCAATTTGAGTTGGACGATGGCTCTTGGGGAAGCAGTTATTTCTTAGAAGTTTACTGTTTGAGGACTGATTCTTGGACCAAGTTAGCCGATGATGAGAATGGCTATTATCTGCCCGCCTACGATTCCCAGATGCCGCAATGTAACAAGGGAAAGTTGTATTGGTGGCGCTTGAATTGGAACCCAGGCGGGGAACCGTGGAGTTTAGGGTTCGTGTCATTTGCCTTTAGCAGCCACCAGTTCCGAACAGTGGATTTGCGTTTGCCCTCTGAGGTTGATGATGTGTGTGGTAAACTGGAATATCTGTTGAACGAGGAGTACATGGTTGCTCTCTTTCCCCATAAACCTTCTGATCTCAGATGTGCCATCACGTCTTGTGAGATATGGGTGCTCTTGAAGTATTGGGTGCCGGAGTCTTGGGCCAAATTGTTCGTCATTGCGAGCCCGTCGATTGAATTGGAGATTTTTACCTTCGGAATTTCGAGGAATTTGAAGTGGCTGATTTTGAAGTATCATGACAACGGCTACCACAACAAGGATGAGTTCCTCATTGCCATTTGTCCGGAGACTGGAGATTTGAGAGATTTTCATGATCTCGACATTCCGACAAGGAAATTTCCGGTGACCGTGATTAATTACATGCCCTCTCAAGTTTGTATACGTGATTGCTGCGCCGTCGTCGAATTAGACTCTGGGTTGTTCGGTGGCTCACGTCCTCTGTTTTGCGATTGAATAAGAATGGCCTTGAAACACATTCTCTTGGGCTGTTACATCATATAATGTATTGGTATCCTTTTTGCTTCTTTCTATGCATGTTTTGTATGTCAAGTTAGCAACCACCGTTTCCATTTATGAGAACAAATGTCCATATACTGAATGCAAATGCCAGACAAAATTGAGTAAGAACAAGTGAACAACAAGTTTTTTTTTCCATAGAAATCCTTGCGGATTAACCAGATAAGCGTGTAGAACCACAACAATTACGGCTCTACACCACAATTGCGGATTAAATAGAGTAGTTTCATTTTCTGCCTCCCTCTGGATTCCCAAATCGTCAAAAGTATCAACCACCCTTTTCTCCGGGGAATTGATTGATCACGATGGACTTGTTCGGCGAGCAATTTCATGCCATAGTCATAGTGATCAGGGTCGGAATTATGGGCTGCTGCACTGTGCGTACTTACCTTTTACTGTGATAATCAACCTGCAACTTACATCGCATAAAATCCTACTTGTCATGAACTTACAAAACATATGGAGCTTGATTTTCATCGAGTGAGAGAGGAACTTCGAGCCTAGGTGATCAAGATACTACACTTCTCTTGTTATAAACGCGCTGCTATATATCGGGAAATCGCCGGAATCGATAAAGCAAGAATACGAAAGCGAGAATCGAAAAACACAGATACACGATTTACGTGGTTCACTAACACGATGTGTGTTACCTACGTCCACGGGCGAGAGAGAGCCAGTTTCACTATATCGAGAAGATTGCAGATTACAGAGGAGTATGAGAATTATTTATAGTACTTCTCCATGTGGATCTAAACCTAATCCACTCTGGCAAAGGAAACGGTTACAAACCCCCGACTACCAGTCGTAACGACTAATAGTCCGATTCAAGTCACATCAACCTCTCTTACGTCCAAACTTGGTAATGAAACTTATATCCCGCAGCTTGCCCTTAGAAAAAGAACCCGAACTTCGGAACGACACCGTAGAGTTCAATCGCCTTTGAATATAAGTCCCAACTTAGGAAAACAGCCCCAATTCAGAATTCAGAGTGCGTCTTCGCGGCGGCGATGAACAAAGAACTCCCAGAAGATCTGATCAATGAAATCTTGTCGAGGGTTCCGATCGGCCAGTGGACTGGCCGGTTCCGCTGCGTCTGCAAATCATGGCTTGCTCTCTTCTCGGATCCCTCCTTCATCCTGCGAGAGAAATCCGCGGATTCTGGCCTTCAAATCCTGATCAACTCCATCAACAACAACGACGACAGGTCAGTTTACCATTTGTACTCTGCCGACAAACTCGAGCCCCTCCTTCCTTCCCCTGTCCAGCTACCCTTCAACCCAGAAAAGCCCATCGAAGATAATTACCGCTATTGGAATCGGTCTATAAGAATTGCAGGATCCTGTAACGGCCTGGTTTTCATAGCTGACTGTGCTTACGATCTGATCCTCTGGAATCCGGCCACCTCCGAGACCAAGCTTGTCCCGAATTCCCCTTTCCATCTCGACTGGTTTCTTGAGGCTGTTGGGTTCGGTTTCGATCCGGAATCGGATGACTACAAAATCGTTAGGCAATTTGTGCCCGACGAAGGTCCTCGGGGGTTGTATTCATCAGAGGTTTACTGTTTAAGGACCGATTCCTGGACGAAGTTACCCGATGATGACAATGGCTATTACTGGCGCGACTGTGATGGGCAGATTGCGCAATGTAACAAGGGGAAATTGTATTGGTTGAACTGGGATTCGGACGGGGAACACAAGAGTTTGATTTTCAAGTCATTCGCCATGAGCAGCCACGAGTTCCAAACTGTGGATTTGCGCTTGCCTTCCGAGATTGATGATGTGTATGGTGATCTGGAATATCTGTTGAACGAGGAGTACATGGTAGCTCTCTTTCCCCTTAGAGATGATGTGAGGAGATTTGTCACCAAGTCTTGGGAGGTATGGTTGCTCTTGAAGTACTGGGTGCCGGAGTCCTGGACCAAATTGTTCGTCATTGCGAACCCACACCCCGGAAAGATGATGTGGAAGTTCGACGGAATATCGAGGAATTTGAAGTGGTTGTTTTTATCGTTTCGCTTTCATGGCTGTAGGGACGTCGGTGAGATGCCCCTCCATGCCAGTAGCCCAGAGACGGGAAATCTCACCGATCTTCATGTTCTCGACGTTTCGACAAGGAACTGGAACGTGATGGTGGTTAATTATATGCCTTCTCAAATCAGTATACGTGACTACTACGCATCATCGAGCTAGACTGTGGGTTGCTCCTCTGGCTCGATTGCTACCTCCTCTGTTTTTGCGATCGAATGAGAATGACCTAGAACACACATTCTCTTGGGCTGCGACAATCATATATCGACAGGTAGCCTCTTACTTCTTTCCATGTGTGTTTTCTCTGTTAAGTTAGTAAGTAGTAACCGCAAGAAAGAACAGAAAGTAGGAGTTCAGGGACCAAGAAACAGGGCATCACAAGAAATGTGATAAACAGGGGGAAAGCAGCATCAGTAGCAATGGTGGATTAGGCCAAGCTTGTGGCTCGGGAAGCTTTAGTTTTCGGCAGTAGATTGTAGTTTGTCTTTAGAGATTCGTCAATGGGTTGATTCCCACGTTGCTGTTATGGCAATGTACGGACTTTTTTCTAGATGTAATTGGAGGTTCTGTGCTCAGAAATGAGAATGCTTCTACTCGTTAAGATTGTCCCAACAGTGTCTTTTAATCTTTTGGTCGAGAATTATATTACTTTATAGTTTGCTCTGTTATGAGAACCGGATGGGTAATTGAACCATAAAAAGTAAAGTAATTTATGATTCAATAGTTAATCTTGATAGAATGATTGGTTTGATACTAACTTGAACCCGATCACTTGACCGGAATACTTTTAGCTTTATTATTTAAATAAAGTATAGGATGGCAAAAATATCCGTAATCGTGGATATCCGCCTGAATCCGGCCTAGTCGGGTAGGGTAAAACTCGAACCTGAAGGATACTTAGTGGGTACGGGTAAAACCCAAACCCGAATATTGCGGGTAATGGGTGGGCATGGGTTTCTCATTATCTGACCCGAACCCGCCCGATTATACACATACATATGTATTTTGTCTAGAAATAATCATTATTTTTCTCTAACATATTTTATATTTAGCATATAAATATAACATTTTCATGAAATTGTGTTGTTTTAGTTAATTTTCTTCATTCTAGTGAATTCTTGTCGTACTTTTTTTCTTACTTAATATAAGAATACGTGTGAATGTTAACATATTGGTTGGAGTTATTAAGAGAAATTAATATCCATGGATAACCGTGGATACTCGAAACCCGAACGGATATGGGCATGGTTTTGATTTTCTACCTGTTTCACATGTGGGTATGGATATGGATAAAAGCCGAAGTACTTTGGGTAGGGTAACGGATATGCACTATCCGCCCCCGACCCATTGCCATCTATACTAAATTTTGGCTTTAATCAGAATTCTCAATCGAGATTTTCATCAATAGAATTTACCTATGTAATGAAAGTGGTTTAAATTTTTATCATACTTTGTAATTAATCATGATATTCAACAAATTGTTGAAAATTTGTGTACTTGGTTTGCGTACTCCATCGAGATCTCGTTTATGAATTCTCAACTCTTGCCTAATAAGATATCTTTCCAGCTAAGTAGTGTATAAACTGTGTAATGAGATACTAATAGGAGTTAAGCTATGCGACTACAATTATAACTTGGTTTGGTTTCCTTTAAAAAGATGGAAATACCCAAATGACTAATCACGAAACCATGGAAATGAAATCACAACTATACCGTTGTTAAATTGATTAACCATTCTTGTAACTAAAGATGAAGAAGTCTCAGTTCTCTTTCCGACCGATTTACATGATAGTATTCGACTTGTAGATAGAAATCCATGATCGCAATTTGCCAGCTAAACCAATTTTGTAACTAAAAGTCAATATAAAACCAAGATTAAAAGAGGAATTTTTTATAATCGATAAGTGGAATGTTGCTCACACAATAAGAAAAAATATCAAACTTCTCTAAATTAGGGGTGGGCATCCGTCCGGTCGGGACTGGATCAGATCAAATTTAGGAGAACCGCGGTCCAATAGTGAAAATATCTTATGACCAAGGACCGGACTAATATGTTGGACCGGTCCAAATGTCAATTTGGCCCATGATTTATAAATTTCATGAGACCAAGGACTGGACCATATTATATTCGAACCGGTGTGATCCGGTCAAAACATCGATTCGGTCTGGTGTGGTCCGGTATAGACCAACTCATTGCCCACCCCTACTCTCAATTAGTATTTATTCGAACTTCTTAGGTCCAAAGTTATGAGCAAGGTATGCACATTTTCATAGTGCTAAAACTTCCTATCGATTTAAAATTTTTTAGTAGATTTTTCCAATCGAACCGACGACACCGACAAAGCGTACAAAACAAAAATGAATTAACTGGTGTAAACTTAAACCTAGCTATAGCTTCTAGCCAAAACGGCATCGTAGAGTTCAATCGTACTCTGGAGTCATGACCTCTTCTGGCCTTTGGATATAAGTACCATGTCAACTTAGCGTAACCTTGAGAGGAAAAAAAAAACAACACAAATCATAGTGCTTCTGCGGCGGCGATGAACCCAGAATTCCCAGAAGATCTCATCACTGACATCCTGTGGAGGCTTCCGATCGGCCAGTGGATTGGCCGATTCCGCTGCGTCTGCAGATCATGGCGCACTCTTGTCTCCGATCCCTCCTTCATCCTGCGAGAGAAATCCGTGGATTCTGGCCTTCAAATCTTGATCAACGATGACGATGACATCCTTTTCTTCTGGGGGATGGATTGATCGGGATGGACCTTTCCGCCGAGCAATTTGATGTCATATTGGTCGGAGCCATCCCGATCAATTCGATTTCCTCCACCACAGTGGCTCGTCCCACATCGAGTCGCGCACCATTCGGTCAACCTACCCGAGCGGCGACTACTGCGCCATGGCACTCGAATCATCCCGACTCTGGGATGAAGCAGAATCAGAAATTGTAGAGAATCCACTTGTGGGGAAGATTCTGGACCCGATCTTGAGGTCGATGGCGAGGTGAAAGAAAGGAAGGAATTCTCGGGTGTTTCAGAATACAAAGATTTGTCGAGAATCTGCTTGGGAACCCCAAGGATTTCCAAAGACTTGCCATTGGCCATTTTGGCGCCATAGAAACCCACGATCCGGTGGTCACCTGTTCAAATCTTGGTCCCCTCAGGATTTCCAGCACCAACATTAAGGAAGAACTATTCTGTCATAATAAAAAACTGCAGGCAACGGACATTGGTCTAGTGGTAATTTGGGTGCGATGTACTGTTGCCATCGAAACTTCCAAAAAAAATGGCAAAAATATTAACTAAATTGAGATTTTACAATGTACATGCGCTCAAGAGGTGTATGTATTGGTCTATACCAATTTCCCAAATGGAAGTTGTATAACAAGAAGAAACCCTCTTTTCCTATTTTCAGTCTTTATTGGACAAACCCTAGAATCTGAGACTTTTCCAGGTATCTCTCAGTTGTGAGGGTTGAGAGCACAACTAGTAATGTAATGAATCAATGGCAATGAGAGCAGTATTTGTGTTCTAAGTTTACTGTCTTCTACTGATCTAAGTATTAAGGCGTGCTCGGACCTCATCCCCGCCGCAACAAAAAAAAGAAAGGGGGGAAACCACGCCAAAATATTCCGAGCCATTTTCACAACAGAGCTTGAATCTGCAGCATGCATTCTGCAACACGTAAGGTGGCGTTGCTCTTACAACGGTTGCTGAGCTAGTTGAAGGGGAAATGAACGGAAGAAACACTAACCGGATTTTGGGCCCTCATCAGAAAACGAAAGCTACGAGTAGTAGATGCATTACAGCCCAGTACATCATGATCCCAAGCCGGAAGGCAGGTTGCCGCATGAGAGCTCGGTCACATGAAACCCTGACAACGTCAATCAAACATGGAATTTTATTGTTACAGCGTCCCTGGCAATCGGTGGATTGAAAGAAAGAAGAATGGGAATCGTATAGCATACCATAGACCATCAATCACGTCAGAGACGGGCCTTGTGAATCTGGGGACGATCCTAGATGTGGTAAGCGACTTGAAACCATGAACTGCAGCGAGAGGAAACAACAAAATCAGCAGGTGGCGAGAAAGGAAAAGGAGTGCTCCTCATGACAATTCTATGGAGGAAAAAGCATGCAAAATCCAAAAGAAAAATTACCTTTATCGTCATCTTCATCTTCTAATCGATCACTGCCTCCTTGGTCCATATCGATAGCAATGGCAACTTGATCGTTGTTTGCTTTCCGCAAGCTTCGAACTTGAGATGTAGTAGATGGCCCGGCCACCGTCCATTTGTTTATCTATACACCAAAGATAAGTAAAGATTAGGACATTTTATAACAACAAACTTTTCCTTACCTCAAAAGGTAATAGCCTACTGGTAATGAAAAGAAGATGAACCCATTGTTTACTTAAGCTGAGAGTTGAACAGGGCACAGACTGCTTCTTCTTACTTTACCCATTGTTTTTATGAATGAAAAATCAAAAATGGTTTAAACTTGTAGTCAATCACCTTAAAACTGCAGCAACTGACATAAATTGTTCTTGGGACATGGTAGTAGGCTAATAGCATTTTGGCACATACATAAAATTAAAACCACTCACCAAGGGTTCAGTTTCAAGAATCTCAGTGGCAGAAGCAGTTGACCCTCTAACTTCTCCACCACCTTCAAGCATATTTAACTGGGATTCCTTCTCATGTAGTGATTTTTCCAGAACTTCTTCCCGCTGCAGTAAATCCTCAACTTTATTCCGCTCTAATTGTAGTAAAGTATCAGTTGTCTGAGCAGCTACCCGTTGATCCTCCAGTTCAGACACAAAAGAAGCAATCTTCTTCTGAATTGCTTCTTTGTACTCGTGAAACCCAGCATTGTCGCCAACATTCACATCTTCCTTCCTACTTTGAGGAACCAGATTGTCCAGCCAAAGGAAGAACTGATGAATCTCATCATCCACATTTCTTTTGTCGCTTGTCTGAGATGCAACAAGAACGTCGTTGGTACATCTAGTGACCTCTTGCCTTAAGAACGAGACGTCACCATCACGATCTTGCAACTGGGACTGAAGCTTTTCTATCTCGGCAAGTAGACCTTCAGAGAAACGATGAAGCTCGTCAAACTTGCTCATGGTTATTGAAAGCTTCTTCAAAACCTTCCCACGAGAGGATTCAAGATTCTCAATCTCCAAATTCTTCTGCTGCAAAGCTTTTTCTTGTTCCTCACACTTGCGCGTTAAATCCTCCATCTGAGCCTCTTCTTCATCAAGAGCTTGGGTTAATGCTTCTATTTCTGTATGTGGCACCATATGATCATAAGGAGTCAGAATATTCGACAACAAAACAGAAAATAATATAGATAAAGGCTGTGTTTTTTTGCCTTATCTAAAGTCTAAACATTTAGGGGCTAAAACTTAGTGTCTGATAAGATTTATAAAAGGCAGATTTAGTAAGACGTGATAGAACCTTTTTACTACTGAAAATGGTTGATAGGCATTAGGATGTGTTATTTATTACGAATAAGGAAATGAGCAAGTTTTGTCACATTATTTGATCAGTATTTGGTAGAGTAGACTTTCATTTTAAAATACAGAGTTAGAAACAAAGTTCCAATAATGAGCAAGGCACCATTTATAAATGTTCATGAAAAGTTGTGTTCATTAAAATTTAAGATTTAGATTTTAAAAATGAAATGTTTGAGCTATTTCTTCAACTCAAATTTAAAGAGCTCAAAACAATTCAGATGAAAAAAACATAGCCTTTCAAATAAAATGAGCTAACCTTGGTCTTTAGCAGCAACTGTATCAGATAGTAAGCTGATCTTCTCATTCAAGTCCGTCGAAATTTTTCGTTCATCTTCAATTTCATTTGCTCGCTGCTGTTCCAACGAATTCCTCTCTTCCATTGCAAGCTCTACCTGTTTCTCCAGATATATTAGACGAGCTTTGGACGCTTGAAGATCAAGAGAGTGTCTGGTTGCAACAGCTTCTGCTTCCTTAATTTGGCCAGCAAGTTCCATGCATATCCTCTCTCTCTGAATATCCTTCTCTTGAAGCTCCCTCTGCAAGCTTGTTATGGTCATCCTCATTTCCTTTCTATCACCCTCAACAGTCTCACTGTTTAGACTGATGAAGTCCTTCACGGCGTTCATCATCCTTTCTGATATACTCCTGATATGCTCCTCTGACAAAGAATTAATCTTCCCACTTACAGGAAGTCCAACATCCAGAAGTTCTTGACCCAAGAAATTTCCAGGAGCCAAAGTGCTTTCAGCTTTCCTAGTTCCTATTTCCTTCAGTGAACTGAGACATGTTTCATAAAGGAAAAGAAGATTCTTGTGCGATGCAGCAGCTTCACTTTCCTTCTGTTTTACAATTGACTCTAGGTATTCAACATCTCTCTTCAAAGTTTGAGAAGACTCTCTATCATGACTTATTTCCCTGTGAACAGTATGGATCCGTTTGCACAATTTGTCGGCTTCCTCAAGTGCTGCAAGAGAGTGGTCCTGAATCAACTTTTTGAGAGCTACAATTTCATTCATGCATTCTTGTACCGAACTACAAACTCCATGAAAAGAAATGCTATCATCAAAATTGTCTTGCATGATGGCTTCTGAAAAAGGCTCCACGGCTAGAGACATGTCCTGCAAAAGAGAAGTGATTTATATCAATAACTATAAGCCACCATTTGAAATAAATATACACTTTAAGAGCTTTTGTAACTGCAGCAGAGATCAATTACAATAAACAGAATCAACTGAACGGGAAATGACATATCAGCTGCACAGAAAAATAGCATTACCTTGTTGTCAGGATTACTGAAGAAAGGCGCCCGAGGCAAATCATCGGCTTCTGTTTTTTGTAGAAATGACTCCACACCAGCATCAAGATTTTGAATAAACTCTATATCCTTGGAGAGATGACCAACAATTATATTATTGACATCAGAAAAGATCTTCCTTAGTTGATCAGTGGAAGATATCAAAACCGTAAGCTCAGCATTTTGTTTCTTTTTCTTATCAGACTGTATTATGGATAACTCTTGGATACGTGATACAGCCTCAGATTTGGCAGCCTCGGCTAGATCTCTGGCCCTAGACAGCTCCGAAAGCTCAAAGTTAGCCCTTGATAGCTCTTCTTGAAGGACATCGTTCCTCTCTTGGACCTCATTCAGCTCTGCAAGCAGAAGCTCTGATGCTCTTCTAGATTTTGCAGACTCCTGCTGTGAGGAAGCAAGAGCTGCATGCATATCTTGATACAGTTTCCTTATGTGTTCCAATTTCTCAAATGGACTACTAGTGTTAGCCACTTCATCACCAAGATCAATGTTGCCCAGAATATCCACAACCCTAGCTAAGCTTTGCTCCCGTTCATGCAAAAGTTGCTCAGCTTCAGCCGAACGATTCTGGAAGAACAAAGTCTCCGATTCAAGGGCCTCTATCCGCTCAGAATAAGTAGATGATAAGTCTGTTATCTTCTGTTCATAGTTCACAAGAGTGCTCTCCTGCTGTCTAATCTCAGATTTTAAGCGCTCCAACTCAATATTCAACTCCTCTATGGTTTGTTTCAGAGAATCCCGCTGTTGCACTAAGGACTTCCCCTTCCTCACTGCAATGTTTAACTTCTCTTTTGCAGATGCACATTTCTGCTCTTCCTGGGTCAGTAGGTCTTGCAACTCCATCCTCTTTCTCTCAAGAGCTTCAAGTTCAGAAATCAATGATTCTTGCTTACTTATATACTCATCTCTTTCTTCCTTCACCTGTCCCAGTTCGTTAGAAGTCTCCTCCAGCTCTTTCTTTAGCGCATCCCAGCTTGAGCCATCAGGATCATCCACAGTACCTGGCTCGAGACGAGCAACATCCAACTGCTCAGTAGCTTCCGCATCCCTAGTTCTCCCTTCAACAAAGCTTGAATCTGCTCTTTCTGAACCCTGTTCTTCTTCAGCTACAATCCCAGTGGACGAGCTCAATATTGAATGTGTCCCATAGTTCGCGATAAGCTTCATCAGTAGCCCTTCCAAGCACTCTGTACCACTACCTCCACCAACCAAATCTTTTGCACCAGGATCCTGCAATGTGTTGCAGACAATATCTTGAAGTCTAACAATCTCGTCATTAATATGCTGAATTTGATACTCCTGACCTTCTTTCTCAACCAATTTCTCCCGCAAAACAGTTACTTCATCATGCCATTTTTCACTATCGAGTTCAAACCTGGCTGCCTTTTCCGAAAGGTTCTCATTATCATGAGTCAACGCTGCCAATTCTTTAAAGAGATTATCCCTCTCTTGAATAGATGCTTGGAGATCTGTTTCCAGAAATGATATTTTCTTCTGCAACTCCTCCAAATCAGCAGCAAGGTATGTTATCTGCTTGTTTGAATCTTCCAAATCTGCAGTAAGAGAACCACAACTGCTCTCAAGAGCATCGACATTCTGGCGCAAAGAATTCCTATCCTGGTTAGCTTCCAAAAATGCATTCCACATCCACTCAATTTTATCCTCGGGTTCAAATGATCTCAAGGACGATGGCAAGTCAATCCTGTCCAACAGTTCCTCCCATCTCTGCACCATCTGGTTCCTCTCCATTAATGATTGCTCCAGCATTTCATTCTGTTCAGCCAACCCATAAAACTTCCCTTGAAGGTCCTCACATTTTCTTCTCAAGTCGTCCACAGAGCTTGAGCTCATCTGAACCTCTTCCTTCCAGGCTTCTGTAGCAACAAAGCGTCCTGTATCAGAAGGGGAAGCGCCCACAGAACTCTTCTGGTCCCAATCTGGTAGAGGAACAGAATTTGCACTCACAGATCGAGCTAACCATTCAACCTTGTCAATTATGTCCCTTGAGTAAAAATGCTCAGGCAGATCAAAATCTTCCAGTATTTCTTCTATCCTGTGCAGCACAGAGTCCTTGAGCAGGAAGGATTCTCTAATTGCAGTGGCTGAGTTGCGGATGTATGAAAGCTCTGATTCTAGAGCTTCTGCACGCTCACCAGCCTCTGAATAAGCCTTTAGTTTCGTTTCCAACTCCTGCAGTCTAACATCTTTCAACTCTAACTCCTGCGAGCACCTTTCCAATTCACTAGATGTCTCTGCCAGTGACTGCTTGAGGCCATCACGCTGGACAACCAATCCTTTACCCTTGGCGACAGCCATGCTAAGCTTCTCTCTAACAGAGGACACCCTCTGCTCTGAATGTTCAAGTTCCTTTGCCTTTTCGTGCAAGTTGCAATGGGCAGCATTAAGAGCTTCCCTGGATTGGCTTAGTTGCTCTTTAAGACTGAGGATCTCATTTTCATGCTCAAGTTTCAAAGTACCTAACTGAGATATCTTATCCTGAAGTTCTGCCAACTCCGTCAACTGCTGTTCTCTTGATATGCAGCCCAGCTCATCAGCATCTTTCTTATGAGAAAGGACATGAATTAGTGACTGAAGACGAGAAACAGCACCAATATCTGAGTCAATGCTAGCATCTTTCTGTCTCACTACACCTTCAAGATCTCCAATAAGTTTCTCGATGGAACTTAAATCACCACATTGCCTGCTGAGGTCCTCAATATTTTTTGTTTTATTCAACAACTCCAAACTAAGTTCTTCGTTGACAGCAAGAAGTCGCTGCCTCTCATCCAAACAGTTTTGCAGTTCCTCCAGAAGGGCTTGATAGCTATTACTATGTATGTGGTCAAGCAATTCCTCATTATGTATATTCGCCTCTGTTTCTGGTACAGTGAGCACTGAATCTGAAACAAGTTTCTTTAGTTCAGAATAGAACTTGCACAGCATATCATTCGCCCATTTGCTTTTCCCAAGTAGTTCATCATACTTATCGTTTGCTTCAGAGAACATTTTGAATGTGGCTTCCCTGTCAGCAGTGGCAGCCTCTGTTTCTTTCTTCAACCGCCGGGTCATTTTCACAGTAGCATCAACAGAAGAAACAAGCCAACCAATTATATCCACGGACCCATGCCTGTCAGCTGACACTCCGGATCTTTGCTCGACTCCAACAGAGTTATCAAGTCTCTCTACTGCTTCAACGATCTGGGAAAAGGTGAATTTCCATTCTTGCTCAACTTTCAAAGCCCATTCAGCTATATCCTTCTGGGAGCTTTCTAATTGGTTAGGTAGACCAGAGACCACCTCATTTGATATCTTCTGTAACTCATGCAACTGAATCTGAAGTTCTTCAATTCTCTTATGGTAAATATTCAGTTTTCGGTGGAGCTCGGAGTTGTGTGTTTTGAGACTGCTGTCCTCCCACCTCAATTTTTCACATACAACTTGAAGTTCAATATTGTTCTCCTCAATCGAACTCATATGTTGCTTAAAAGCTTCATGAAGAACCTCATGCTCAATGTTGGTCATTTCCAAATTGTCATATTGTTCAGCCAAGGCCTCAACTTGAAGCTTGAGGTCCCTCATTGTGGCATTAGCAGCAGTCAAACCATCTTGCTCTCGCTTGTAAGCTAAGGTGGCTCGTTCAGCATCCAGGGACAATTGCCTCAACACCGCCTTTAAAGTTCCAGCAAACTTTTTGCTTGATAATAAAGGGTCTCCTGTTGTTGACTGACCCGGAATAACAATGTTGTCCTCCATCTCTTGTTCCTCATGTTGTGAATTCGACTCAAAAGCTTGGATTAGTTTTGAAACTGCTGGAGTTGCCGCTTTACCACCAGATTTACTTGAGGATGCTAAATGGTAGTGAGTCAGTTCAATTTCCTTTTCAAGTTGTTGCAACGTTCTCTCTGCCTCTTCCAAGTGTGCATTGAAGGATACTAACCCTTGATAATCATCAGGGGCCGCAAGTTCAAGCAGGTCTGCCGATGAGCTTTCTTCAAGGACATCAGAAATAGGCTTCCTTCCGTCTTGCTTACCATAAGAAGAATGAGGATGCTCATCCTGAGCAGCATCATTAATATCAGTGCGCTCAACCATCACAGATCCATCTTGAAAAACAGCAACCCCATCTAGGGGGGGATTTTGGACTTGAGTGTCACTAACTTCTGCTACCTTTGCTTTATACACATCCAAGCTACTAAGAAGACTCTTGTTTTCTGTTGCTAGTTGTTCAAGGCGCAAAGCCATTTCTTGCATTTCAGCTTCTAATTGCATGTGTTCCACCTGATGATTTGACAACGTCGCATGGAGCCCAAGAACCTCAGATCGAAGTCCCTCATTTTCGTGGATCATATTCATGTTGTCATCTTCTAATTTCTTGTGCTGCTCTTTTAACAGCACAAGGTTCTCATTCAAGTCAGTGTTTTCCACCCTTAAGGCAACTAAGCGCACCTTCTCTTCTTCAAGCTTCTTTTTCTCGTCTGCCACAGAAACAAGATTGCCACTCAATTCAGAAATTTCAATATTCAAAGCAGCAATCACGTTCTTGGACATGTCTAACTCCCTCAACAGCTTAGCATTTTCCTGAAGAAGGAATTCTTTTTCGTCACTTAGACTCCTCCTCTCATCTGTAGCTGAAGCAAGAGATTCATTTAACTCGCTGCTTTCAACTTTCAGTGATTCTGCCAAGTCCTTCAAATGAGCCAACTCCTTGGAAACAGTTAATAAATCTGATTCTGAGCTTTCCAGACTACTCTGCAATTTATTTGCCCTTGCAGAAACTTCATCAACCTCTGCCTTGGATGCTTCTAATTGACTTTGAAGCTCTGCCTTGCTGCCAACAGCATCATTGAGGTCAGACCTACAAGCTGAGAGCTCCTGAAAAAGGTTATCATTCTTAGCATGAGCTTCCTTGACTGAGGCCCTCATTCTTGATATTTCTTCATTCAATTGCAAAAATTGGCGATCGTTTTCATTTTGCAAATCAAGCTGCTCAGAAAGTTGCAGGTGAAAGATATCACTTCTACAACTGGCAACAAACAACTCCTCACTGAGTTTCTCCAGATGAGCATGATAGCCAGGTTGTGGTCCTGTCAAATCATCAGTATCTAACTCCACTTCAGATACTGAAGCTCTTGACTTTATTAGTAACCCAAAATCATCTTCATTAAGCCCCTTTATCGCCTCAATAAGTTGCACCAAAGTGATCGGGGTCGGGCCCGATTCAGATGGCCTTATATTTCCATCAGGTGGAGGCTTGTCAGACCTTTTGTTGACAAACCCCATGGACTTTTCTTTTTCTCTTTCAGATCCATCATGTTCTTTGCTGCAATGATCAGATTGAGACTGCATTTCTGTCATGTCCACAACAGATGAAGCACTGGAGGTACAATATTCTTCAGAGGCAGGTAAAACAGACTGCATGAGTCCATCTGACCTTTCCATTCTTAAAGTTAGTGCAGATGCATCAGCATGAATCTTTTCTGACAGGGTCACTGCTTGCTCTACACCAACATCTATCCCAGCTTCCCCTTTTACAGTTCCAGCAGGTACACTGCTTTCAGATGCACTAGGTTGCCCGTCAATTTTAGGGATTGTCCCATAACTACTATCAAGTTGTCTTGAGACCAAACCATGAGCTTCCTGCATTGCCCCTACCCAGAAACAAGTGAGAATTTAACAAACATCAGACCATGCATTCCCATTTCAAAAAAAGGTGCTAAGGAAAGAAAATCGCCAAAACATTGTTACAAAAATGGACAAAATTATTGTTATTATTATTAAGAAAAAGGAATGCAAGAGCACAACCTACATCGGTTACCTGAAGTTCCCCTTCAAGGACCAAAGGCGCAGTGGAAGCACCGTCTTCTGATTCCGCTGATTCCTTATTCTCTTCCCTGTGCATCATATTTTCTTCAGTTGTGGAGGCACTTAAATCAGTTGCCTCAGGTTCCCCTTCAAGCACCAAAGGGACATAACCACCTTCTTCTGATTGCACTGATTGCACATTCTCTTCCATGTGCATCATATTTTCTTCAGCTGTGGAGGCACCCAGATTGGTTATCTGAGGTTCCCCTTCAAGCACGAAAGGTAAAGTGGAACCACCTCCTTCTGATTGCACTGATTCCTTATTCTCTTCCTTGAGAGTCATATTTTTTTCAGTTATAACAGCATCTACATTGGTAACCTGAAGTTCACCTTCCGTGCCCGTAAGCACAGTGGAAGCACCTTCTTCTGATTGCACTGACTCCTCATTCTCCTCCCTAAGAGTCATATTTTTTTCAGTTATAACAGCATCTACATTGGTTGCCTGAAGTTCACCTTCAGGCAACAAAGGCACAGTGGATGCACCTTCGTCTGATTGCACTGAGTCCTTATTCTCTTCCTTGTCAGCCATATTTTTTTCATTTGTAACATCAGTACTAGCTGTACTGACACTTACAATGTTAGGATCCTGAGTTTCTGATATCACTACAGGCATAGAACTTTCCTCAATAGCCATAATGGTGCTCTTGTTGGACTCGACATGATCATTAGCATTATCAAGAGATCTCACATCCTGAGCAGACAACTCAGATGTATGAGCAGGCATCATCCAATCTTCTACAAATTCAAGTTCAGGAGAAATCGCTGATTGACTGACATCCGTAACATGATCAGTAGTAGCAACTGAATTCTGCAAAGAGTCCAAACTTCCTGAATTTGAATCCAGATGAGTCATATTTTCTTCTTCGAGAACCTGCTGCAGTCCTGCTGATTCAGGCTCCTTAGATGTCATATCAACATCAGCTTCCCGGGGTTCAGATTTGCCAGATTTTTTCCCAGATTTTGCATTACTACTGCTGCCTTTAACATCCTTCTTCTGCCGAAATTGCTGAAGCTAATGATGGGGAAAAGGAGAAAGTTCAGCTTCAAACTGATCTTAGTTACTATTATCTAGCTAGCAAGTATCAACCAACTAAAAGAAACAAAAGCAACAAAACCATCATGTAACGAACTACTGATCGTATGAAAATCCTGTCAGTTTTCTGAAACTTTTCACCTAAGTAAGGTCATCAGACACATAGTTTTCCTTCAAGTAGAAGGGTATAAAACTAGGGGTGTTATATTTCATTTCCCTTCGTTTAAGCAGATCTATCATCCAATTAATAAAGCATAATGCCAAACCAGAAATTGGAACAACAATTATGTGAAGCTAGATCACACATTGAGATGAGCAACAAATCCGTCCACAAATGGCTTCCTTTGGATCTAGGAAAAATGAAGCTAGCCACTAGATGTACGCCAACTTACGGCCAAAACTACTCGTATCTGAATGATTTTGAAGTTCTTAATGAGTTCATTCCTAGTTGCTATAGCTTTCTATGAACTAGTCCCATCATAAATGAAGACAGTTAACAAAGTGCAAGGAATCAAGGTGCAGAGAAAATGAATCAATACCCTTTTACGCCCAGCTGCAAGCAGATCGGTGCGGTTCTTGTTCTTTTCCATCCGCACCCCCTGGTTTCAGGCCTCCCGGGATAATCAATCACCACCTCCTCTTGCAACTCTCACTCACCATTAGCTCCTCTCACTGCTGTACCATCCCGAACAAAACAAAATTCAGCACACCGCATGAACTCGGGAGCAAAGTGGCAACAAGACAATCTCAAATCTCAATAACTCCACACAAATAGCTAGCATATGGACACCAAACAGCTAAACACAGGCAAAAACTCGAATGTACATTCCTGGTTTCCTCACGCTACACACCCTCACCGATATGTTCATCACTAAATCCTTTCCACATTTCTTCGGCAGCCAATCGAACAGCAAATTAATGAACAAAAGCGACCGAATCTGAAGTCCTTACCACAAACCGAAACACTCAGAACTCAAATCACGACAGGAATCCACAGATTCAACAATGAAACACCCGAGATTGAATCAGAGAGAAAACGGTAACAAAAGGGAAACAAGATAAGAGAGAAACGAAACGCTTCGTGATGGAGAAAAGCGTACGTTAGTCCGATTTGAGAGTTTTCAACTGCCGTTCTCGCAGACGCCGCCGGGTGTTAAAGGGGGCCGTTCCGTGCGAAGTTGCTTCGTTTCCAAAGAACGTCAATGGCGTGTTGTAGGATCGATCTGCCTCCCTCCGTTTGCTGCTTGCCGGTCTCTGTATATTGGATCTAACGCAAGCTTCCGTTCTTTTTCTTCTTTGTGGCCTGGCCTCTGCTCTTTGCTCTGCTTTTCTGTGCGGGGCAAGCGACGAAGACAGACAAAACGAAACGAACTGGTGGGGCACTCTGTTTGATAGGTCGAGAACGGTGCCGTTTTAGCTTTCTTTGGCACAACAAGTGAACGCGCGAGCGACAATGCGAACGGAGGATTTCCATTCTTGCTCAAATTTCGAACTCCATGGCACCATTCAACAAGACTACACAATTGTAGAGGAAACAACACCGCCACCGGCATGGGTTTAAGCGCCACACCTAGAGTATATGAATCGCTATTCGTCGCCCTAAAATTCAAATTTTATCGCCCTAAAATGCACCAAATTGACGATCTTGCCCTCTAACTCCAATTTCAAACCAAAACACTAAACAAAAAATTCCTTACGTTACCCTGCCCAGCCGCCGCCGACCTCAACACGGACGGTGCTATCGCTGTGGATTCTTTTATCCGGCATATGCCCACCTCAACTTGAGCGTCGCTGGTGATTTACTTTTATTGCCGGAGGAAGAAGACGAAGAAGAAGCTTAGAAATCTTGACCTCACTATATATGATGACTTCGAGAAGATGAATTGCCACTCTGCACAAATTGAACTGGGAACGGAAGGGATGAATCCTGAAACCCAGAAATCAAAATAACAACCACAACCACAACACGAATAAAACCCTTCTAGACATTGAAACCCTAAAAACCCAGATCGAAACCCTTTCTAATTGGAATCCCGACAAGCTGAGATGCGCCGGTCTGGTAGAATCTAAATCAATCGCATATGACATCGGGAATAGAGACAGAGTGTGCCGTCGTTCGCAGCTAGGTGCGCTCCTTCCGAACATCTTGAGCAGAGATGGAGCGCCTTTCTCCGATACCGCCACAGGCTCGTCGTCGGAATGACCCACTGGTGATGGTAGTTTGAAGAGGTACGAGGTTCCGACCTGTCCCAACTCGCCGGAGACGGGTTTTTAACCCTTCTGGTGCTTCCAGCGACGGTCGGCGGGTTTGATGTACATTGTACAATAATTAAGCTAAGGATATTTGAGTCATTTCAATAAAAATTAGGGCGACGAATAAGATGTTTTAGGGCGACGAATAGCAATGCCCAGTATATATATAGGGTTAATTGCATGGTTGGTCACTAACATTACAAAAAGCGTTCATGTTTGGTCACTGGAAAAATTTAAATCCATTGTTGGTCACTAACTTTACAAAACCAGTTCATTTATGGTCACTCTCCGTTAGCTGCCGTCCAACGCCGTTAACGGCGTCCGTTAAGTGATGACGTGGCTGACGGATTCGCCTAATCAGCACCTTTTAACCCCAAGATTGACCGCCACGTCATTTAAACCCGCCATGTCAGCTAAATCTAACCAAACCTAACCAAACCTCTACCCAAACCCGACCAGACCCAACCCACCCACTCATCTATGTTATTTATGTCGCTTTCTGGCCAGAAGAAACCTATCATCTTCCCAAAACCTTCACAGCTCTGTTTTCTTCTCATCCATTTCTCCTCTGCTAATGGTGACACCTTTCTGTCGTTGTGGATTGGCATCAGATCTCAAGATGAGCTGGACAGAGGCGAATCCAGGGAGGAGGTTCTACGGGTGCAGCAAGTATGGGGTAAGATTTCTGACTTTTCTGCTTTGATTTGTATACCATTCGATCATCCTCTCCTTCATCCCTCTCTGTTTTTGTGGTTGGATCTGTAGACAGATGGGGCATGTAATTTCTTCAGATGGCATGACCCAGTAGTTGACGAACATATGAAGTTTGTGCTGCTGAACTTTCATCGTCGGATTCGGGAACTAGAGAAGAGGCAAAATGGGCAAGGGTCCAAAGCTAATGGCTATCCAGTGTTAATCTTCATTGTGATTGCTCTTGTCTTTTCTTTCATCTGGATGGGATTGGGGATGTAAGAAGCTATTTGCTCAACCTTGCTGATGTAATCGTTTCTGTATTGTAGACTGTAACCCTAGAAAAATTAACCCTTCACGTTTTGTTTCTGAAAGTAATGTTAGTTGTACGATTGGTCACTCAAAAAACCTAAAGGTCCACATTTGGGCACTTAAAAAATGTAAAGGTCCACATTTGGCCACTCAAAAACATGTAAAGGTCCACATCTGGTAACTGAAAAATATGAAAAGGTCCACATTTGGTCACTCAAAAACATGTAAAGGTCCACATCTAGTAACTGAAAAATATGAAAAGGTCCACATTTGGTCACTCCAAATCATGAGAAGGTCCACATTTGGTCATTCCAATCACTTGAAAAGCTAGATTTAGAACAACACTTCAATACCTAACTGATCTGCATTACACTATTTGACAGTTAAGTCAGAAACAAACAGATCACATCTAAGATTCATTCATAATTAGTGCATTAACGGCTATGTTGTCCAAAAGAGCCATGCATAATTAACAAGTTCCTTCTCCATGGACTTGTATGACAAAATGGCAAATCAATATTGATTTGCAATTGTATGACAAAATGGCAAATCCACATTGATTTAAGTTCATCGTTTAGTTGAACTCAAGTAGAGAAGCTGTTTAGTTGAACTCAAAATCGTTCAGAAAACACAAACCTGTTTAGTTGATAAATCTGATAAATCATGAAAACTGAAAACAAGAAACAAAAACGCGTTTAGTTACTACTATAAGAACTAAAAACCAGAAAAGAGATGGAGTAAGGCGTTTATGGAGGGGAAGTGGTCGGCGGCCGACGGACTAGCGGCGGAGGCAGGGCGTCGGCGGCGGTTGCGTGGGCGGACGTCGGCGGGCTGGGCGGCTGGGCGGGCTGCGGCGGGCGGAGGCGAGGCGGCGCCGGGCGGAGGCGGAGGGGTCGCGCCAGAGGCTGGGCGAGGGCGACCTTCGGAGGTGAACTCCTCTGTCGTCGAGAAGAAGATGGAAAATGGTATGGGGGGCGGCTGATAGTGATATGTTGAAGTAGGGTTTGGGGGGGGGGGGCTGAGTTAAAAAAAAAGAAATTTTTTTGCTTCTGTGGGGATTCGAAAAGTGGTCTGGTTTAATGAAATCAAGTGCCCAACCAGTAGGAATCCCGTGTGCAACATGTTTAAGAAACAGATCCAAAGCAATAAATTATTGTTTCTCATATTTGGGCCTTGTTGTGCAACTCTGATTCACAACAGAAAATAAAAACCCAACTAAACACGATTTTTTTTCTTGGTTTTCCAAATTTCATAAAACAAAACAGACAACAAAAACAAGCAACAATACTAAACGGGCCCTAAGTTTCCACGCACACAAAAATCCGTTTCCCCTAATTCTGTTGGTAGCAATAAAAAGGAAAATTATTAATAATAATAAATATTACAATTAGAACGTCTGCCATTAGGTTAATTAAGGAAATCAACATTCTCGTCATAAATCCTAGGTGAAATCGACCATTTCTCTTCTCGATTGGAAGTCCCGGAAAAAAATCAACCATTTCTCATCATAAATCCTAGTTTTAAAAAACTTATTAAATTCGATTAAATGTTTTGCATTGTATCAATTTCATAGTTAAATATCTCAAACCTTATATTGTGGATAGGAATATGTTGGAATCTATAGTTTCTCGATTAGACGTAGAGAAGACTCGTTGTGGCTTGCGGAAGGTCGGGCAAAAGCATCTTTTCGCAATTAGTAGAGATATTGACGTGAAAAATTATTGAAACTCTCGTAGATCCCCTAAATTTTGGATCCGAACATGGCGGAATCAACCGTTTCTCGATCGGACATTTTGGGCTCAAATAAATGAATAGTGCCACAAATTCCATCGTGGTTTTTGGAGGCCCTTGTGGTCATAACGAGAAGTTTCTTGAGCCTACCGCACGTATTTTGACGATGTGAACAATTGTTGTTAGAGGATGCTGAGACGACTTAGCCTCTAAGCCAATGTTATAGTATGATTAGATAGGTCGAGGTTAAAGGTATAGCTATTTGGTGGAATGAGGGTTTAGGGTTTGAGAGGGGTAGGAGATGTAAAAGGGGAAGATATGCTTTCATTTTTGTAACTATCATAATTAGTCCAATTAAGTCGAGTTTATTATTCTTTATCACTATTAAGTACAATATTTTTAATTTAATTTCTATTCGGTACAATTTATATATTGTATGATTATTAACATACCATAAATTAAAAAATAAAATAAAATACTCATACATATTTTATATGTAATTTACCCATACAATATTAAATATATAAATAGCATGACAATTACTTGGAGGAAACATTTGCACCAATTTACCTTGGACGTGGGTTTTCAATGGTTAATTGAGGAAAATAATTACCTTAATTAGGAAAAATAATTTCCTTAATTAAACCCATGACAATTAGGAAAAGAGAAGACGTGGAGTTCGGTTATATTTATTAAGGAGCAATTTCGGAAACCCTTATTTAACATAATATAATTAGTTAATTCCATTCTATCTCTAATAAAACCTTAAAATTTTGTTTCCCTTAATTCCGTTGATTGCAATCAAAAGAGGCGGATGAAGATGATCGAGGAAACCAGCGGTGGGTGAGACCATCTCTGCCCCAAAGCTGCCGGCGAGGGTCGTCCGACAACGGCAGCTGGCGGTCCCCGTCCGACTCCGGTGGGCGGACGGATAAAAAAAAAGAAGAGAAAAAACGTGGCCTTGATGGCGAGCTCCTCTTCGACGGCGGCGATTTCTTTCTCGATGGCGGTAACCTCTTCAACAGCTGTGGCGAGCTCTATTTTTATGGCGTAATCTTGGTCGGCGGCTGGAGTTGTTTGGGGATGGAGGGAGGTGAGTAAACAGAGGCGGGAGGGGAGACAAACTCTGCGGCGTCTTGGAGATGGAGGAGATGGAGGTTTGCAACGGATGGTCGGCGGCTGGAGTTGTTTCTCAATAGCGCCGACACAAAATCCGGCCAACAATTTTGTCGGCGAGATGGGCAGTTTTGGTTAGGATTTTAAGTGTTGAAGGGTAAAATAGAAATTGTTCATAAATATACGGGCGGCAAATAATAAATAGATGGGCGGCAAATAACGATTCAGAACTTTAATCCTCTGCCCGTAGAAAATTTCAAACTCATATCTGCCGTCCGATTACATCCGTTCTGTTGACTAAAACAGAAAACCTTTTACTTTTTTGTTTTCCAAGTTCTTCCTCACCCGGTCGTCCGGTCACTCCATCCATCCCACCGTTTTTATATCCACCTCCTCTTTCTCATCATCTCTCCCCCTTCCCTCACAAATTGAAAGGAGAAAAGGAAATGGCAGTTGATCTAATGAGCTTCCGGAAGATCGACGATCAGATGGCGATACAGGAAGCAGCGAATCAAGGCTTGCAGAGCATGGAGAGCCTGATCCGCGCCATGTCTCGTCACCACCACCAACACTCCAGTTCCAACATCCACTCCACCGCCGGCGACTGTACGGACCTCACCGAGGCCACCGTCTCCAGATTCAAGAAAGTCATCTCCCTCCTCAACCGCACCGGCCACGCCCGCTTCCGCCGCGCTCCCCTGCTCCATCCCCGTCCTCACTCCCCTCCCTCGGCCGCCGCCGAGCCGCCTCCAGCTCAATCGTGCGGCAAACATCGCGTCGTTGCAGCTCCGGTGGTGCCGGCGGTCGTTCAATTGACGCCGCCTCCTACTCCGATTCAACCGGTGGCGGCCTCGATTCCGGCGCCATCGAGCTTCGCGCAGTCGCAGAGCTTGACTCTCGATTTCACGAAACCTTAACATTTTCGGCTCGAATTCCAAGAGCGTCGAGCTGGAATTCACCAAGGACAGCTTCAGCGGGTCGTCCAATTCCTCGTTTATCTCCTCCGCAATTACCGGCGGCGGTGAGGGAAGCGTCTCGAACGGGAAGCTAGGGTCGTCGATCTTCCTGTCCCCGCCGCCGACGGTTTCCGCCGCGAAGCCGCCTCTCTCGTACGGCAAGAAGAGGTGCCGCGAGCACGATCGCTCCGAAGATCTCTCCGGCAGATTCTCCGGCTCGACCACCACCAGCGGCAACTGCCATTGCTCCAAGAGGCGGTGAGTTTTGTTCACTCTAGAGCTTTTTAGGAAAGTAATTAGATTGTTAATTTCTGCAATTAAGCGAGGGTGTCCATTAATTACCTTAGGTCAACGGAAGGCAGGGGCCGTGAAAAAAAAGGGATTAATTGGACCAAGCACGCGTGACGGTGACAACACGAAAAAGAAGGGAGACCTGATTTGAGCTTTGTTATTAATTAAACCACCAATTAATTGTTTGTCGTGTAGTGGGTTAGGTTAGCATAGTGGAAATATCTTATTTTAATTCTTCAAACTAAGAGGTCGTTTGGAAGTTATGATTCTAGATGAATGATTCTTTGAATTCGTGTATTCTAGAGAATCAATCGTTTTTTTTTTCAAAAATTTATTCATTACATGCATTTGAGGTGGGCCCTCAAATCTCATATCATCCACAATCACTCATTTTAAATCTCAACAAAAAGGTGAGATTCTTCCTTTGAGATTGTTGGCTTTAATTTGTTCCACTTTTAGCTTATAAAGTAATTTTTTCTTTTCTTTAAAATTTTTGAATGGCAACAACCAAACAAGACATTCTTTCAATCATCCAATTCTTACAATCTTTGTATTTACAATAGATGTATTCATCAAATACACACATTTGAAAAATCTCAACTTCCAAACGGCCCCTAAGAACTTTGACCTTAGGAGAATCATATTAATAATAATATTTGTATATTTTTTGTGCTAATTATCGTGAGAATTCTGTTAATTGAGTGGTTAAATCTAATTTTGTTCTTGGACCGACGTATTGCAGGAAAAACCGGGTGAAGAAAACGATTCGGGTCCCGGCGATTAGTTCGAAGATCGCTGATATCCCGCCGGACGAGCATTCCTGGAGAAAGTACGGTCAAAAGCCGATCAAGGGCTCACCTTACCCAAGGTAATAACCAATAACCAAACCATCGGGTCGACTATTTAACCGACGATCCGGTCTAAAGGTTCGAATTCTGGGGCTAGAGTTAAAAATTTTCTTGGTTTTGTGTTTCAGGGGATATTACAAGTGCAGCACGATGCGGGGGTGTCCGGCGAGGAAGCACGTAGAGAGGGCGACCGACGATCCGTCGATGCTGATCGTAACCTACGAAGGCGAGCACCGCCACGCGCAGCCGCCGGCGGTGGTGGCTGCTTCTCACGGCGGAGCAGGACTGGTGTTTGAGTCAACGTGAGTAACAGAGCTAAGATTTTTAATGTTAGGTTAGGAAGGTAGTTTGGAAATGAAACGGCAAGATGACAAAAGAAGATGGAGATGAAAGGGAAAGATATTGATGGAGGTGGGAGGTTGTTGAATTGGATGTACATTGAGTTTCTCCTTATTGGTTCTTGTGGCGGAGAGAGATGAATCTGGCAAAGCATTGCAATTTGCAGACTAATCAAATACATAACAAGCACTAAACTTTGTCTTAATAGAGACCACGAATGATACTTAACCCAAGGAAAGCAGGCAACGCTTACTAGCTGCAGTTGCTCAAAAGACTAAACAAGCAGGCAACGCTTACAACTCTTTCATTAAAACAATTTTTCATATAATTAAGGGTGAGCATCGGTCGATTCGTTCTATAATCAGATCTAATCGAGGAATCAGAATCATGCTTGATGCTTGATTCGTTTGGTTCGATTCGAACTAAAATTCAATTGTGGTCCTTTTTCTATATGTAAGTTAATTTGTAGGTTCGAAATCGAATCAAAATATATTCGAATCGATTCGATTTGATCCAAATTTCGATTCCGTACAATTATGTATGGTATAGGTAAGATTGTTACCCACCCCTAATAAGAATAATCAGACGTGAACATGTGAGCTATCATTTCTTTTGGTTTTGGTGATAGTTAAATTGATGCATTGTCATCATGCATGCATAATAATATACACATGTATATAAGAAGATTGGTGTATTGTAATTTACATCGTTTGATTTATGTGATAGTTGGAAGAAGAAAAAAACTCAACAATCTCACAAAAAACTCGAGATTTAACTATCACTCATTTTGAATAATAGTTTGTGTGAAATCAAACAAACAATACATTGTGGATGCATGCATTTTAACAATCCCAACCAAACAATCACCAAAACCAACTTAATTATGTTTGGAAAAATCCAACTCTAAATGTCTAATTGATTTTCCCCCATTGAAACACATTTAAGGAACATAAATTATTTAACAAAACTAAACGGCTAGCCTAATACTAATAGGTAATTTGTTTGTTATAAAGTTCACATTCATTCAGGTGTGTGTGAGGTGACGCTTTGGCTAATTCACCTGTGCGGTGGGGTCTTTGGTTGGGAGTGCCGGAAACAGAGAGCCCAACTGTCAAGCATTTTCAGCATTACATTACTGTTGTCGTGCATTCCATCAACACTGCAAAAGCTAAAAACTTTACTAATTTCCTTTAGACGCTCTCTCCCTCTCATTCTCTCTGCAAAATCAATCAATCTCAATCGGGTATTTTGGTATAGGGTTTCACTCCCACCCTCTTCACTTCCCCACACAGCTCGCCCAATTCTCTTCTCCCCCCTGCTTCATCTGGGTTCTGAAGCTTTTGTCTTCAAGCCAGCTTGCTCTCGCTCACCGACTCAGTCAAGACGCTTGATTAACCCAATTCCCCATTATTGCTCCCTTTTTCCTCTCGCGTATCCCATCTACTTTTCCACCAAACTTTTTACTCTCCCCTGGTTTGTGGGTTTCCTTTTTGTGTGCGCTTTCCGATTTGAGATTGCGCTGTCAGTTCTTGTGTGAGTTTGGTGGAAATTATTGGGTAGGATAAAGGGAGGAAGGAAGGGAGGAAGAAACAAGAAAAATCATGAAGATTTGCTCAAGTACAACTCCTGGTTGATCCGACAACGTGTTAATCCAGCTGCCAAGCTCGTTTCCTAGCTTCCTTCCTTGTTCCAGCACAAGTTTCCTCAGATTGGAAGCTCCAAAGTTGGTTACTTTCTTTCCGATCAGCTCCTGGATTGGGGAAGTTTTTGAGTTTTTTTTTTTGAGCTGTTGATTTGGGGACCGGAATGGCGGAATCCTGGAAAGGCGCTTCCAATGACAACAAGGATAAGATTCAGAATCTGATAGCTGCGAGGAAGTCACTGAAGCTGAGCTTGGAGAAGTCCAAATCGCTGGGGCTTGCCCTAGGTAAAGCTGGGCCTAGACTGGACGAGATTAATCAACGGCTGCCTTCTCTGGAAGCTTCGGTGCGCCCCATCCGTGCAGACAAAGACGCCCTTGTTGCAGTTGGAGGTCACATTAACCGTGCTGTGGGTCCTGCTGCTGCGGTGCTCAAGGTGTTTGATGCGGTTCACGGGCTTGAAAAATCGCTGCTTTCGGATCCTCGGCATGATCTCCCTGGTTATTTGTCTGTGCTCAAGCGCCTGGAGGAGGCATTGAAGTTTCTCGGGGAGAATTGTGGATTGGCAGTTCAGTGGTTGGAGGATATAGTGGAGTATTTGGAGGATAATTCGGTTGCGGATGAGAAGTACCTGTCGAATTTGAAGAAGTGTCTAAGGGAACTGCAGAACGATGATGAAAGGTCCCGTCTTGATGGCGGGCTGCTGGATGCTGCCTTGGATAAGTTGGAAGGAGAGTTCAGGCGGCTGTTGGCAGAACACAGTGTGCCACTAGAAATGTCATCTTCATCTGCTGACGAACAGGCGGCGGCCATTGCACCCTCGCAATTGCCTGTGGCGGTAATTCAGAAGTTGCAGGCCATTCTTGGTAGGCTTATTGCAAATAACAGACTTGAGAAATGCATTTCGATATATGTTGAAGTCCGTAGTTCAAATGTTAGGTCTAGCTTGCAGGCGCTCAATTTGGACTACCTTGAAATTTCGATCGCTGAGTTCAATGATGTGCAGAGCATTGAGGGTTATATTGCCCAGTGGGGCAAGCATTTAGAGTTTGCTGTCAAGCATTTGTTTGAAGCGGAGTACAAGCTTTGTAATGATGTCTTTGAGAGGATAGGATTGGATGTGTGGATGGGTTGCTTTGCTAAAATAGCTGCTCAGGCTGGCATTCTAGCATTTCTACAATTTGGGAAGACTGTTACAGAGAGTAAAAATGATCCTATCAAGCTTCTCAAGTTACTGGACATATTTGCATCTCTTAACAAATTAAGATTGGATTTCAATCGGCTCTTTGGTGGGGCAGCTTGTGCTGAGATCCAAAATCTAACGAGGGATCTCATAAAGAGCGTTATTGATGGAGCGGCTGAGATTTTCTGGGAGCTTCTGGTTCAGGTGGAATTACAAAGGAAGATTCCACCTCCAGCTGATGGAGGTGTTCCCAGACCAGTGACCTTTGTTACCGAGTACTGTAACAAGCTTCTTGGGGATGACTACAAGCCTATACTGACGCATGTTCTGCATATTCACCGAAGTTGGAAGCACGAGAAGTTCCAGGATAAGCTTCTTGTTAAGGAAATGTTGAGCATAATTAAGGCCATCGAGCTCAATTTGGAAACGTGGATGAAATCTTATGAAGACAACACCCTATCCAATTTTTTTGCCATGAATAACCATTACCACTTGTACAAGCATTTGAAGGGGACAAAACTAGGGGAAATACTGGGAGATTCTTGGTTGAGAGAACACGAACAGTACAAGGACTACTATGCTGCAATCTTCTTGAGAGACAGTTGGGGTAAGCTTCCTAGTCATTTGAGCCGGGAAGGTTTGATTCTCTTCTCTGGTGGGCGTGCCACTGCCCGGGACCTTGTGAAGAAAAGGCTAAAGACTTTCAATGAAGCTTTTGATGAGATGTATAACAAGCAGTCGAACTGGGTTGTGCCAGATAGAGACCTAAGAGAGAAGACAAGCCAGCTGATCGTTCAGTCTGTTGTGCCTGTTTACAGAAGCTATATGCAGAACTATGGGCCTTTAGTTGAGCAGGAAGGAAATTCCTCCAGTAAGTATGCAAAATACTCGGTCCAGTCTTTGGAGCAAATGCTTAGCTCATTGTTTCTGCCTAAACCTGGGAGGTATGGAAGCTTTAAAGTTAATAGGAGGGTCAGCGACAAATTCGATAATGGCGTACCGGCTCTGCATCGTGCTGCCTCTGCAATTGTGTGATTGTCGTGTGGTCACTTGTGTTGGTTTGTTTGGTTGTCCTCTCAAAATCTAGATGATCAACCCCTTTTTCTGTACATAAGGGATGGAGGTCCTCACAGGCCTTAAATTATGTCATATAATCATATCTCGCGCTGTGGCTCCTCTGAACGCTGCCAACCAAGTTTTCCTCCATCAGCTGAAGCTCCATAAGATGCATGGCAAACGGGAGAGTGCGCGTCTCCAATGTCTGGAGCATTCTGGAAAGCTTTGTTGATCTGAGCAGCTCCAGGCATATGAAGTATGTTCCTAAATGCTGGAACAGTAGATAATACTTTTGAGGTATAGCTTTATCTCATTTTATTACCCCATTTATTCAATATTTGCCATAACATGGCTGCGTTTAAAGCCTCTCTGCACCTGCAACCGTTTAGATTGTCTAGCAGGGATTAACTTAAATTGTTACCTTGAGCAGTAGTCATTATACTGAGGTACGTACCCTTCAATGGGGTTTTTACCTTTTAGTGATGTAATGGATGCTAGAGGCCTTGTTCAGCCATGAATTTACTACTGAAAGCACTTTTCACAATAAGATGTCTTTCCATCTCTCTTTTTGTCGCAGTAGCTCCCCATTTGAATGATATTCTCGTATTCAGGTTCTAAATGGATCCTTTGCTGTAAAGACAGCATGCATCCATATGCTTTTGAGAACGTAATTTGCTTTATTCCATCTCTCTGGCCCGTTGTGGATCTATGAATCTTCCAAAACAACTGTTGCTGCTTCATCTGGGTTTCTTTGGGAACTTGTTACCATATTTTTTCGTTGATCTGCTCGCCCTGATCTATATCCCCGTTCGGGTATTACCTGGCCAGGAGCGACAATCGCGGATATGATTACTAGTGCACGAAGAGAAGAGATGGTGGGAGATCAATGCCGTTGATATGAGTTTGAGCTTTTAGGTTCATCTTGAGCTTGCTAAAAACGTAGCCATGCTCGCTATCGTGGCAATTACGGGGAGTTCATCATTCTTCCAAGCTGTTGCAGACTTGCAGCAGTAGCTGCCTCTCCGTTCCCCCGATATCGCCTGTGAGGAGATTGAGGGTAAGGAGGCTTGCCAATCTGGTGATTCCGGGAGGGATTTCGCCCGAGAAGCTGTTGCTGTGAAGCCATTGTTGGCAGAGAGAAGTGGCATCATCGATGGATGCGGAAGTTGAGCTGTGGAGGAGTCGAGAACTGAGGTCTAGCTACTGCTAGGTGACTCTTTGGTTGCTGACGTCATACGGTTTCCCATTTTGCAGAAATGGAGTGAAGAAGTAAGAGTTGTTGCTGTTCATCGTTCATCTGCTTACTGCTACTGCATTCGCCTCCAGCCAGGGATCCAAATGAAACGTCAAATGAGCTCATAAGAAGCAGAAAATAAAGGCTCCAATTTTCATCTAAAGATGGGCTTAGAGAATCCATCTAGGGCCATACGTTTTAAGGCCCAACTTAATCTCTTTTACATTCTAAGCCTGTTTATTTATTTATTATTAAATGTGTACCAAAAAAATATTTATTAAATAAGAAAATTACAATAGCTTCAGAGAAAAATAAATATTAACTAGGAAGAGAGGAATTTATTTTAAACCTGTGCAAAGTCCTAACTCCTAATCATTCTCTTCAAAACTCATAATCGACCAACCTAATCTAATCATTAACTAATTCTGGTTTATGAAACCGTATCGACGGTTCAACCACGACCAGTAGCGGAGGTTAAACCAGTAAGCTGTATTTAACGGTCTAACGATTGAACTACGATTAAACCACGATTCTATCATAAAATATCATATCACTGACTTTTCCGATACAATATCCGGTACGGTTTCATCGACACCCCACCCTCCATCCGACCATCCCTAATCCATACTGCGCATGTACGTATTCGTATACCGTATCTTATCAGCTACATACTTATCTTATCTCCCACCGTATATATATAAAAACCTTTCCCCCCCAAATTAAAATAATAAATTTCTCGCCTTTTTGTATTGTGGGAGTTGTCTTTTCTCTTTCCTTTCCCACTCTCTCTCTCTCCTTCTCATCCATCTATTATGGTTTCTCTCTTTAAAAAAGCTCTCTATCTTCTCCTTCTCTCTCCAATGGAATAAGCGGATAACTCCTTTGTTTACTTTCCCCTCCAATCTGTCAAAAAATTTCTTCCTTTTCCCCCTTTCCCTTCTGTTCCTCCCTGTACTCTCAATCTCTCCATCTTCAGCCTCCGATTGATGACAACGAAGCCTCTCTGGAAGACGGACGCCAACACCGGGAAAGCCAGGAGGGTAGAGCTCCGGCGAGCCAAAGGAGCGGTTACTTGAACGCCGATCCGTTTCAGTCTCTCTCGGATCTTCTCTCATCTCTATCTTTGGTGAACTTTACCTTCTCTATTTTTTGGTCGTCTGCAAAAAAATAGAAAAGAGAAGCGGAGGATAAGGCACTGACTATCACATGGATATCCTTGTCGGTCCTACCTTCACCGTCGCCGTTTCGCCTCCTCAGGCGGCGGCGGCTTACTCCCTCTCCCAGCCGGAGACCCAGCGGTTACTTCTGAAGCATAGGGTTTCGTCCGTTGAGGAGGGAGAAGAAGACGAGGATGGGTTAGTGGGTTCGATCTCGATCTCCAACCGCAGTCGATTCGGCCTTCCGATGGCTGGATCTGGAAAATCGCTCGAAGATTCTTCCGATAGCTCGTCTTCATCCGTCGGCGCTCCCGACGACAGCGACGAGGAAGAGGAAGACGACGGAGGGAGCAATAGCAGCAGCGGCGCCTCGTCGTCTATGAAGAAAGGCCTCGGCTCCCTCGGCTCCATGGACGCCCTGGAGGACTCTCTCCCCACAAAGTGAGTTTGTGCTCCTGCTCGATTTGGATTCGGATCTCTCTACTACCGATTATTAATTGGGGGGTGATTTGATTTCTCAAAATTGCAGGAAGGGATTGTCGAATTACTTCGCCGGGAAATCGAAATCGTTCGCGAGCTTGTCCGATGCGTGCTTGGCGGTGAGCCAAGCGAAGGATCTGGAGAAGCCGGAGCACCCGTTCAACAAGCGGAGGAGAATTCTGATGGCGAACAAGTGGTCGAGGAGATCGTCGTTCTACAGCTGGCATAACCCTAAATCCATGCCGCTGCTCACCTTGAACGAAGACGACGACGACGAAAGCGGCGACCACAATCGCCGCCGGGGGAACGAAGAAGACGACGAAGAGGAAGAAGACCGCCGTGAAAGCCTCTCGTCGTCCTCGTCGTCGGATAAGGATGAAGAGGATGGGAGACGAGCGCAGAGGAAACTGCTGCAGGAGAGGAGATTCAACAACAGCTTCAAGTCCCATAGCTGCTTCTCGCTTACAGATCTGCAAGAGCAGCAACGGCGGCAGCGAGAGATCATCAATCTGCCGCCTCGGCGGTGAAGATCTGTAATTTCCTTTTTCATTAATTTGTTAATTAGTAAAGTACTAATTACCCTTTGAGAATGTTAAAAGAAAAAGAGAATGGAGAGCTCGGCTGGGGATTATTAATATAATAATAAAATTGTTGTCGCTTTATTAATTCCGTTTCTTTGTACAGATAAATGCAAGCTTCCTCTACGTATATATTATTTTATTTGTTTGTTGTGTTTTATCTTTATCCATAATTGTGATTTTAATTTAATAATTACGCCCTTCTTGAAATGGTCAAAGATGCGGAGCTAGACTGTATAGAATTTTCCTTCCTTCCGGTGGTAATTAAGAAAAAGGAAATGGATTAAAGGAGAGGATAATGTGTATAGTAATTGCGTGCCAGCCAGCCAACGACAATTATTAAATGTGAAGACCAACCTATCTTATCTCTTCATCCTTCGAGATTATGATTTCGAGGAAGGAGAATTATAAAATCTTGAAAATGGTCACCTTTCACACTCGCACAAAAGAAAAAGAAAAAAACGTTGTGTCATCATGACGTGGATGTTCATTTTGGACACGTCCGATTGGGCCCTTGGCCCACTAAGGGTTGCTTTTGGGTTTTGACAATCACAATTGACAACCCTTTTTGTCTACGAATGGAGATTAGAGATCGTATTAGCGATTTGACCCTTTTATCCTTGAACGTGTCCAACATGTTACAAACCTTTTCTTCCCAAACCAAAACAAATCGTGTACTACCAACTGGACTTAGCCACGTGGAACCAATGGGATGAAAACGTAGAAGATGCAACATTACGATATCATGGGCTTTCAAAGAATTAGTACCGGAGTGGTATAATGAACAGACATGCCGGCCCAACACCGGGCCCGTAAGCCCATCCGGTATATCGAGAAGCCTGCATCGAGCCGGTTGTCTTCTCAAACCCAATCCAAACTTTCCCCCGAAAGAAAATGAGAAAAATAAGGAACGATCAATGGCGACTCAGCTGCTGCAGTTTTCGCCGTGTCGTTTACAGGCAGCTTCTCTCACTCGCCGCCACTTTCTCCACTCCTCTACATCAAAACCTCCGGCTGCCAATCTCCATCTTCTCCCCCTCCGCCCCTCTCTCCGATCGAAGTCAATGAGCACCGCTACAACTCCGGAGATGGCGGATTCAGATCCGGCGAAGAACGCCGGCGGCGGCGGCGACGAGGAAGTGATAGTCCAGTACGTGGTGCTGCGGCGAGACCTGATCGATACGTGGCCGATGGGAAGCGTGGTGACGCAGGGATGCCATGCCGCCGTGGCGGCCATCTGGTCAAACAGGGACGACGCCGAAACTGTCCGATACTGCGGGCCGGAGAACATCGATTCTATGCACAAGGTGCGCTTTTGTCCGTTGTTCGGAACCTTTTAGGGTTTTTCGATCTGTGATTATGTCGACGATCACGCTGGCAGGTGACGTTGGAGGTGAAAGGGGAAACGCAGATGTTGAATCTGGCGGAGAAGCTGAAGGTTGGAGGGATTGCTTTCAAGCTGTGGATCGAACAGCCTGAGAACATTCCCACCTGCATTGCTACCAAGCCTTACCCTAAATCCCAGGTGGCTTCGTTTTTCAAGAAGCTCAAGCTCTGCAAGTGAAGCGAGGATGGAATTTTTTTTGTTACATTTTCGGCGACATCAATGCAATGGCAGATACAAATTCCGAGTTGTGGATTGATTCAGATTTCAGACTAGTCGTGCTCATTCTGGTCTGCTCTAATTCGAATTACGTTCGAGCTCCGGAATCGTTTCGTAGTTCTTTGGAAGAATGGAATATGATATTTGCTTATTTGGCCTCTCTTCGATTCTGTGCTAACGATTCATAGGAAGAATACGACACATTTGCAATGCGATTCTCTTGCAACGGTGAGGTAGGGACTGGTTTGGGCTTCGGACGAACGTTTAGCTGGTCGATATGCTCTTCGGCTTCCTCAAGTTCGAGCTCTGAGTGGTCTCTGCTCTCTGGTTTTCTTTTTGATGATACATTAGCAACCAGGGTAACCACAGCTCATCAAGATCAACTGCCAAAGAATTATCGAATGGATTCCGCCTGTAATTGAACTACAAAGCTAGCTTAATTTTAATACACTAACAAGAAAGGTTAACCAAATGTGAAAATGGTACTCTCTGTTTGAAGTTTCAACATGAGAAAAAGCCGCAAATTCTAAGCCCCCAATGTTCAACAACTTTGCCTGGACCGTATACAGGCTCCAAATACGAAGAAACCCGCTACCCCTCAAAACTAAATACAAATGAGAAACAACAAAATATCGCGCAGAGACAATCTTCCAGCTTGAAATAACCCCAAAGTTACCTGAAACACACAAATTCGTGTTCGTCGCTCGAAAAATGACTTCGGATAAAAAGATCGCTTGGTAAATAGAAAGAGGTAATTGATGGGGGTATTAGAGAGTTCACCTGTATAATTTTGATACAAAAAGTCATGATTCATCCACATCAACTACCACCCTTCTGCTTTAGAGTGATTTTATCTCCCAGGCTGAGTGCGATTCCCTGGGTCTTGCTACGTATCCTTATGTACCCGCTGAGCTTCCCATCTCCCTGCTTCTCGAGACTCACGTTTACCAATGCGTCCTCGCCAAACACGCTCTTGGCGTACAAATTGGCTGCTAGGAATCCACACTCTCCATCCAGTGCAGACCTGAAATGAGAGCTTAGGTTAGTTGGATACTTGTCGTAAGTTGAACAAGCATGACAAGGGAAGAGGCTAATACAAGAAACTTACGGTGCAGTGAGGCACTTCATGTTTGTTGAGGTAATGATATGGTCCAGGAATTCCTTCTCATTCTGAATTGTTGTGTTAACAGCAACCTGACAAAGCAGAGACCAGATTGTAAAACGAACATATCACACTTCGGATGAATACTTCCCATCTTAACAAATGTACATACTGAAGGCAGGTGAATGAAGTGTTTGAACTGATAATCATAATAACTTCAACCAAAAAATGATTTTAGAGGGGTACCTTGTTCTCCCATTCAAACTCTGCCCACATTGTTCTAAATGCTGAATCGGTACAATACGCAGGAGAAATGTAATCCATGATATCGATGTGGATATCATTGAGGACGACAACATTTCTTTCGAGCACATTTGATGTCTCATAAACAATGTTACCAAATATCACTCCAGTCTCGGTTGAAGAGACTTTGATGTTAGCCTTAATCTGTTTGCTTGATTCCGGAGCCAATGCATAATTCTGAGGGCGCTCGACTAGTTTAAGATCACCCATGGTGGCCAACTCCAAGCATAAGTTTTGGAGAGTTTCCTTTGTCCTGTTGATGACAGTGACATCAAGTACAATATCATAGTGATGAACTGTCACATATGCTTCAGCATACACAGGGTCACTAAATCCAGTGAGTTGAAGGATGCGGTTAAGCTTGTTTGCATCATTGCCATCCTTGATAAACTCCCCAGTTGCACGTTTCAAATCGTCTTGAACTTCATCTTCCAACTCCAGCTGACTCATGCCCTAATTTGAGTCAAAGCCAACAAAAAGTACTTCTGACCTTTAGCAACTAGGATAGAAGAAAAAATATATAACAAAACAAGATAAGATGCAAAAACGAAGATTGAAAAACAAGTGATAGACTACACAATTATTGTCTTCAGATTGATCGATCTAGATGCTCAATGACAACCTAAAAGTGCGGGAACTGTCCAACTCGACCTCTGACTCATACAGAGCTAGCATTTGATACAAATATAAACATAGCAATGGAACCCAGTCTCTCTCAACTGCTTCTCCGAGGTTCTTACCTTCCGGCTCTTCAAATGGTAGAAGTCAATCAGATCATCTGGTTGGGCATGAGAAACCTGAGCCTTTGCCTTCAATTCCTCAGTCTCTCTCAACTGCTTCTCTGAAAGCATTTTCATAAAACTTTGACGGCATGACTTCAACCATATTTTCCGGATGTCATCACCAGTATTGCACAGCAACCTTATGCAGAGAAGCATCCTATCATACGAATCACTATCAATTGGGTGCGGAAGAACAGAAGATTGTCCCAATTGTAGCATCGAGACCATAATCAACAAAGCCTGTGTAGATGCTTTATTCACCTCCAACTTAGAAGATTGGACCTCTTCCAATCGCAGCACTAATTTCGTTAGAGTGCAAGCCACAACTGCTCCAAGAAAAAAATCACCAGTGAGAAGAAGTGATCTCAGATTTCCAGAGGACAATGAACCCTGAACAATAGTAGGAGGGGAAAAGGCAGTTTCAGAGGCAGCATTCTGTGTCGCATAAGTCCCATCAGCAAGGATAGCAGGCCTTCTTGAAGACACTGTGATGGAATTAGCTTGTGGAGGCTTCTTGGAACCATCAGAAACTTCCCCTTCTTCAGAAACAGAGAAGAAGGGCAATTCTCCGAGACACTGCTTGATGGTTGCTAAACCGCTCTCAACTTCGGAAAGAGAAAGACAATACTCACCTATGATCCACAGAGCACAAACACATACCCTAGCAGCTCGGATCTGGTAGAAAGTATCCAAGAGCCTTGTTATTATTGAAACTCTCAGTTTTGGGTTAGTCTCAATGATCTCTCTGACAAAAACAACCACATCAACAGCTGAAGCAACATTGCTATCTCCAAGGAAATCCATCAAAAGATGAACCACCGTGCTTGCAACCTCTGGGAACTTAATAGCACAAGAATGGATGGCTTGGATGAGCATCTGCCTGTATTCACCATTCTTCTCAAGCTCTCCACTCTGGGTCTTGACAACTTCCTTCTTCAACATGAGAACAACTTCATTAACATTCCTGGGGGTTATCAAGTCAAGGATAATATCAAGGGTCTTACGGCGTATATCAACATTGGGGCTAGAGAGAGCCCTAAGTACATCCATGACCATATCAACCATAATTTCCCTGTGAGAAGATTTGAGCTCACTCAGTCGATCAAGAACAATAAGCTTGACGTTGTTGTCGCTCTGAGATAGAAGGAGCTGGCCATATGTGTTGGCAGCAGCTTTAATTGCAGTAGGTGCAGATGATAGAGAGACAAGTGTTCCAGCACACTCATAAACCACTGCACTGGAAGTGGCATTCAACAAAGATATGATTATCTTTATGTATTTCCCCTTCTCCAATCTATTTGTTCTACAAACTTTACGAATCAACTCCAAAACAACCATCTGAAGCTGCTCAGCCCATTCAGAGATCTTATCAATGTGTTCAAATAGATACTTAACAGCTCGATCCTGGTCACAGGTAAAGAGCATGAGGAATGCATTACGTTTAGCTGATGGATCGTGCTCTGATGAAAGAACCTTTTCAATCATTTCAGGAGCATCAACCAAAAGCTGATCACCCTGGGGAAGCTTATAAATAGACATCACGGTGAAGATAGCATTCCTTCTTATAAATGGATGTCTATGCTCCAGATTTTGCAATACCGAAGGGATCAACGGCTCGATAATTTCTGTCTCGTTGAGGCGGCACAGAAACCTCAAAGTGACCCCACGGATATATTCATTTGGGTGTTGAAGATTGTTCCTCAAATTTTGGCATATCAGGATCATCTCCGGCAGAAGCTTCCCAGAAGCATCTTTTTTATCAATAATCTCCAAGTATAAAAGGAGCAGCTTTTGGATCGTGTGATCCTCAGAAGGCAAAACATATCTGAGGATCGTGATGAAAAGCTGGGGTAGGGTTTCTCCATTCAAAAGAAGGCTGATTGCTTTCTTCATGGCGTCCACTTTTGCTGTAACATCATTGCCTTCCAAGGCTTCCTTAATCTCATTTGCAATTGCTGGAGTCCCTTTGTCAAAGTGCACCAGCAGAGAACACGATTTCTCCATCTCGCACTTCCTCTCTGGTTAATTCCAGAAAACCCATGTTAGCTTAACCAAAACGAGAGCATCATGAGAAATGCTCTCAGGAATCACAGAAACAGTATGGATGCAAATACTATACAATGTCGTGTAACAACAGAATTTTTTATAGACCAAATACTCATTATACTCACTGAGTATATCAATATACTACAATTACCAAGCAACATCAAGCCCTTTCAGTTTTGCTAAACCATTCAAATCTATAAACCTTTGAATTCAGAAGCAGAAGCCTAACATAGGACTGAATAGAATCAGCTCCGAGGAAGAAATTCACTATTGCTTATAAGAAAAAGACTGGAATGCGCCCTTCTGAAGTAACATGTTAACAGATCACGCCGGAGAATTCAAACCATACAGATCACTGCTCTTACTCCCCAATAACCGCCATTAAAACACACCCGAGCAACGGCGTTCGACACTGAATTCCCATAAGATAAAACGTTTCTCCTCCCTAAAAGATTGCACCCCCCGACAATCCAATTCAAAATCCAAATCCATCACCTCGTATACCAAGCAACCAAACAAAATGCGCAGAAACAGCAATGCGTACCGAGGAAATACCGGAAAATACAAACAGATCCAGGCAATTGGGGAAGAGAAATAGACGAAACGAACCTTGCGGAGATCGGATCGGAGAAGAAGGCGAAGGAAGCGAAGATGTTCACAAGCTAAGAGTGGATATGAGTTGAAGAAACGAACGCCCAGTGGCCTGTGTTCACTGTGGTGTAAGGTTTTCTCAGATCCAAGATCTCATGGGCGAAAGAAGGGATTGGAAATAGGAGGGAAGAAGACGACCCTGCGAGTTAGAAGTCGCAACTGTAAAATACTGATGCGCTGGATTGGACCCTGGGGAAGGGGGAAAATGTGGGAAGCGGACTACCCACTATAAGAGGGTTTGATTTTGGGCTAGTGACCCAACCCAAATATAACACACTCGAGTCAAATCAATTTAAATTGTCATTTTCGCAAGGTTGTCAAACCGCGGGTCGACCCGGACCCGGACGAGCTAGTGGGTCATGGGTTAATGGGTCACCCGTTTTAGCCCGGTTTAGCCCGGCTTAGCCCGGAAATCTGAAAAGAGCCAATGTATTCTATTTATCCTGAATCCAAAAACCTGAATATCACAAAATTGTATCAAACCATAGCTATACGAAAGAAAGAAACCATTTATTGGAGTCAAGTCTCAAAGGTCAAACCCTTACCAAATGAAACCATTCACAAAATTCGTTTCCATTTACAAAATTGTATCAACCATTCATTCGTTTCCATTTACAAAATTGTATCAAGTCTCAGAGATCAAACCCTTACCAAATGGATATTGAGTTTGTGAAGAGTGAAGACTGAAGAGGCGGTCGGGCAGAGGCGGGTGGGCAGAGGAGGCCGAGCACTTCTCGCGAGCGGAGGCGGCCAGGCAGAGGAGGCCGAGCAGAGGCGCGAGCAGAGGCGGAGCTGAAGGGAGGAGAGACGGAGCCGTGAAGGCCGACCTGATCTTCCGCCGGCGACCGCGACCACGCCGCCAAAGAACCCTGGAGATGGCGAGAGCAGGACACGGCTGCGCTACAGCCTGATGGAAATCGAAATGGGCGGCTAATGGAGTCTCTAGAGTCTAGGGTTTCGCTGCAGGGAGAAGAAGAAGTGGACCGTCCAAGCCAAAACGGCGCCGTAACGGCCAAAACGGGGCTCAGGAAGATCAGCCCGCTGACCCGTTCCAACGGGCTAATCGGTCGGGCCAACCCGGGTTTGACCATTTCCGGGCTGATAGTAAAATGGGTTAGTATGGCCTGTTTTTTTGGCCGGGTCCGGGTTAATCCGGGTCGACCCGCGGGTTAACAACCTTGCATTTTCGCAAACTGATCTGATCGAGTACAATTAATTTATTATATATATTTTAACAACCCAATGTAATACACTCGACCAACATTGGCAAATCAATTTAAATTATCATTTTCGTAAACGGTATGTGATCTGATCGGAGTACAGTCAATTTATATATATTTTAAATTGGCATACAAGTTTTCACAAACAGTATGATCTGATCAGAGTACAATCAATTTATAAATCTGTTTTAACAAAATATGCTAGTAAAACGAGAAATCACTAACACATATATGTCAGTTATAACTTTAAGACATCTTTCTATAATCTATATCCATATTACAAACAGAATGGCAAATAATGCAACATTTAATGTCAATATCCAATGTTTATACTTGATGAAACTTCAAAAAAATCTCATTTTTGTTAATTGATCATTCAAGTCGGACGACTAATTTTCCTGATTTTGATCAGCTTCGATAAACTTTTACCTATTTTGACTGCTTTTTCATACGGGTTTTTCCAATAAGTTTGTGTCCAATATCGGTTTTTCCATTGTGTCTGCCAGTATGCTAGTGATTTGACAACCATGCTCCAAAATCAACCCGGTCTAGTTCGCAATGGTTGTTTCCGGTTCAATGGTGGGTTCGGCCGTTTGGTCGTACCTATCTTAAATTCTGAATATCTACGAAAATAACTTTTTAAAAAAATGAAAGGTAAATATAAAAATTCAGCTGTCTAGTTCTACCTTCTCGAAAGAACTCATCGGCTTTTTCGCCACAGCTCTCAGTCGCCGTTTCCCGTCATCAGCCAGCTTCGCTCGTCCGTCGGCAGGTTTGCCTTCCTCCTTTCCCAGAAACGGTGTGATACTCAAGCTATTTGAACGGACATCGTTTCTCTCATCAAAATCTCTCAATCTCTAACTCGTATATTCCTATCAAGCAAAGTATCTATGTATGATCTAGTACAACACTCACCGATAGCGTTTCTTCTTCCACATCCGAACATAATGCCTTAATTCTCTTCTGTAGTTTCTCTGGTTCTGCTCGCCTCTCGTCTTTATTCGAAAATGGCGACCATAGGCGAAAGTCCCTCTGCTAAGCGGTGGCTTCCTCTAGAAGCTAATCCTGATGTAATGAACCAGGTATGTACACGGAGCCATTCATCTTCCAGTTTTCGTTTCGCGCGATGGCTAGCTTAACTGGATGCTGCGATGATTTGATGAGAACTGGAGGCCTTGGCTTTCACTTAACCTTGAATTGCATCGTCTTGTTGATTGTTAATCAATGGCGGAGTTAGCTCCTTCGTCTTGTTTAAAATCATAAGGCTGGTCACTTGAACTAAGTGCTGTAATCTAATTGCTTGCGACAAGAGATTACTGTTCCCGTATGCTCTTCATAGAAGGAAACAGTGTTGCACGTGAATGGAGGAGTTTGTTTTATGTGCAAGAGTTTTAGAAGTTTAAAATTGTTTGTGTTCTATTTGTTTCAGTTCCTTTGGGGGCTAGGCCTTCCCGAGAATGAGGCGGAGTGTGTTGATGTTTATGGCTTGGACGAGGAACTCTTGGCTATGGTTCCACAGCCTGTGCTTGCAGTTATCTTCCTCTATCCGCTAACTGCACAGGTGCGTTTGATTTAGCATTCTTCTCGTTTTTCTGGCCATTTGTTGGTGACTTCCCTGCTAATTCTATACCAATAATTGGAGTTCATTTGCTTAGATAATTTAGTATTTCGGGTTTATGCATTTTGGTTGGTGACTTGTGTAGGGCTAGAACCAGTTTTGATGACGGTGATGAGAATGTACTTATATGCTGATATTGAAGAGCTTGGTTTTATGTTTGCCTTTCCAGAATGAACAGGAGAGACTGCAGCAGGAAGGCGTTGTGAAGGTACGTACCGTTAATACTTTTTTTACAAAATATTGATGAGTTACACTTATACTCAACAGTGAATTTTTCGAAAAAATTCACTGTATCATATTGAAATGATGCTTATGCTTTTTTTACAATCATTGAAGTTTCTGCGGTATCAGTTGTGTGTGTTGATCTGCATACTTTTTTTCATCAGTTTGAAGTGATGGTATGACTCTATATGTTACAACTTTGAATAACACTACCATCCAAATGTGAAGTTTGAGTTCTATTCATTAGTTATTAAGTGTTCATGATAAAATCATAGGTGTAGAACTTGTCCGTTTATGGCTTGTGCTGTGCAAAGGGCAAGTTTTCCCACTTCCAAATAGTTGTCTTTGTCCATTTATATCTGGGTTCTCATAATGTGTTTGAGTTGATTTAGCTTATGTTTTAAGCATATGATTGGTTCTTCGGCAAGTTCAGTAGAATCTACCGTGATGAATAATGAACAGCCCACAAAATTGCCAATTGTCTTGTCTGCAAATTATACGCAAATTGTCTTGACTAACAATTGAATGAACCTGAAGTCATTTCTTTATGGTGTGTACTTGCAAGGGCCACATCATTCTTTTGATCTGTTTAAAGTTTGTTATGTCAAGGTAAGATCCTCATATGTCCTCCATATCGTCTGATGTAGGAACCTAATGGAAACGTTTATTTCATGAAACAAACTGTTGGCAATGCCTGTGGAACAATTGGCCTTCTTCATGCCGTTGGGAACATCAAGTCAAAGCTCCATTTGTGTAAGTTGGTCAATCTTTTTCCTATGTATTTGACATTACTTTGTTCCAACTATAATAGTGTGTCATAGCTCAATTCTATACCCTGACATAGAATTCTATACATTGCCATCTGCTTCTTTCTTAGGGAAGCCAAGCAATGGTAAAAGTGAGGTGGTAGTAGTAATGAGTAAACTATACTGGCTAGTTGGTTCACTTTCTACTAGATGATTAATTATATTCTCTTGCCATTGTCCTTTCCCGAGATGAGAGTACTGTGGGGTTCTTGAAGCTGCATAGAACACGAAATTAAAGCATACTAGACCTTAGGAGTTTTATGAACAAACTTGACCTAGAAATTAGTGCTTGATACTGTGATGTAGGTGATATAAACGAACTCTGGTTTACCTAAATGCAAAGCAAAAACAAAATTCATAAACCTATACCATCATGGTATAAACATGTGTTTTACCTGAGAAAAACCATGCGGTATTACTCACCATATCCTTACGTTGTTTTTCTACTTGGCACAGCAAGTTTCTAGAATTTCACCCTTGCGAAATCAAGTTCTGTTGACTTTCAGCATTTTAATTTCTTTTCAGCTGAGGGATCATTCTTGGACCGATTCTTCAAATCAACAGCCAACATGGACCCATTAGAGGTTTTCACTTTTCCTCACTCAGCGTTGTTTATCCCTTTCTACACTTGTTCATTCTCTCCCTCCAGTTATCAAGGATAAATTAGCTGTTTAATGTTCAGAAAGGCTTTTCTGCTTTGACTATAGCTTGTTTATTAATATCTCTTTCATTTAATCTCTTTAGCGTGCAAAATTCCTGGAGAACGATCGAGAAATGGAAACTGCCCATTCTGTAGCTGCTACAGGTGGTGAAACCGAGGTAAGACTTGATGTTTCCATTATGTTGATTTAGCATTGGTGGGATGTTAATATGCAAATCTATGGAGGGATTTCATTGGCTAATACGGAGAGATAAATCTCGGGAAGCAGACTTCACGTTTAAAGTGATTATCCTCTTTACCTGCCTACTTTGCTTTGTGCAGGCATCAGACAATGTGGACACTCATTTTATCTGCTTTGCCTGTGTGGATGGTAATGAACTCTTCTAGCATTTTTATTCAATTTTAGTATAGGACATAGAACAATTATATTGGATACTGACATCAAACGACAAAGCACATGTGGCGTTGCTGCTACCATACTTACCCAAGCAGCCTGCTTAATCCCCAGTTCTGTGTTATACAGGGGAACTCTATGAGCTTGACGGCAGAAAAGCAGGACCTGTATTACATGGCTCATCTTCACCGGAAAGCTTGTTGCAGGTTTGTCTTTTGATTTCATTTTTCCCATATCTTTTTTCACGTAGTTGTCAACAGAACAACAGAGGGATCTTGTCTCTCGGTTAAACAGATATCCACTGTGTCGAGATGGTTATTACGCATTAGTAAGGATTACAGAGAAGCTTGAAAAGGTGGATTGTGAAATGATCAGTTTAGTGTTTTCTTTGGATGGTTTATTCTGGTCTATGCTGCATTCTTTCAGTTATGTAGCTATTGATTTGAAATATCTGCACTTAGGGCAGAGTTATCGAATTCAATACACAGACATATAAAGCCTGTATACACTAGCATGATGCACTTTCATCATTGTGACTCCTGATAACGCTGCCTTTCATCCATTTTGCAAACGACAGGATGCAGCTAAAGTCATTAAGGGCATGATCCAGAAGAACCCCGACTCCCTCAACTTCAACGTAATTGCTGTTTCGAAGAAAGATGCTGCTGCTTGATTGCGGCTATGTGTATCCTTGGGGGTTGACAAAGAAGAATGTGATCCGCACGCATTGTCCACTGTCTTTTCCCTGTTGAATCCAAGCTTGAGATTTGCTCTTCGTTTGTTCTGGTTATACGAAAGAGCAACGGGCTAGGTAGGTTACACAGTTTGATACCCCGCTACTCTGTGAGGCAGATTTGTTTCTTTGGTCCTATAATTCATGGTGCTTGCACTGTAAGATCATCAATTACCTGCCGGTTTTCGAGGTCCTGGAAACGTATGCCTTAACCCAGAAGGAAGGACCCTTCTGCGTTGCATACCCTCGACGACGCGTCATGGAGCCTTGGACGCACCCCATTGATCAGAATCTTCTCAAACTTGCATTGATATTAACTGATTGTATTAAGTTGGTTATACAATATACAGATGGATCCTTTGATTCCCCATTTCGTATAGAAGGAGATCAAGGAAATGGATGGAAATCTCACTAACATTATAAATGGAGGATATGAACAGTATAGTATCCTCAGTTACACGAGTTTGTCAAGATGCATGGACGAAGATGGAAGAAGATCAACAGCTAGTGTTAGTATTGATTGATTAGCTCGACTTCGAAGGAGAAGTAGCGGTGCCTGCAGATTCGTAGTCGATAACAGTCTGAAAAGCACCCACCAGCGCCTTCACCTTGTTCTTCCTCTTCTCCATCAGCTTGTTCTTCGTCTCCTCGATCACCTCATTGTAAGCCGCAGCCGGGGAATCATTCTTCCCCTCCATAGCCTTCCCGCTTTCTCCTTCTCCCTTCTTCTCGTCATCATCATTCGCCGCCATCACCGCCTTTGTCTCCTCCTGATCAACTGCTTCTTCTTCTTCAGGTGCCTCCTGTTGCTTCTCCCTCTCCTTCTCATATTCCCCATTGACACCACATGGTTCTTGATCATCGGCGGCAGCAGCAGCCAGCTTTAGTTCTTCTTTGGGCAACGTCTCATGGTCATCTCCATTGTCATCCACTTTATCATGATGGTGATCTTCATGACCATTCTGAGAAGAAGCAGTAGTAGTAGTAGTCATGGTGATCTCCCTCTCACCTTTCTCGTCCTCTGCAACATGGCGATCACCGAGCTCTTCTACCTTCTCATCCGCTGGAGTATCACCGGAAGAGAAGACCTTCTCACCGTCATCTTTTCCCTCCTGACCATTGACATTGTCGATGACAACATCGTATTCCTTGGAGGGGACTTCATGAACGTGATCATCATCGACGCTGGTAATGATTTTTTCAAGCGACGATGGAAGTGGTGATGGTGATTTGGGAATGTGGGGGCTCGCCGGAGACTCGATCTCCAAATTGTCAGGATTGACGCCCTGCTCGTCTTCGCTCGCCTGATGTATCTCGTTACCCAAACTCTCTTTTACATCCTCTTTATTAGTATTGTTCCGCTTACCGGCGCCTGATGATTTCCCCCGCGCCGCCGTCGTCGCCTTGCCGCCGCGGCCAGCGGTGGTTGCTCTGTTTTTACCCCTAAGGTTCCCTGCGCCGGTACTTTTGCCAACACCGCCGCCGCCGCCGCGACTAGTCGCGGCGGCGGTGGTGGTGGTGTTGGGATTAAGTACTGCTCTGCCCCTGGCAGGGCTGCCGCTTCTTTGCTTGGCGGTCGCCGCCACGACGGCGGCGATGGTTTTGCTCGCATTGGGGCGGAGAGTGGTGGCGCTTCTCTGGAAATTGGCCCTGGAGGAGGCTCCGGCGGTTTTGGGGCTAAAAGAGGTAGTCCTGACCGGGGCGGGTGAGCGGGCGGCGGGATCGGGAGAAGTGACGGACCTCTGCAGACGGGAATTGACGGCGGAAGGAGCGGGCTTGTCGAACGATCTCCTTCGCAGGGTCGCTGCCGCGGCGGCCTTCTGGTCGGTTGGCTTGGTTGTGCTGGTTTTGGCGCCGGATGTGGCTTTGGATTGGGAGTCGGGCTTGGAGCTCGCCGTGGGCCTCAGGTAGCTTGGGCCGGATCGCGGGGAGGAGTTTGTTGTCGTCGCCGTCGGCGATGAGGACGATGGGGAGTGGCGATTCGCAGCGGCGGTGCTACTCTGTTGGCGGTGGAAGTTCCGATTTGTGGTAGTGGTGGTGGTTGTTGTGGTTGTTATAACCTTCTTGTTGCCGCCATCCTTCTTCGGAGTGGTCTCCTTGGGCTTCGTCGCCATCAATTACCCAATGTAAGTGCCCGGAGAAGGAGAGAAAGACGGAAGAATCCTGCAATCGGACCAAAACGGAAACAGGGGACGGAGAAGAATTAGGATCAAATTACAAAGGCATAAACTAAACTTCTTTTCCTTCCTTCGTGGATTCATACATTCCCATTTTGAACGCATGATAGCAGTAATTGAAGAAAGGAAGAATGTGATATTTGGGTTCCTCTTAATGTTGCAAGAACAAGCTGCAAATTCATGATCGTTAATGGCGGTTTCCTCCATGAAACAGAGGAACCCAATGAAAGAAATGTAAGGGAAGTTAAGATAAGAAAAGGCGGTACCTTTGGAGAAGATGGATCGGCGAATGTAGAGAGGGGAATCGAAAAGTGGTTAAAACAGGCGGTAAATGTAGAGAATTTGGCAATGGAGGGTAATAATGGAGGACAGCAGAAACGTCACAACCGAATGAAGAAGCTATGGCGATGGATGGAGACTAGACCAGGACCAAAGACAAAAAACAGTTATGTAGTTTTTGTAGTTTCTACTTTCGAGAGAGAAGGATCAAAGATGTCTCTCTCTCTCTCTCTCTCTCTGTCTCTGGATTGTGAGGTCGGCAGGGAACGAAGAAGAAGACAGGGTGAAATTTAGCAAAGGGACGGATAAGGTAAGGAAAGGGTTTTTGCAGGGGAAAATGTTGACCTTTTCATACACACCAAAATGAAAGAAGCAAAAAGAAAGATCCCTAATTAAAGCCAAACTTGTTTGTTCTATCTTTTATTTTCTATTTATTGGCTTGATCCAGAAACCCCAAATACAATCAATGCGAGCATTGGCTTGCAAATTTATGAGTACTAAATTGTAATTTTACAAATATTCATAAATCCAAATGAATTTAGATTTAAATTGATTCAATTACTTTTAACTTTTTAAAGAATGCATTTGACTGTATTGATAAGATTGAATTCAAATAATCAACCGAGGGACATGTGTTGACACATAAATAGAAGAAATCAGCTGATCTTATACCTAGGGGTGATCAATGGGTTGGTCCATACCGGATCACATCAGACCGAATTGATGTTTGGACCGGATCACACCGAGTCGAATTTTGTACTGTCTGGTCTTTGGTCCTATGAATTTCATAAATACTGGGGGGAAAAAATGAATCGAATTTACATTAGGACCTGACCAAATAGACCAAAGCGGACCGAATGTACTATTGATCAGTCCTTAATCTTAAGATATCTTTCACTATTGGATCATAGTTCTTCTGAGTTTGGTCCAATCCGATCCGGACCGGATCGATGCCCACTCGTACTTACACCCAAAATCCAATTAAAAAATTATAGAAGTTTTTGGCGATAAAAAGGTGAATTTAGGACAAACGGAACTAGATTTATGTTGGAACAAAACAAGAACGAAAAGGATAGGGAAATTTAGGAATGAATGACCCGCTGGAAAGAATTCAGCATTTAAGGTGGGAAACGTTAAACGCAGCTATCCGTCCCGTCCCAGTCGCCGTTTCAGTGGATCATTAATTACAAACTCGATTTCGTTTTCCAACTCCAATAAAGAGCTCAAAATTGAACAGCGGAATGTGGATAAGCAGACCAAAACCACCATTGTATTTTTTTTGGTAATTAGAAGGAGGGAAGAAATGTCAGGCTGGTTTTGGTATACGGGTCACGGTAGGGGTGGGCATTCGGTCGGTTCGGTTCAAACCGAACCGAAATTATGCATACCGGGTCCCCGAATTCTATCAAACCTCAAACCGAATTCGAACCGAATTATAATTCTGTTCGGTCGGTTCAAACCGAATTATAATTCGGTTCGATTCGATTTTTCACACAAAACCGAAACAATGAGGTTAGCTTGTATCTTCTCTTTTTTAAATTAATTTTCATCCCTAATGTAAACAATAAATATGCATCATCAATGATAAAATCAAACATTTCAACACATAAGTCATAAAACACTAACATGATTCAAATATTTAAGTCTCATAATAAGTAGAAACATAAAAACCCACCATTTAGAGCTTGCAATTATAATAATTCGGTTTTTCGGTTCGGAATTCGGAAATTCGGTTCGGTCGAAAGGACTCTGGTTTCCGAAATATGCCCTTTTCTCTTCCGAATTCCGAACCGAATAACATTAATTCGGTTTCGGTTCGGTTTATATTCGGTTCGGTTAGGTTCGGTTTTACCGAACCGTATGCCCACCCCTAGGTCACGGTCACTTCCTAATTCGTTTGGGCCCACGGCCCACCCGCTATTATTGGATTAGGCTTTGCCCATACGACAAGTTCCTAACCCCTTAAACCCAAAAATATTCAGTATTTTCTTTTGCTCATTTGTCTCTTTTCACTTACATTTTCTCCTTGTTATGCAAGCTATATATTAAATAGTAAAATAAGTGAAATTCTCAAAATAATAATTGTTTCTGTAGTCCTAATTTGTGGATTCAAATGGGAACAATACCCCATGCCATCTCCTTAATTATTAGTTATGGTCCTTTTATTATGCAACTTTTTAGACATAAAAACAAATTAATACATTCCCCCAACTACAAAGAACTGGTGAGTAGTGACAACCTGTAACATGGTCCCTTGTTCTTCCTTAAACAACAATAATTGTGTCCCACATACGGGGTCGGATACTATGCTAACCCCTAAAGGGGTAGTGGTTTTTGACACCCTCCTCTTGATTGGTCACTTTTCCATTTAAGCTTTTTACTTTATTTATTGTAATCTTGTAAATTGGGAAAGCCTTAATTGTGATAATAATTATGAATGGGGAAGGAGAAAAACGTTGGTAATTATGAATGGGGAAGGATCTGGGGAAAAACGAAATCACCCCCATTAATTACATAATTAATTTCTCTCACTGGTACATTAATTACACGTACCACTCCACTGGTACACGTACCACTCCACTGGTACACGTACCACTCCACTGGTACACGTACCACTCCACTGGTACGTGTAACCATATGTCCTGTTTAGGCTTAAAAAATTGTGAAGACTTTATGTTTATTCACATTCGAAGGATAATTTATTGCTTTTGGCATTGTTGTTGGCATTTCCCTAATTTTGCAACCCATTTTGGAACACAGTTTTTGGCTACTAATGGAAAGTTCCTATTTTTTCCCTATTATTGTTTATCATTGTTATGAAAAATATCATTGCACTGGTATTGTTCTCACTCTAACCTACCTTGTGGATTGCTCGCACCAGTGGAGTGGTACGTGTACCATTGGAGTGGTACGTGTACCAGTGGAGTGGTACGTGTACCAGTGGAGTGGTACGTGTACCAGTGGAGTGGTACGTGTAATTAATGTACCAGTGAGAGAAATTAATTATATAATTAATGGGGGTGATTTCGTTTTTCCCCAGATTCTTTCTCTTTTCCAATGTGGTGAGAGACCCCAAATTACAAGATTAAAAAAAATAAAAAATCAGTTTAATTAATACTTGCCAATGATTGGAAATAAAATTGGCCAATCATAAAGGGGGTGTCAAAAATCACTACCCCTTTAGGGGTAGTCACGCTAACTTATCCCCCCACATACTTATGTGTACAAGTTTCTTTAGTCAATCAAAATGGTGGATTAATTAATTGGTTCAAGCCAATTAAGTAATAACAATTAACACAATACAATCAAACAAATCAGAAGACACCAAATGGTGGGATCACAAAGTGGTGGTGTTGTTGTTGGTAAAACGGCACTTGTTTCTTTTGTTTTTTTCTCGATTTCTTGTTGTTAACACTAGTTGTTAGTGCCAAGATTGCCGGTTTAGTAATGGGTTTTTGTCGTGTCATTTTTTGATAGCGAAGGAGGCAGGAAGACACAATGTAAGGGAAAGCACTCCACGAACGAGCAACTCGCCTACCTTGTTACCATTTTCCAACAAGTGTAAAGTCATTAAGCAGTGTCATTAAAAAAAAGGCAGTCCCATCAATTAATTAGTTGATTGTAATTGATTCGTCATCATAAATTAAAAAGTCTGTTGCTTTTGCCAATTAGCTATGATAGCTCTGTAATTTACTCCCTTAACCGTATTGTTTTCTCCTATTGACCCGCATAGACGTAGACTCATAACGTTTTCTCATTAGGACGTTCATTTTCAATAGCGATACTAATGAGCCAGTAACGACTACATGAATCGAAGCACGACTAAAACGATAATTACATCCGCCAAATGCAGATTAGCTGGCAACATTAGCCCACCTAAGAGAGTTTGGCTTGTTACGATTGGTGAAAAAGAACTACATTCTCTCAAACCGTTTGAAGGGATCAGATATGGTGCTAACACTTTAAATGTTGACATCATGTTAACATAACCCATGAATGGTAGTTTGGTAACTACTGCTCGTAATAACAGTTATGTCTCATCCCCCATTCAAAAGCGATTCGTCTCCTCCGCCGCCCTCTGTCACGGACATAGACTTCCGAAGTCCGTGCGGCGTCTTGAGGTGCACTCATTCCTCAAGACCAGCCTCTCTGCATACGCATGCCAACTGGTTTCGCCCTGCCTTGGGCTCATCAGGGAGACGGCAATAGCCTCCGACCAGTTGTGCCTTCTCTTGCAACGATCCCCTTCATAGCCACATCCTGACTCGGCTAGATGCGATGCACAGGCAGACAACGCCTTATCGCTAATGTCGCCCCCTTTACCCTTCTCATGGCAAGACAACCAGATGGCAGCGTTCTTCAGACGATCAACACGGTCACGACATTTCGGGTCGTGACATTCTCCACCACTCATAATGCAGCACGTCCTCGTGCTGGTGAAGAATGCTTCTCTCCGCAGCATGTATTGCAACTCTCGAACCGATTGTGGGCGTCCGCATACGATACCATCCTCTGATGGACAGGCTCCGGTCGCGTCTCTCGCGCTAGCCTGCTGTGCCCCGCGCACATACCGCTTCGCCCCTCGACATCAACCTTCACTCTTTGCTTCTGCTGCGCTAGTACCTCAGTCGACTTTCACCCTATGCTACTCCCAGCGTTTGTACCTCAATCGACCTTCACCCTACGCTCTTGCTAGCGTTAGTTCCTCGGTTGAACGGCATTCTCGGCCGCCGCATCTTCAGCCTGTCGAGGTCCCCCACAATGGCGCAACACATGTGTATCTGCGTCCGGACCGCCTGATATGCTCACCCAGGACCGCCTCTCATTCGGGCATAGGGTCGGCCCATACACGACCTATGCCGTACTGAGAGAGGAACCAGGCTCTGATACCATTTGTCACGGACATGGACTTCCGAAGTCCGTGCGGCGTCTTGAGGTGCACTCATTCCTCAAGACCAGCCTCTCTGCATACGCATGCCAACTGGTTTCGCCCTGCCTTGGGCTCATCAGGGAGACGGCAATAGCCTCCGACCAGTTGTGCCTTCTCTTGCAACGATCCCCTTCATAGCCACATCCTGACTCGGCTAGATGCGATGCACAGGCAGACAACGCCTTATCGCTAATGTCGCCCCCTTTACCCTTCTCATGGCAAGACAACCAGATGGCAGCGTTCTTCAGACGATCAACACGGTCACGACATTTCGGGTCGTGACACATCCCTGCGAGATGAAGAGCCAAAAATCATCCGAAAATTTTGTCCTTCCTTCCTCCGGGCTCCCGGAGCTTCCTCGCCTCCACCAATAGCTTTTGGCAATCACAACCACCACCAACACCATGGAAACTCTAGCAACGTCTCTATGTTCGAATTCGACGAGCGTCTAGAATAGGGGTGTGCAACTATTCGTTTTGTATCGGACCAAACCGATGCTCGGACCGGACTGCAGCGAAGCGAGCATAATATGATCCGGTCTCTCGCACAACGAATTTTATAAACACTAAAGAAAAATGGACTGAAGTGACATTTGGACCGAACCAAAGTGGAGCGAATGCACTGTTGATCCGCTCATTCGTCCATAAAAGTCTCCTTCTATTAGATCGCGATTCTCATGAATTTGATTCGGTCCGATATGGACTGTTGCACACCCCCAGTGTCGATGACCACAACTAGACATCAAAATCTAGTTGGCTTAACCTAACCACGAAATTGAACCATAGCTAGCTTGCATGAGAATGGGTGGAGTGCGTGCCTAGCCAAAGTTGGGTAAGAGGTTCCATTGGAGGCAGGCTGGCTTGCGGTTGGTTAGCCACTGCCCACCAGTGCACAAAAAGGATGGGAAAAAACAAAAATTTATAAAGGATCGGGAAAATGCTTTTTTTCCCCGAAGAAAAAGAAAAAAAAGTTAAGAATGACGTAATAATTGATCATGGGCCGTCCATTCTTGACTCCACTCATCCGACGGCCCACAGACCGCTTCGCTGAGCTCAGCTCGGCTTTCCCACCCAGTTTTATTGTTGTTGTCTGTTTTTTTTTTCCCCTTTTCATTTCTAGCTCTAACGCTAGTATTTGGGACGGCACTCTTTCTCTCTCTCTATATCCCAATTCTATTCTGTTTCTTCTCCGTCTTGTCAGAGAAGTGAAGAAGAAGAAGGCAACAAAGGCCCCTGTAAAAAGGCAGGTCGCCAGTCTTTGAATCAGACAGAGGAGCGAGAGCGCGAGCTGAATCTTCCCCTCTCTTCTTTTTCTTTTCTCGCTCAGTTTATTGGACGACGGAGGAGACCGCCGCCGCCGCGAGGTACTGCTACTAATACTAACACCTGCGATTGCGATCATTTCCGTTTTGTTTTCCTCTCTCCGGTGAACTCCCGGCGGAGGCGGAGTTTCTCTGAGGATTTTCATGGAAATTCTGAACACGGAGATTGGTTGTGGAATCGGTTTTGGTTTTTGGGCGTTTCTGTAAGATATGGCGGGGGAGAGCTCCGTGACATTTTTTATTTTAATATTATTTTTTGTTTGGTTTTGTGGCCACTCCCAATTGAAATTGAGCCTGAAATGGCGGAGGAAACAGGTGGTATTTTTAGCGTGTGGAGAACAATTGAATGCGAAATTCGCAAAGTAAAAATCGCTTCCTTCCCCTTAAATTACGAAAGCGGAGACGCTTTGCTGCCTTTTTTTTGTGTTGGGTGTAAGGCGAAGTTTGCCCTTCGTTTCATTCGCTGCATGTTCATCCTTTCCCCTTTCGTTTCCCGCTCCTTTGTATGATCAACCGCGATGCGATTGTCGTTCGGAATCCAGGTCTTAATCAGTCCCACTTTGTGAATTGAATATGGACGTTTTATGACGACGATGATGATGCTTTTACCCTTTTAGTAGAGTTTCCTTCTGTTTCCTAGCCTTGTCATGTGTATCCGGTCTTTGGAATTTTTAGTGGGTTTTGTTTGGATATGCTTTTCTTCCCCTTGGAAACCTTTGATTCCGTTGTTATGAATGTTCTGCTGTCATGGCTTTTTTCTGGTTTGCTGGAATGATGTTATGAATTATGATCATTTGGGTTCTCTTTCGTTCTGTATAAGTTTCCTGCTCGATGATCGTCTGGTTGATAATAAGGGTGTTCTTTTCCAAATTTGGAAAGTTGAAACTTTTTGGAAGATGTTCTGCTCCTCTGAACAATACTCTTTTTGTATTGATCGCTTTTTGTAGGAAATACGTGATTCATGGATGAGTACTCTGGTAAGAGAGGGCCTGATGGCCTCTTGGTCTCCAGGAAAGGATCTTCACTTGTTCTACGAGACACTGGCAATAACAAAGACAAGAATGGCCAGTTCTGCAATCGGATAGGGTGCAGTGGCAGATTAAACCCTGCAAAAGGTTCTACACAAATTAACTTTTCTGGCAAACCCCAATCCTCAAGGGCATCCATTCGTCCTTCCTCAAGTGGCAAGGAAATTGTTGGGAGTTCCTCTAGGACTTATTCAGCCATCAGCACTAGGAAACCGTTGCCGGAATGTCGGAAGAAATTTTCTTCTCGGGTAGAACCTGATTCTTCTTCTGAGAGTGTTGGCATTCAGGATGACCCTGATGTTCCAGAACTCGAACCTTCCTCAAGAAAGCTTCATAAAGGTAACCAGTCCTCTGCTTCGGAAGCTCATACCGGTGAGATTCCCTCCTCTACACAACTGAGAAGCTCAAATTTAGCATCCAGTAATATGTCCCATGGAGATTTTCATCAGAGGTCAATATTAGGCCATCCACATACTCTAGCAAGCTCTTCTAGTTCACTGTCATTGAAGAATACAGTACAAGGAAGACGCTCAAATGTGGGCAGAAATGGTCTGAGAAATTTTAGGTGCAATTCAGTAGCGGATGTTGTTGTCTCTTCAGGTTCAACATCATCTTCAGACTCGAGCCTTAACAAAAGAAAGGACCCAGTGAAGAAAAGAGTCTGTCATGCAGAGAGTAGTAGTTCCTCTGCCAGGGGTAAAAAGATGACTAACTCACTTCCAGAAGGGCGGATTTCTACTCCTACTTCAGGCATTTCCATTTCGGATTCTAGAAGAGCCAGAACTGTGCCTCCTATTAGGGATAATCCGGTGTCATCTGTTAGGACTAGAAGATCAGTAACTGGTTTTAATTACAATAGACCTCAAGGGGCTAGAAACAATTTATCTCTCACTGAAGCGCATGCTTTGGTCCCTCAAATTCCGCAGCATGACATGAGTATTGACCTCAGTAGCCCTACTACTTCATCACATCAGTTCTTAATGGAACCCCTAGGTCACCCTTCATTTAGTCGACCTGGTAGCAGCAGTGCAAGTTCAAGGGGTATTAGGCCATCTAGTCCTACTGCAGATATCAGCAACATGAGATCCTTTCTAAACAGGGAGAATTTCAGACGCTACAACATGGATGGAGTTGCTGAGGTAGCTGGCTCACATTGCTTTGATTTACCTGGTTATGTGCTTTCTTTTTTCAGAAGTAGTTGTAATGTTGCTAATTGATGAATTTGTGCAGGTACTGTTGGCACTTGAGAGGATTGAACAGGATGAAGAGCTCACATATGAGGTAGCCAGGCAGCTAGTTGGGAACTTGAAATACTCATTTAAGTAGTTCGTTGGTCATCATTGTCTTGATTTCTTATAATTTATGCAGCAATTGCTTGTTCTGGAGACCAACTTGTTCCTTAGCGGGCTGAACTTCCACGACCAGCACCGTGATATGCGACTGGACATAGATAACATGTCTTACGAGGTCTGTCTATGTTAATTACTTGATCATCTGTCATTTTCCTGTGCTTTATGTAGCAAACAAGTTCCTGATGCTGTTCTATTTGTATCAACTTTGGTCAGGAATTGTTAGCTTTGGAAGAGAGAATGGGTAATGTGAGCACAGCAGTGAAGGAGGACGAATTGTCAGATTGCCTGAAGACTAGCATCTATCAGTTGGTATCCATGGAGCGCTCATCTAGGAACCCTGGCGCAGATATGGAGGATATTAAATGCAGCATTTGCCAGGTCTGTGTCTCTCAGTTACTTCCTTACCTCCTCTAATCCCATTTAATTAATTTGCTTCCAAACTGCATGCACACTGCTGCAGAACTATCGCGGGAAATTTAGGTTTTGACCAGTTGAACATGTCTGTTTCCAGATAGCTGTAGGAATTACCTTAGTTGCTAATATGCTGGATTTGACTTGAGTAACAAGCGAATTGGTTCAGATGTAAATGCTTGGTTGTCGAGACTGAATCGAATTCCCCCCACTGTTTCCATGTGTCATGAACTAGACTAGAGCTTCATTTCAAGGAACTCCCACCATAGATATGGGATATTCTTTCTTGTCAAGTTGTGGCCGTATTGATTGTTCTGCGATTACAGGAGGAGTATGGCGATGGAGATGAACTGGGGCGGTTACGATGTGAGCACGAGTATCATTTGAACTGCATACATCAATGGTTGAGGCTGAAGAACTGGTGCCCAGTCTGTAAGTCAGCAGCAGTAGTGCCCACCCAGCTCGCATCATCTCCTTTGTCTCCCCCGCCGTCATTACTTTGATGGTTTTTCTTCATTTTGTACAAAAATTTCTTGTTTCGGGTCGCTTCCTTCTCCCCCTCTCCACTCTTCTTGAAGAAGATTTCAATTTTTTTTTTCTCTTTGGATTTTTGGTTTCTGGGTTTTGTGTACATAGAGGATATAATGGTGATTTTGATAGAAAAGACTAATAAGTTGTGGCAACTCATTGCCTCAACATTGATATAATGGAAAAGAAAATATCTTGTGACTAAGAAAGAAAGGTTGCCAATGGAAATCCTTCAGATTTTGCTTGATTCCTTCACAAATGTTTAGGGTATAATTGGGGTTTGTTTAAGGAAATGACTGTAGTTGGTAACTTGTTTGACCGGATTACGTCTTGATTCTAGTAATGCAAATCGGCTACTCCAAATACTGATTTTTTGTCCAGCCAATTTTGAGTTGGTCATTTGTGACAGACATGGATTTCAAGCAAACATGTGATTAAAATATAAGCACAACAGAAAATAAGAAAATAAACGGAGTAGAGAGAAGATATGTACTTTTGACTAATGTCTTCAGAAGTTAGTAGACATAAAAACCACACATGAAACATGGGATCTACGTGTGTGTTAGAACACGTGGGATATACCAAAACACGATCACATCATTCGATCTATCCTAGATTCTTACAGTCACCAGGAGTGGATTGGTGCTTTCTCAGACTCTGCACTTTCAGTAATGTCGTGCCAGAAAGCTACAAGCAATCATGCTACATTACTATTACTAGGCCTGATTCATATTAAGATTTGCTAAAACAACCTCCAGAGGCAAAGCTAACTATTGCTTGATTGCCTGCTGCTGTTGCTACTAAAGAGGTTTCTTGCAGCTGAGACTTCTGCAGGTTTCCTTTTTGTACACTGATTGCTGCTTCATGTTGATACCCTTTTGATTCAAAGATTAAAACACTCCGAAAAGAAACAATTCGACACGCAAGCACATAGTGTAGGCAATTTCTGAACACCGAGCAATGGTTAATACTTTTAAGTGTCAGTAGATAGAACTTACCTCAGGGCATATCTAGGAAAATCTCAGAACAATGATTTCCCAGGGAAGATAGCCAAAAAGGAGGGAAAATATCCTGTTACCGGAGAGCTACGAGCTACGAGCCGGTACCCATAGTGGTCGCATGACCAGTATTAGCACAACTGAATCCAGGAGAAGATTCCTTATGTACATCTCCTGCAATTCTCTTTTCTCTAACGTGTATTACTACTGCAAGATCACACTACAAAGTCTGAATCTGTAAGCCAGCTCTTCAATCAATATGCATGATAAAGATTTCATCTTGTCTAGAAGAAACCTCCACAATTCAATCTAAGCTTCTGAAAGTCAGAGAGAGCAAGAGCTGGATGCCACATCAATTCTGAAGCACACATGAGCTAATTTTGACAAGACTTTTATGGTGGTTAAAAGAAGAAAAAGGTGGGCACAGAGTGCGGATGCGGCCAATACAATGAACCAAACACTGCTACTATGCAAGTCACATCATAGAAATCAGAAAACAAGTAGAGCAGAAAAGTCCCATGCATATGTTTGGTTTGGAAGAAAGAGCAACCAATGCTGTTCAAAAACAGTTTATCTGTAAAACAATGCCGAAGACTTTGTACCTTATCAAACATCAAGGGAGAATGATGAGGCATTACCTTGAGAGGTGGTATGCCTGTTCCACCTTTTGAGCATCTCCAAGAAAGAAAAATATATCACAAGTATTTACCCAAATGAAACAGTGAGTTTCGAACAAATAACAGTCTTGTTTGATAAACAACACACTCATACCAGCAGATAATGTTGGTTTGAGCAAGCCCAAACAAGTTGTCGAATCATTTTCTTACTTTCTTCAGATTTATTCAAAGGATAAGCAGGTGCATAAAAATATTTGGCATCACTGCAACTCTCAACATCCGGCGCACTAAGTATACATGAGGCAGTTTCAAACATCAATAAGTGTAAAAGACATTTGAACAAGCACAAGAAACAGGAAAAGGGTATTGTCTGATCCGATTAACAAGTTACTTCTACCACAATCTTACAAAGACTTGACAAGATACTCCTACATCGAGTACCAGTGAATCATTTTTCAAGTACCAGATATTCACAAACTCCATGTCAATCTTCAATGGAGGAGCATTGTTCTGATCTTGCCTGCGCAAAAGAGGTTAGCATCTCATTCTTGGTCTTCACCTTTTACTGATACTTGAATATATAGCAAGCATTTGGTACTGCACCTTAAGATAGCAGATTGGTCAAAAGGCCCACTTGTTCGTGGCAAATTACTTATCTTCCATGATGATTTCCAGAAATAAGACATCAATGTAAGTCTAATGGCGTTGACTTCAGCCACATTTGAGTTTGCCTGGTGCTCAGATATGCATTGACACTGAAATCGGTTAGGTTTTAATGTATCTTGTATATAGAGTATGAAGCTCTGAAGGACTCCGTTAATCAACAACTAAGAGAATTCAAATGCACACATGAATACTTACTTACAGTGCTGTTTTCCAATTTGAATTCTGCAATTTATTACTCCCTCTGAGTTTCCGGGTTACTCCCTCTTGAGTTTCCAGGTTATATATAGTACCATATCATCAACAAGAGTTAGTGAAGATAGTCTCTTACTAAACCTTGAGATGGGCATTATATCGCATGTAGTAAGAGAAACCAGCTATTTCTCTGAGGGTCGTTATGGTAAAAGCTAAAGTAGTAAGCTTTACTGCGTTCGCACAAAAATGCGTGCATGGTAATTAACAGTTTAGTCAGTGATATCCATTATATCAAAACTCAGTTATCTTTTGGCAGGTGTGCCACCTTCACGAATCATCAGGCTTAATTCCAAGGAAAAGTCAAGAGGTCACTAGATATCGATGTATTATTCATATCGAAAACAAATCAATTCTGAGACTTTAGAAATACATAAGAGCAACACTAAGGGCTGTTACACCAGTGGATTTACCTTTCACCAAGCTACATACGAGTATCCCTGCAAAACTGTCATAGATTTCTCACTGTTGGCTGTAAATTATACAAAAGAGCTTTGAGATCTGCAATGGCAAGAGACAGCCAACACCAATGCTTATCGTACAACAAAGGCAACCAGCCATTGGGCATTCTACTTTGGAGTTTCCCTAGCTTAGTCACCATCAAATGATATCCCGATCAGTGCAGGATCTGCAGCCGGAGAGAGTACAGACATTTGGGTCAAACCCAGAAGCTCAAATTTCGAAGGGCTGATCTTCATCTGCACGAGAGCCGTTTGGTTCAACCAGGCAATAAGAGAACTGTGTATGTCAATAATGTTCAACATCAGTGGCCAAGGCTTTTGAACCGGGCAGGCAGATCAATGAACAACGCTGATATAAAGAGATCCTTTAAGATTAATTCTTCAATCCTCGTATGACTGCATGCAGATTCTCTCCAGTAGTAAAGGCCAATCTTCACCGAGTTGCTGCGGATTTAACTCCATGGCAACTTTGAAATCACGCAAAGATATCGAACATTGTGGCCTTTGTTGTTCTTGAATTACTTCTAGGGATCCACTGGCATTTTGCATGTGCAAGTGATTACTACTAGGCCATACTCCATTGACAACTTTCCCCGGAAAAAACTGCTGCTTGAGGCCTGCCGGCTGCTTTCTCTGGTCCTGAGGAGCCCTTGCTCCAACCAATTCAACACAGGAATTGATCATCCTCTTTAAGTACACATCTAACATGTTATTCAACATATTTGCACATTCCATTGAAACCCCTCCAAGGCCCTGTGAAACTGCAATCTGCTCCATGCGTTTTCTCAGCATCTCTGTATCAGACAAGACACCGCTGTTGTAACAAATACCAAATCCATCATCAGAACATGCCGCTGCTGGAGCTTTGCGGGTACCACCAGAAATGCTACTAGCCAGGCAAAATGGAAGACCAAGCGGTGCATGGACATGATTTCTAGAGAAGGTCAAGTGGTTTGCTTGCTCGACCTCTTCACCCTCATCAATAAATGTGGTCCTTCTGTCTTTGCTATGCGTCATTGGTTTCTCAGTGGATCGTTGGATCAAGGCTTCCCTTCCATTCTCAGGTTGCTCGGCCACTGCTTGAAGTTGCTGCTGCAGAGGTCTCTGGTAATCACATGGACTGAACCCCCCATTCTCCATAACGATCTTATTACTTCCACCATCTTCTGCACCAATGGATTGATGTGGGAAACATTCAACTTTTCCATTTGTTCCAAGTGCGCTAGGCCGATCTCTAATCTTCCTATGCGTAGTACCTGACCTAATTTTCCGTGGCGATACAGGCAAAACACCATTTGACCAAATGGAAACGTTTTGACTCTGATTTGGGAGAAGGGCCCCACTTTGTTCGTGAAAATCCTCTCTGCCAGAAGGAGAACTCTTTGCTGTCTGAATTGTTGCAGATTTTGTGGGGCCCACATCATAAGCTGGAGGCGGAGGGATCTTTGCCAGGCATGCATTCTTCAGAATCCCACGGATTAGCTGATTGTGTAGGGGGAGATTCTCCCTACCAAGCAACCGAAAACAAGACTTGTCGAAGTCACTCTTACTTTGTCTCTGACTAAGAAACCTATTTAAGTTAAAGAAATACTTCTTTGACCTCTCAGCCCCAATCTTCTTCACAATCTGAGTCTTTAGTTCGACCAAATCGATTCTGGAGCTCTGTTGAAGCTGCATTTCTCAAGAGACAGTTTAATACCACATTCAACAGATGGGGAAAAAACCCTAAAACGCCCCCAGATAGCTGTTGTGGATGCTACTGTTATTGCTGCAGCCAATCAACTTCGAATTCAACTGCCATCATCGTATCATTTCAATACAAATGAAGCAAGAACCTCCTCTTTGACCTTTGTATCTCAGAATAAGCAGATTCACAAACCATACACTGGGGTGCCAGAAATGCAGATTCCGAAATGTAAGTTACCTTCGCTTCCAAATGACTCCAAATTTACCAACCCACAAGCAGCACATTGCGACAGCAAATCTCATCTTGGCAAAGATCCAAAACCCTAGAGATCAAAACCCACTTACAACAAAGTTATGGGAGGCCCGCAACCAACCCAAATATAATCCCTAAGGCATAATGAATCAAAACCCTAAGTTTGAAACTTTGGGCACCCTCGTACTGTAGTGAAAACCTGCAGGCACCGCCAAATCATAAGAACCCACCCATTAGAAACCACACACTCCGAAACTAATGTCACGACATTCAAAAAAGCAGCGAACTTCGAATTGGGGGAAATTTTGAAGTTGAGAAACAGAGATCATTGAGTTAGGAGGATTGAATTACGAACAGAGCAGGAATTGAAGAGATGAAAAAAGGGGGAAACCCAATAAAAAAAATTCGAATTGAAGAAAGCACAATGAAGAGTAGGAGAAGTAAACTGAGAGAGAGTAAAAAAAAAAAAGCTCGAAGCTTGGAGATTGATTTGAGCTATCTAACCTGAACCCAGTTCACGAAATTTCGGGGGGCGACACGGGGAAGAAGAAATCCGAAGAGCTCACTGAGTTTGGGGCTTCCTCGAATCTTTCTTCTTCTTTGCCAGCTTCGATTCTTCCTTCTTCGCGCCTCTTATTACTTTCCTCAAAATTTCTATTTCGAGCGCATTCAGAGTTCCCTCTTTTTTCCTATTTCTTTCGGCCTTTTGGATTTGAGAAGAAAGCCCAGAAGCTCGGGGTTTTCCCTTTTCCTTTCCTCCCTCCCTGTGTCTGAGCTCGCTCTTTGCCTTCGAGTTAGCTCCCTCGATCGCTCTCCCTCCCTTCGCTTCTATTACTTTTGCTTTTTTTTTTTTGTTGGATTTGTTTCAATTTTTGGTTTTCATTTTTCTTTCTATTTCACACACTCTTCTCTTCTCCCTCTCTTCTTCTAAGCTTTGTTATTTTTTGCTTTCATTTTACAAACATGTCTTCATGTTTTGGGGTCAATTTCATTTTCGTGTCTTCATGTTTACTATTTGTACTTGCATTTTCACACGAGTGAGGAAAACTGATCTTCCAAACTTTTGGCGTTCGAAGCACACGTTGACTTAGTTCACATTTGCCTTTCTTATTATTCCAATTTTCCCTCATATAAACATATTATCAGGGTCTAGGTCTCCATGGTAACACAATAATAGTGATAGTGTGTTTCTGGTAACGATAACAATGATATCAATTCGTTTAACAGTATTCACGTGACAATGTAGTTTTATTTTGTAGATTATGGTCTCTTGTGTCTTGACATTCTGTTTGTCGTTTTTTCACTGAGACCTACGAAGATTTTAATTATGCTGCTTACTCGTACAAGTATCAACATTTTTGTGGTTTTTCCCTCCATGTATGGTACGAACATATAAGTCGGGTGGGCATCAAGTTTGGTTTACCCGAACCGAACCACATTCTTGATTGTATGAAACAAATTAATACAATGTGCGAATCGGAATATGATGAGATTGGTGTTCGAATTTCGGTTCAAAATTAATTGAACCGATCGTTTGAATTTCATACCGATTTATGAACCCGTTCAGCCGCATCACATTCACAGTCCTACTTTGAAGTACAAGTTGGGATTTGTAGAATATGGGTTGAAAGGGGTTTATCCTGAAAGTGGCAAGGGAGAGAACGTATGATAGAAGATGTGAAGAACATATATTTGCGAAAAATCATTTTACTTGGATTTTAAAGGCTACAGATCACGAATTTGGCATGAAGCTATTCTCAACAAATGATGGAGTCTATGAATATCTGATTTTAGCGGATTTTTTCTGGATGACATTTTAGTAATTTTTAGATTTTTTTTTAAAAAGCCGTTTTCCTTATATTTTGACGACTACAAATAACTGATTTGGTCTTAGACTATTCTTTAGCGATGATTAAGTCTATTAAACAATAATTTTTACAAAAAATCCCGGGCCATTTTTTGTAGGTTCTAAAGGCATCACAAATTTCTGGCGATTTTTTCGAAAAGCTATTTTTTCTTTGATTTTGAAGGCAACAGATCACAGATTCGTCCTTATGCTAATCTCCACTGATGATGAAGTCTATCAATCATTGGTTTGGGCAGATTTTTTCCAGAGGGCAATTTCGTAATATTTTGGGCGAGTTTTTCGAAATGTCATTTTCCTTTGATTTTGAATGCTACAAATTACGGATTCGGCCTAGGCTATTATTCACAATTGATTAAGTCTATTAAGCACTGATTTGGGTGAATTTTTTCCTAATCCATTTTTGACAGATTCCAAAGTGATACCATCATAGATTTCAGGCGATTTTTTGAAGGACCAATCTTTTAGGATTTTGAAGGATACAGATCACAGAATTGGCTTGAGACTATTTTCCACCGATGATGAAGCCTATTAAGCACCAATTTAACCGGATTTTTTCCGATTTAATTTTTGGCTGATTCCAAAGGGGTTTCAGATAATTTTTTGAAAGACCAATTTCTTTGGATTTTGAATGCTACAGTTAATGGATCCAGCTTGGTCTTGTTCTACACCGATGATGAAGTATATTAATCGCCAATTTTGGCGAATTTTTTTGGAGGGCATTTTTATAATTGTTTTAATTTTTTCGAAATGCCATTTTTCTTATATTTAGAAGGCTACGGGCCACACATTCGTCCCGAGCATATTCTTCACCAATGATTAAGTATATTGAGCAGCAATTTGGGAGGAGTTTTTTGCGTCTATTTTTGGCATATTCCAAATGGGTATTATCACAGATTTCTGTCGATTTTTTAGAGAGACCATTTTCCTTTGATTCTGAAGGTTAAATATCACATATTTGACATGAAGATATTCTTCACTATTGATTAAGACTAATAAGCATCGATTTGGTCGTAGTTTTCAGGCTTTTTTGGTAAATTCCAAAGGAGTACCATCACTAATTTTATGCAATTTTTTCAAAAGCCATTTTCCTTGGATTTTTAAGGCCCCGGATCACGGATTCAGCTTGAGCCTATTCTCCACCGAAGATGAAGTCTATTAATCTCCGATTTGGGCTGATTTTTTTTTTCGGATCGAATTTTCGTATTTTTTTTGTCTATTTTTCCGAAAGTCATTTTCCTTATATTTTAAAGGCAACATATCACGAATTCGGTCTGACACTATTCTTTACCGTGATTGAGTCTGCTAAACACTGATTTGGGCTGGACTTGATATGCCATCCACCGCGACTGACTTGATAATGCTTGACTTGAGTTAGGGCTTAAAGCTAGAGGAGCTTTCCCCTGCTACCTCAATGCATGTATATAAAAGAGAGCCTATTTTTTACTGATGATAAACAAGCAGCTGTTCCCTACCTTTGTTTATGGTTTGATTTGATACTTTGTTCATACTGATAATTTCCGGCAGGTTAACCTTTGCTATTGGTATAAGTATTGTCAATACCATTATAACGCGTACCAATTCGAGAAAGGAGAAATTTGACACTTTCACCCGAACCAAAACCAATCGGAGTGACTGAATGAGAGAGAGATCGGCGATGGAGATAGATACAACGACATAAAAAATGAGAATCAGAGTTTTATCTAAACTAAGAACACTGCTTAAGTTTTGAATTTTATGCTACTAAGAAGGCGAACAAACATTGCCAGAAATCTATATACTCTAGGCATGGTGGCGGCTACACACATGCCGGTGTTGTTTCGTCATCGTAAGTGTTGGTCAATTTGATTTGCCTCTCTAAACTGTGTAATGTTGTTGAATGGTGTCAATGTCGAGTCCTTTAAGCTTCACTACCGACTCGACGTGCCCCTTCAGTGTAGTCAGCTCCCTCAGCCTGTTCATTCATGCATCAGAAGCCAACGAACCCCGTGATGAATACCAGCTAAATCATCGACAATAAACGAAAAACTAATTTTCTCTGTTACGTACCTAGCAACCTCAGCGCGGCGCTTGGCTTGCTCAGCAACCTCAGAAGGCTCACTGTAACTGTTCTTGTCAGCAAAGAAGTTGGTGGTCTCGGGAGGCTGAAGCCCGTGGAGAGTTCTCTGCGCAGTAGCCCACTGTGCTTCCCTTTCCTCTTTCCCGTAATTCGTCTTAGTAGTAAACGCAGTCTGTGAAGGAAAATTACCAAGTTTAATATAATACCATAACGCCACATTTCATGACGAGGAATGAAGGGAAACAGTTTACCTTGTTCTCCAAGAGATTATCCCAGGCCTTGCCGCTGAGAACATAGCGAATGGCGAACTTGAGGATGTCGAGTGGGATGTAGGTAACCAAGCTGTAGAGCCAGATGACGCCAGCCCAACCCCAGCCGCAGCCCCTTATTCCCGCAATCACCCAGTTGGCATACACCGCAATCATTGTTGCGATCAGTTGAGCAACCATGAAAGCAAGGAGGAGGAGCTTCCCGGGGACTTCCACAAAGGACCAGCTGCGAGATCTCGTCACGAATATTAGTGCTTGGCTCACTATGCTCACTTGCAAGTATAGTGCAGACATCATCTGTTCTGGTCTATCATGCAACGGCCTTACATGGAACTTGTCCTGCGAACAAATCATTCAGAAAGCAAAACAATCAACAAAACTCATCCGTCGCTTTATTGTTTATCCACAATCTCCAAGGAAGTAATAATATTGGTGCTGTTCTTTTACCGAGAAGAAATTAGTCTCTCGCATGGCCCAGAAGAAAAGAACTGTCATTATTGCCATGTAAGTTCCCAGTACCACTCCAGTACTGAAGATCTCTTTCAG